AGTTCATTCTTGGAGCTGTTTGAAAGCAAGCTTTAAAAGGAAAATGGCATTAAAAAAGTAGGAATCCAGGATCTTACCATCCAAAGTTGAAATTGCAGGTTTTTGAAAAGAAGCAACAAAAGGAAAATGGGATGAGAAAAGAAGAAATCCACGATCTTACCATTCAAAGTTCAGTCTTGCAGGTTTTTGAATAGAAAGCCGTGAAAGGAAAAGGAGATGAGAAAAGTACAGAAAAGTAGGAATCCAAGATCGACCATCCAAAGTTCATTTGTGCTAGTACTGTGCTAGGACAGTTGGGCAAAACTATAGATAGAATATCCTCTAGAACCATGAAAAGACTGAATTTTTAAAGGATGTTTGGGATTAAGCATGTATTTGTGGTGCTCCCTGCCCCTTCCTCCACATCTACCCATCCAAAGTTCATTCTTGGAGCTGTTTGAAAGCAAACTTTAAAAGGAAAATGGCATCTAAAAAGTAGGAATCCAAGATCTTACCATCCAAAGTTGAAATTGCAGGTTTTTGAAAAGAAACAACAAAAGGAAAATGGGATGAGAAAAGAAGGAATCCACGATCTTACCATTCAAAGTTCAGTCTTGCAGGTTTTTGAATAGAAAGCCGTGAAAGGAAAAGGAGATGAGAAAAGTATAGAAAAGTAGGAATCCAAGATCGACCATCCAAAGTTCATTTTGTGCTAGTGCTGTGCTAGGACAGTTGGGCAAAACTATAGATAGAATATCCTCTAGAACCATGAAAAGACTGAATTTTTTAAAGGATGTTTGGGATTAAGATTAAGCATGTATTTGTGGTGCTCCCTGCCCCTTCCTCCACATCTACCCATCCAAAGTTCATTCTTGGAGCTGTTTGAAAGCAAACTTTAAAAGGAAAATGACATCTAAAAAGTAGGAATCCAAGATCTTACCATCCAAAGTTGAAATTGCAGGTTTTTGAAAAGAAGCAACGAAAGGAAAATGGGATGAGAAAAGAAGGAATCCACGATCTTACCATTCAAAGTTCAGTCTTGCAGGTTTTTGAAAAGAAAGCTGTGAAAGGAAAAGGAGATGAGAAAAGTATAGAAAAGTAGGAATCCAAGATCGAGCATCCAAAGTTCATAATTGAAGGTTTTTGAATGGAAAACTGTGTTTGAAAGGAAGAGTGCATGAGAAAAGTAGGAATAGCTGATCTTACCATCCAAAGTTCATTCTCGCAGCTGTTTGAAAAGGAAACTTGGAAGGAAAATGGAAGGAAACAAATTGGAATGCACGATCTTACCATCCAAAGTTCATAATTAAAGGTTTTTGAATGGAAAACTGTGACAGGAAAAGGAGATGAGAAAAGCAGGAATCAAACTTTGAAAGGAACATGGCATGAGAAAAGCTGGAATCCACGATCTTACCATCCAAAGTTCACAATTACAGATTTTTGAAGGGAAAAGTGTGAAAGGAAAAGGAAATGAAAAAAGTAGGAATCTACGTCTACGATCTTACCATCCAAAGTTCATTTTTTGCAGCTGTTTGAAAAGGAAAATTTGAAAGAAAAAAATAAATTGGAAGGTTTTGAAAAGGAAAGGAAAAAAAAACACATTTTGAGCATCCTGGAGTAGATTTTGGAATATTCTATCTGGGGGGTCCGAATATATAGTTTAGTATTGGGTCAAAAAAACCTGGGTTTTTTCAAAAAAAAAACGCCCCCTACGAAACTGGATTCTATCTACTCCAGGATTATTATATATATACATATTACATTTACATATATATATATATACATGTAGATATGGATGAAACACATACATGCACAGTTGAACAGAGTCTGCACGGATCTCCAAGCCTTTCGACGAAACTGTGAGTTCCCGAAGTCTTCTGCCACCTCAAGTAAATAGAAAATAACCAATGGTTCCAATTTACTTTTGATACCAGCTAGATTGGGAGACCATGCCAACAGCATTGAGGATGCAACTCTAGTCTTTGGGGTTCTGGATCGCGGAGTTTGTGGTTCCTGCCAGGCAACTGGTTTGAACCTTGAGCAAAAACCTGGAGACAACTCTCACTTTCTTGGTTTGGCCTGGCTTGACATGAAGCTAGGGTGGTTTATGACCTCAGAGTTTGATTCTCTGGTGTTTCCTGCGTGGCTCACATAGATCTCTCAGTTGCAGGCACAGCTAAGTTTCCACACCAAATCCAATGGCCTGGCCATCACAAGAAGCAATCCAGAGACTCTTGGGACACCAACATTACTTATTCGGCAGCACAGAGCTGACCTCGAGTTTGGAGATCTCAAGGCAACGATCCGAAATGGCCCGTTTCTACCAATTTTTTGGACTCTGAAAGTGAAATGTAAAACTTGCAATATGCTTGTAAGCAATGCAATTTTGTCCCCAGATGACACTTAAGAAACAACTAGTACAAGAAACCGATTGTTTTTTGCTAATAGTTTACATGTTGTTTCTTCCTTGCCCCTGTGGCAACGGAAAAATGTCAGCGGAAGTCACACATGAATGCTCTGCGCCAAGTGAGATCCAGTGAACACTGCACGCTGGAATCCAGCTGAGCCATTCTGAGTATGGGGCTTGTGAAAAGATAAAGGGATGCACATGCCTGGCACCATCGTTTGGATGCCCAAAATTCTAGAAAAAATGTGGGAAAATCAAACACCAAACACATGTCAGATTGTTTTTGCATCATGTGTGCCATTTTGAAGTTGGCACAAAAATCGCTAGAAAAAAAGCGACCCAGTTTGTACCCCGGCCTGTGTGTGTACGTGTGAGATAATACATGGAGGCCATAGCCTTCCGTGGCAGCCAGCGGTAATGTTTTTGAATAGCAAACAAACACAGCTGTATCTCTCCAGTTGAGCTCTTCTTTCGTCAGACGAAAAAGAACATCTGGGTCCCCAAGCCTCATGAAGAGGCGTTGAAGTTTTGAGCCGTCACAAAAGTAGGTGCGCCAGCGCAGGCACAAATCACTAGCCCCCTTTGAAAGCAAAAAAGAGAAAGCAAAAAAAAACTTGAATTACCTCCGCCCAGCCTATCGCATATATTATTTTACTTAACCTATCTTTAGATATCTCTAGATTATATGCCAGTTTTTTTTCATCTTTTTTCCACACGCAATGTGCACCACATGAGCGCGCAAAAGTAGGTGTTTGGCTCAAGAGCTATGGCGATCAAGCAATGATCTTGCATGGCCCAAGGGCACTGCAACAATGCGAGCATGACTAAGTTCATTTCAAGTATGGTCACAGCAAGTGATGCGCTTGCTCACGTGCTCATGGTCACAGCAAGTGGCGCACTGGTGCGCATCAAGAGATGCAGTGCTGCAAATCATGTGATGCATCATTGTCCACAGGCATGCTCTAAAGGCAAAACCCTGGATACATAGCAAACCCCTGAACAGCAGGAACAAAAAATCCTATTGAGTTGATGGTTTCGGAATTATGTGGCGCCAAACCATGGGAATTCGTAGACGGTTTCCCTTGCGAAGATATTTGTAAACATCATGTAACTGGGCAAAAAAAGTGGGTTCTTTTTTAGAAAAACACCGTGTCTTCTTTGAAAACCTGTCGTTTTTGGAAAGCTCCCCCAAAACCAGGTTTTCACTTTTTGGACCTACAAATTCCAGGGTTCTAGGTTCGCTAGCATAAAAAACGAAGTTAGCATCCAAAGCTGCTGGACAAAGATAGGAAGAAGAACAACAGAGCAGGACAGTAAAAAAAAACACAGCCAACACAAGGCACAGGAAAAAAGAGAAAAACAATGCAAAATGCACCGAAAATCAAACAATCAAAACAAGATTCGACAGGAGTTGCTGGTATTCGTTCAGTTTCTGGTGGAGCCTCTGGTGGCTCTGGTGATCTCGGAGTAGCAGCTGCCGCACTCGGTTGCTCTACCACTTCTTTCGCTGCAGCCGACTGGGCCGACTGAGCACCAGGAGGCTCGGCGGCTGCAGCTTGTCCTACAGCCACATGCATGATCAGCTTGATCTCTAAACTGCTTCCAATACAAAATCTGGAATCCCCCATAAGAATCCACAATGGATAATGTGAATATGCACTCAAACTGTCCTAAAGAAGGCAACCAGGCCCCAGGTCCTGTTGAATCTTGCTGCGAGGGTGGAGCTCGACCAAAAAAGAAAGCACGAAATTTGTCCACTAGACCAGGTTTGGGGGCTGGTTTTGCCTTTGACTTAGGCTCTTCCGTTTCATTCCCATCTGGCTTAGGCTGCGGATCTGCAAGAGGCACACGTTCTTGCAGTGGACGTTCATCAGCTTGTTCTGCCGGCTTGGCTTCCGGCTTGTCCTGTTTCTTTTCTGGCTCTGCTTCCTTAACTTTCTCAGGATCTTGTGCTCTCGGCTTCACAGGTTCAGGCTCTGCAGGCCTTGCAGGCTCAGCAGGCTCTACGGGCTTTGCAGGCTCTGCAGGTTCCTCTTCATGGCTTCCCCTTGCCCCAGAAACCGGGGCAGCAGTGGGCACCATCGCTCGTGCATCGGACGCCGCAGCAGGAACAGGCTCCTTTGACTCAGTTTGCTACTTGAAGAAACTTGGTTCACTGCTAACACGACTTGATATACCAGTACCAAACTAAACACCTATCCCGAGCCTTGTACATGGCGCCATTAGTTGCGCGTGGAAAAGAATCCAAACATACAATGACACACTGGACAATTGTCCTTTGTTACTTGTTGAAGCACAGAACAGAAAAAAATGCACCGAAAATCAAACAATCAAAACAAGATTCGACAGGAGTTGCTGGTATTCGTTCAGTTTCTGGTGGAGCCTCTGGTGGCTCTGGTGATCTCGGAGTAGCAGCTGCCGCACTCGGTTGCTCTACCACTTCTTTCGCTGCAGCCGACTGGGCCGACTGAGCACCAGGAGGCTCGGCGGCTGCAGCTTGTCCTACAGCCACATGCATGATCAGCTTGATCTCTTCTAAACTGCTTCCAATACAAAATCTGGAATCCCCCATAAGAATCCATAATGGATAATTTGAATATGCACTCAAACTGTCCTAAAGAAGGCAACCGTTCAACCAGGCCCCAGGTCCTGTTGAATCTTGCTGCGAGGGTGGAGCTCGACCAAAAAAGAAAGCACGAAATTTGTCCACTAGACCAGGTTTGGGGGCTGGTTTTGCCTTTGACTTAGGCTCTTCCGTTTCATTCCCATCTGGCTTAGGCTCTGGATCTGCAAGAGGCACACGTTCTTGCAGTGGACGTTCATCAGCTTGTTCTGCCGGCTTGGCTTCCGGTTTGTCCTGTTTCTTTTCTGGCTCTGTTTCCTTAACTTTCTCAGGATCTTGTGCTCTCGGCTTCACAGGTTCAGGCTCTGCAGGCCTTGCAGGCTCAGCAGGCTCTACAGGCTTTGCAAGCTCTGCAGGTTCCTCTTCATGGCTTCCCCTTGCCCCAGAAACCGGGGCAGCAGTGGGCACCATCGCTCGTGCATCGGACGCCGCAGCAGGAACAGGCTCCTTTGACTCAGTTTGCTACTTGAAGAAACTTGGTTCACTGCTAACATGACTTGATATACCAGTACCAAACTAAACACCTATCCCGAGCCTTGTACATGGCGCCATTAGTTGCGCGTGGAAAAGAATCCAAACATACAATGACACACTGGACAATTGTCCTTTGTTACTTGTTGAAGCACAAAACAGAAAAAAAAATGCACCGAAAATCAAACAATCAAAACAAGATTCGACAGGAGTTGCTGGTATTCGTTCAGGTTCTGGTGGAGCCTCTGGTGGCTCTGGTGATCTCGGAGTAGCAGCTGCCGCACTCGGTTGCTCTACCACTTCTTTCGCTGCAGCCGACTGGGCGGACTGAGCACCAGTAGGCTCAGGACCCCTTCGCGGCGGTGAGTTCATAGTGTCCTCATGCGAACGGAGATCAACCCAAATGAGTGGTATGATTAGAAACGATTAGAAAAAATATGAAAATATTAGAACAATCTACAGTCATATTCATATCGTCATTGACACATATCAACATATAATCCCTCCCCACTAATACTAAACCCCCAAAATAATAAACACCTCAAATAGTTTTTAGTACTAGGGTGGTATTTATGATTAGGGAACCAAAGCGGCCCCCCTAATGATAAATAAAAACCCTTATTTTTAAAAAAACAACTATTTTTTGATTTCAAAATCAATCAAATTCCCGTTTGTAACGCCATGAAAATATTGCCAAAAATTGGATTTCGAAGCGGACCCCAACAATAAGTTTAAACCCTTAAACGACAAGATGGAAGCAACGAAACCGAATGTATTCACGTTCTTGGACTACGAGTGAAAACATCTGCAATAGGAAAACGAACCTTTTTTCATGCACAGTTCACAAAGAGACAACTAACGCACAAAGACACGCATGGAAACCATCGCTTGAAGACAGTATATATTTCCCCTGTTACCAGTCTGCAGTGTGGAGTGGAAAGTGTAGAGTGCGCAGTGTGGAGTGGAAAGTGTAGAGTGTGGAGCGCGGAGTGTAAAGTAAGGAGAGTGGAGTGTAAAGCGTGGAGTGGGGAGTGTAGAGTGTGTAAAGTGTAGAGTGTGGAGTGTGGTGTAGAGTGTGAAGTCTGAGACGTCCCAGTACTACTTTGTACTACAAAGCTTGCACAAAGCTACTTTGTACTACAAAGCTTGCACAAAGCACTTCCCAGTACTACTTTGTACTACAAAGCTTGCGCTACCATTTGTACCACAAAGCTTGCACAAAGCACTTCCCAGTAGTAGTTTGTATACTACGAACTGACATGACAACCTGCTTGGAAACCTTCGAAAAGGAGACGTTTTGCAGCTTCCCCCATAGACACAGCGACGTGTCTAGAAAACTAGAGACTGGAGACAAGACACGTGGGCGCAGCAAAACGAGCATTTCGTGCGAGACGTCCTCCAATTTTGACACTTTCGACACGTTATCAAACAGGTTGGACTGTCACAAAGTGCCATGCCTGCTACGCAAAACGACATGACAACCTGCTTGGAAACCTTCGAGAAGCAGAGGGTTTGCAGCTTCCACATAGACACGGAATTAACGACCCCACGCCGTCCCGACGACAACCCGACGACGACGCGACGCCGACCCGACGACGACGCGACGAGCCACTCGAGGCAAGGGTCCAGCCACCAGACCCCCAGACTATAAACGGGAACCCTTCGCTACGCATTCGGGAAGATTTTTTTTCCCATTTCAAAATCAATTAAGTTTCCTTCTGTTACTACGCAATGAAAATATTGTAAAAAATTGGACTTCGAAGCTTCCCCCCTAATATTAAATTAAAAACCTTAATATAAAAAACTAAAATTTTCGGACGGACGGACCCTAACAAAAAAACACCCCGGGGTTGACTAGTTTTTATTATTAGGGGGTGAAACCTACAAATAGTAGTTTTATTTGTTTAAATTGTTTTCTAAAGGGGATCAATTCAAAGTCAAACTGGCCAACCTGAAATTTTCCAAAATTGGAGATGGACCCTAGTTTTTATTATTTGGGGTGGTTAATAATAGGGGGAAGGGATCATCAATATTATGTCAGTTTGAAAGAATTATTTACACCAAGGGGATGTACTACTAAACCATGAGAAAATTGCATTGGATAATCACAATGAGAATGATAAGACATAAATGTTCATCTTGTCAGACCGAAAAAACAAACTCCATATTCAATATCCTGCTCCTCACTATTGCTGTCACTGTCGCTGTCACTGTCCACATCGCAATCAAACGGCGTGGGGCCAACAGCGTCGTTTGCTTGTCCGGCCCTGGCCTCAACCTGACCCTCCACTGCGCTCACTGGGTCTGCCTCATACCCTCCACGAGGAGCGTTCGACATCAGGCGCTTGGAAGGGATCAGCTGACATAAATGAATGTTCTCAGCTTTCGTCAGGATTTGTTGGGGTTATGTGTTTATGACATGTTATGACATGCTGCAATAGCTCTTTTGCTGCTCTTTCTCAAAAGACATTCAGAATAGGCACCAAGAAAAACAGGATCTCCACATCATGATATCTCAGACTTCGGAAATGCAACAAGTTGCGAGGAAAGCTGCGCTATGCTGCACTAAACCAGCTTGCCATGGGTAAGATATCCTGTATACCGTATGCTCCCAGCTGCAATCTTTGGCAGGTCTCTGGGGCCAGAAGCTTGGTGGCGGTTGCCTCATCAGCACTTCCCAGGGTCACATGGCAAGTCTTTGGACGGAACAATGCCATGTTTTGTACCATCGGGTGTCATAGGCTTCAACAATAGTTCCAAGACATTCCAAGATTGTCTTTAAAGAATATTACAATGGTCAAATGACCACGTTTGATGGTTAAATCATGTTAAATCCCAATTTTCGATGGTGAATTCCCATAGTTTGTTGGTTCAGCCCTTCCCTTTGATTGTGCAAACTTGCAAATGGAGATCGTTTTGCTTCTTTTTGTGCTAGCTCGGTGGCATTCAGCAAACTTCTCTGTACACTGTACAGCGATGACCGGAAATTGACTTACCAAAGTCACTTGCCCTGAACAGGGTAGCGAGTTTGTGCATCTTCCCAGGTCTTCCTTGCACGGAAGAGGTGACCCAACACACACGCATCCAAGGAATATATATATATATAAGTTGTTAGTTGGATGGATATTATGTCGGCCAAAAAGGAAAACAAAAGATTGAGATATTAAGATGCATTAATCATCTAAATGCTGTAACTACTGTACTTGCTATATACTAGTATACTGCATATTTGGTTTGCTACTTCGAAGGAGGTGTCAAGAGTGTCAAGGAAACCACTGGTCTCCGATTGCTTGAAAGCGCTGCAACCGCTTACTAGCCGTGACTCAAGAATGGGGTACAGAAAGAGGGCACACATTGGTTGGTGCTTACAACAATCCAACTTTGCGGATGAACCCCCTTATTTGGTGTCGTCAATAATTTCTTTCGAGAACTGTAAACATATAAACTATCCTACTTGGATTGGAGGAGTCAACCACGGTTGATACAAGTCTGACCGTCGCCGAATTTTCGGTCCTTCTCAAGCAGAGATCATCCAGCAAAGCTCCGACTTCAGCCGCTGGTAGGCGGATCTGCCTCAAAGAAAGCACGGCACCAACCATCTGAGAGGAGTCGCTTGTCACCAAGTCACAAACTTCGCACATGGTTTCGTAGATGGAAACGATGCAATCAAGGGCACATGTTGAGTCTTGTGGTAGTTACATGTAATTAGTAGAAATCCACCAGTTCCAGTGAAATTCAGGAATATCTGTCAGTCTGTCCTTGGAGTTACAATTTTTTTTTCGCCGACAAAAATCTGAGGGTTTCAACACCATAGAATCACGTTCCCGCAGAGTGACCGTGCCGTCCTGCGAGCGGTAATTTGTTGAGGACATCTGACCCAGTTTGGTTTTCCTGGGAGATCGAGTCCAAACCTTCGTCATCCTCCAAAACCACCAGAATTTGATCACGCAGTTTGGGGGAAACTGGGTTGAGATCTGTAGCTCGTCTTGCCGTCAACCCAGCCTCCAAACTAGTGAAGTCAACGGTGCATGCGAAAGGGATTCCCAGCTCGTCATTCCGAGCATACCTGGCTGAGGGCCAGCACCATACACAATGTGGTATGATGGGTCAAAATTTAAGACCTTGGACACCACTGAGTTTGGTCTTTTCCAAGTGCTAAAATTTGTGAACTGTGGCGAAATCATGCGGAATGAGTTCAATCTGGGCGGCCCCGACTTCCTGACTGGCTAACCCATACCCAATATAGATCAAACATGATAGAACCGTGTATAGATACATATATAATTGTATCAAACTATTTTTGACCGTAGACAGATAGATAAATTAGATTAGATTAGACTAGACTAGACTAGATTAGATTAGGTCAATTTAGATTTAGACTTAAACTTAGATTTAGATTTAGATAGATAGATAGGTAGGTAGATAGGGAAGTAGGTAAGTAGGTAGATGGATTGGTAGATGTCTTTGGGTATAGTCCCAGTTAAGCGACCTTTACAGTGTTTCTCCAGCATTTGATACTACCTAAAAAGGGTAGGTTCAGGTTCCGGGGTTAGGGGTATGGGGGCTCTCTAGAGTTGGGTATGGGAGTGGGGGTTGCGTAGGGTGTACAAACCAATTCATCTGTGCTGTTGGGAGGCCAACACTGTCCACATGGAAAAAGAATACTTGACAAAATGTAGGACTCTTAACGATACTATCCCGATATAATACATATATATATATGTGTGTGTATTGTGGTTTCCTAAAATGGTGTACCCACAAATCATGCAAAATTAGAGCATATCAGTCTTGAAATTTTTGGTGACTTGAGGATCCATTTTAAGAACCCCCCCCATATATATATATACATATATATATATATACGTATATATATATGTGTGTGTTATATATGTATCATACAGATATATATATATATATAAATATCCGCCGACCCCAGCGATGAGCAGGGGGAGCGCGTCCGAGAAAAAGTGTCGTTCTGGCACTGCCGCTTTGGCGCTAGCTTCGACCGGCTTTTCTAGAGGTGTCAGAAGCTTGTCTAGAGGCATCAGAAGGTAACGTCTGGCAGCGCCGCTTTGGTGGTGGAAGCCCGCTCAAACGGTCAGCTCCATGGGATTTTGCTGTGGCGGAGCCTTCTTTTTAGAGGCGTCAGAAGGTAACCTCCGGCAGTGCCGCTTTGGTGCTGGAAGCCCGCTCAAGCGGACAGCTCTACACGGCTTTGGAGACTTCGACCGGGGCTCCGAAGGATCCCCGTTTGGGCATCCAAGTAATCAGGCAACCTGGTTTTCATCCCCCAGTGCGGGCTAAAATCCTTCAATTAAAATGGTGTGTGTGAGGTACAAACTGCAACCAATGAAAACCTTTGCTTGACGTTCCTGGTATCCCAGAGTAGCGCTCATGAAACTCAGGCCCCAGGTTTTCATCCTGCGCAAGAACTTCAATATTTCATTTTCATGAAACTCAGGCCCCTGGTTTTCATCCTGTGCAAGCACTTCACTATTTCATTTTCATGAGACTCAGGCCCCAGGATTTCATCCTGTGCAAGAATGTCACAATTTAACTTTCATGAATCTCAGTCTCATGTTTTCAGCCTGTGCAAGAATGTCACAATTTAACTTTCATGAATCTCAGTCTCATGTTTTCAGCCTGTGCAAGAATGTCACCATTTAATTTTCATGAACCTCAGTCTCATGTTTTCAGCCTGTGCCTGCACTTCACCGCTTACTTCTCATGAATCTCAGGCCCATGTTTTCAGCCACTGTGAGCAACTTCTACCTACATTTTTTCCTATTCCTTAACACCTAGGATTTTATCTCTTTCCACGGTTTCATGTTTCAAAGTTCTCAAATTCATGCGCAAGAAATGGATCTGTTTGCCATGTTTTGGTAGGGAAGAACGGGACTTTTTTTCAAGGTGGTTCAAAACGGATCACTCGCTGGCTACATCTTGTTTGACCTGTTGCATTTTTGTAGCTTTTGTGAGGGCACCCCTTTCAACTTCAAAACAGGAGGGTTTTTGGATGTTTCTCTTCAGCCTGGAGTTTGTCATCAATAACCCACAAGAATCAGGGATGAAAACTTAGGGGTTGGGTTGAGACACCCAGACCAGTTCTCGTTATCTTTAAGATCTTTAAGGGTTGAAATGGATGCCCATGTTTTGACACAGCGAGCCTCCACAGGCAAACCAGCCTGCAGATCCGAAAGATGCGGTGAATGCCAAGAATGCCATAGCCAAACTTTGGGGGTATGATTCGGTGTCTAGGGGATGAAAACCTTGGGACCAAGGTTCTGTTTGCCATGTTTTGGCAGGAAAGAACGGGTCTTTTTTTAGGTGGTTCAAAATGGATCACTCGCTAACTACATCCTGCTTAACCTGTTGCATCTTTGTAGCTTTTGTGAGGGTACCCCTTTCAACTTCAAAACAAGAGGGTTTTTCGATGTTTTTCTTCAGCCTAGAGTTTGCCATCAATAGCCCACAAGAATCAGGGATGAAAACTTAGGGATTGGGGTTGAGACACCCAGACCAGTTCTCGTTATCTTTAAGATCTCTAAGGGTTGAAACGGATGCCCATGTTGAGACTTTTCTGTTCCAATGTTTTGACACACCGAGCCTCAACAGGCAAATCAGCCCGCCAAGAAGGCCAAAACCAAACTTTGGGGATAGGATTCGGTGCCTAGGGGATGAAAACCTTGGGACCAAGGTTCTGTTTGCCATGTTTTGGTAGGGAAGAACGGGACTTTTTTTCAAGGTGGTTCAAAACGGATCACTCGCTGGCTACATCTTGTTTGACCTGTTGCATTTTTGTAGCTTTTGTGAGGGCACCCCTTGCAACTTCGAAACAGGAGGGTTTTTGGATGTTTTTCTTCAGCCTGGAGTTTGTCGTCAATAACTCACAAGAATCAAGGATGAAAACTTAGGGATTGGGGTTGAGACACCCAGACCAGTTCTCGTTATCTTTAAGATCTCTAAGGGTTGAAACGGATGCCCATGTTTTGACACAGCGAGCCTCAAAAGGCAAACCAGCCTGCAGATCCGAAAGATGCGGTGAATGCCAAGAATGCCATAGCCAAACTTTGGGGTAGGATTCGGTGTCTAGGGGATGAAAACCTTGGGACCAAGGTTCTGTTTGCCATGTTTTGGCAGGAAAGAACGGGTCTTTTTTTAGGTGGTTCAAAATAGATCACTCGCTGACTACATCCTGTTTGACTTGTTGCATCTTTGTAGCTTTTGTGAGGGTACCCCTTTCAACTTCAAAACAGGAGGGTTTTTCGATGTTTTTCTTCAGCCTGGAGTTTGCGATCAGTAGCCAACCAACAAGAATCAGGGATGAAAATTTAGGGATTGGGGTTGAGACACCCAGACCAGTTCTTGTTATCTTTAAGGTCTTTGAGGGTTGAAACAGATGCCCATGTTGAGACTTTTCTGTTCCAATGTTTTGACACAGCGAGCCTCAACAGGCAAATCAGCCTGCCAAGAAGGCCAAAACCAAACTTTGGGGATAGGATTCGGTGTCTAGGGGATGAAAACCTTGGGACCAAGGTTCTGTTTGCCATGTTTTGGTAGGGAAGAACGGATCTTTTTTAGGTGGTTCAAAATGGATCGCTTGCTAACTACCTGTTTAACCTGTTGCATTGGTCTGGAAATCATTTTGGCCGGAACAAAATGGCTTCCGGTCCCGCCGCACAATCTTTTCAACAGAATGAATCTCCAGGAAGTTAAAACAGCAAGATCCGGAGAATGAAAACCTTTGCTGAGGTTTAAGGGTCTATGCCGTGAGCACTTCAAGTTCCCGTAGCCAAAATAATATTTGTAGATGAAAACTTGTGAGCTGAAGTTCCCGCTGGATAGCTGCTGAATTCTTTGGAAAAAATGTATCTGGATAAAAACCAGTGACCTCAGCCTTTCACTAACTCTCATGTTGAAAATCCAATTTTGACTGAAACCCCTAAGCTTGACATTTGGCAAAGTTCTTCCAAAAAAAACTCTTATTGGATGAATATCGGCGCTTGAGGTTTTTTCATCAGATCCTTAAAACCCGTGCGTAACGTTTTTGGAGTACATTTCAAAGCCATCTGTGGGCTAAACCCAGGCGCTCCAGCCCTGGCTTTTTAGCCTTTGTGCTCCAACCGGGATCCGAAGGCTACTTTTCTAGAGGCGTCAGAAGGTAACGCCCGGCAGTGCCGCTTTGGTGCTGGAAGCCCGCTCAAGCAGACAGCTCCATGGGGTTTTGCTGTGGCGCAGCGCGGCTTTCGAGGCTTCGACCGGGCAGAAAGTGCTCCTGGGTCGAAGATGAGTCGCAACAGAACCTAAGCCATGCTGCACGTGACTCAGCCACCGCTCGTGCCTTCCACGCTGATCCAGTGCAATGTCATGTTGCTACTTACCATTTCGATACCCAAATGTCCATGAAACTTCACAAAAGCGTCCTCTGAATTTGCCTACCAACACTTTGTCTTCCATAATGTGCGTCTTCTTCCCATGAACTTGCCCCTTCGTGCCTGCTACCTCATTTTCTAGCAACCCAAGTTCTCCCGCCTGCAGCCATCCAAGATCTCCACAAGGATCTAGTCTGCTTGCGGGGTCAGCGGCAGTGGGCGGCAGCCATATCATATAATTAATTCGGCTCTGCCGGCTCCACATGAGTACACTGACACATGCGTTACAAGCGTCCCAGAGCGACTAGAGCTCATGGTGAGGCGCACCCCAAGCCGCCGACCCTCCGACGGCCCCGAAAAACACCAAAAATCCTTCACTTTGCTGGGGGAAAGCTTTTTGGACGGAATCCGGGTCGCTCATAAGCGTCTCCAAGAGCATTCCCCCCCCCGTTTTGAGGGCAGCTAAAATCGGAAAAAAGTGCGGTTTTGACACATTTTTCGGATGATTTTTAGCTTTTCAATGCTGTAATTTACAACATTTTTGCGTTTTAACGTCTTTTGCGGGAGCAATGCAAAAACGCAGAAAATGCTGTAAATACTAATACTTACTTTGTAGACCAGAGATGCACAAAACACTGCAAATACCAGTGTTTTTGAAAGCAAAGCAAACAAACACTGTAAATTACAACATTTTTGGCACGTTGATCGCAAAAAATGCTAGTATTTACATTGTTTTTGCAATTTCAAGAAAACGTGGAAGGCACAAAACACTCTAAATAGCAGTGTTTTGGCCACTTTTGGACGCCGAAACGCTAGTATTTACGCAGTTTTTTGCCCGTGACGGCGCCAAACCCTTGTAAATTACAGCATGTTTTGCCCTTTTTGAACCGATTTTTTGTCTTCATGAACGCAAAACACGCTGGTATTTACGTGTTTTTCAAAAAATCGAAGATCGTGATGTGAACGAAACCCTGTCAATAACAGTGTTTTAGCCACTCTTGGGGACTAGAACTGTAGTATTTACACGGGTTCTTGCCATCTGACAGCGCAAAATGCTGTAAATTACAGCACTTTGTGCGCTGTTTATGTTCAATGTTTAAACGCGCGATGCTTTCACATGTTCTTTGCATTCTTCCACAAGAAACAACGTTGCAGATTGAAACTGGACGACAGCGTGACCCGAAAGAAAGCTGCAGGGAGGAGACGCACGGAAGCTTTTTACACACACAGGGGCTTTTTCACAGAGAAGTCTTTACACAAAGGAGCTTTTTACATACAGAAGGTTTTACACAGAGAAGTCTTTACTCTAAGGAGCTTTTGCACATAAACGTCTAGGAGCTTTTTCACATAGAAGTTTTTACACGAAGAAGTCTTTACACAGCTGGTTTTTTTACACACGGACGCGTTTGCACACAGAAGCTTTTACACAGAGAAGCCTTTACACAGAGGAGCATTTTACACACAGAAGGTTTTACAAAGAGAAATCTTTACTCTAAGGAGCTTTTGCACATGGAGCTTTTACACGCAAAATCTGTTACACAAAGAAGCCTTTACACAGAGAGCTTTAGCACACAGACGCGTTTACACACAGAAACTTTTACACAGAGAAGCCTTTACACAGAGAGTTTTTACACAGAGAAATCTTTACACAGACGCGCTTTCACACAGAGAAGCTTTCACACACAGAAGGAAGCTTTTACACAAAGAAGTCTTTACACAGAGAAACTTTTACACACGGAAACTTTTACACACAAAAGCTTTTACACAGAGAAGTCTCTGTACAGAGGCGCCTTTACACGAAGTAACACGTTGAAATTGGCAGCAGTTCTTTAGGAAAAACCCTTCACAGGAGCTTTCGGGAACTCACTTGCTCCCAAAAAACCGTCTATTTCCAACAAGCAGGTCCTCATTCAATAGCTTTCAAGCCCACACTGCAATGAGATGGAGGGTCGCGTATTCCGGCGGAGCCGACGATGAGCGTCAGCTCAAAATATACATACCATACCATACCATACCATACCATACCATACCATCCCAACATATATATATATATATACAAATATATAAAAAGTGATATATCATATAAATATACTATGACAGTCACAGTGTATAGGCGACTTTTTGTTGCGGATCAGTGATGACCCCCACCTCTTGCCCAATGTGGCGCTGCTGTCGTCCACCATGCAGGTGTGACCCATCTCAGCGGCCTGGCGGGGAAAACATCCAAGTTGCTCGTGGGGATATGTGGAGATCATGACTGGTTGCGCTGGTTGTAGTAATGCAATGGAATCTATAGTGATGCATATTGATTATAATATCATAAAATATTCTCATAGTTGTAAACCTTTCTAGATGTAGCATGTGTTGGCAATAAAAAACAGTTGATTGATGATTATATGTGATTGTACTATCCAATATATTGTGTTTTGAACTTCAATGGATAATGCATGAAAATGTCTTTTCTATTGGTATAGTTTTCCCATCAAGTGATGGATCTAAGGGTGGTGCAGTTGCATTTCTTTTGATGCGACTAGAAGATACATTGAGGGGCTCCTTGGTATGACAGGAATCGCACTGCAAAAGTGCCACGTAGGGCTACCAGTACCTACTAATCCATTGCATGATATAACCCAAAAAAATACTTAAAAATAATCTCATTTGGGTTTCATCTTCTATTTGGTGCTACAACAGGTCTAACCACTGCAATTCCACCAGGAACGCCGTACCTCGTTCTGCATGAGGTTCATCAACTCCGCATATTTGGGTGCCCGCTGAACTCTTTGATCCTGGCTGCCAGCTACTGCAACTACTGCCCTGAGGGAAGGTTCCTGTGCTGACAAACGCTCCCCCAAAACGGCCTGGGGCAGAATCGTCATCTTATACGGAGCTATGTTGGATCTCGGAACAGCGAGCAAAAAAGAAAACTGTGCATCAGCCCAGAGACATCCTGCAGTTCAACCAAGCAGGAAATGAGATTGTTCCAGAAGATTAGAATAGACCATATGTAAATCATTCTAAATCGTTGTAAATCTATGTAAATCTATCTAACTCTGATGTCTGACAAGGATGCATACAACCGACTGCAACCACAACTTCATCACTTCGTCTCTCGCTGCCGCCCTCGTGTGTTGAGCTGATCTTGATGCAGGTGGCTGACACAGGCTGACACACCAAGTACTGGGCGAAAATCGAAGAACTGCGCGAATCTGCTTGTCGCCATCATTTTCTTCCTCACGCTTTGGTCCCAGGCCCACCTCCTTCCCAACTCCGCTCAACCACTTTGTTTTATGGAGATCTGTGCGGTGATCGAAGTGTATCCAGCATAACTCCTTGTAATTCGAGAGTTAAAAGACTTCACTGGGAGCTCCAGCTGGCTCAAGCTGCCCCAATTAACCATATCTAGCCTATTTGAGCGACACATCTGCAAGGCAAGTAGAACATTGACACCTTCTGCATCCCCGCTGCCGAAATTCAAACTCCTTGGGTCTCGCATAGTACGAGTGCTCCAAAACCGAAAACAAGATCCGATCGATGCCGAAGGAAGGCTCCACCACTCCAGGTGTAAAGGTCACCGTTGACTGCTTCTCCTGGAGTCATGGGTACATACGCGGGTGGCTCACCAAACAAAGCAACAACCAGTCTTGATTTAACCAACAAACATTGGGATTCAACCACCAACAAACATGGGGTTCTCTTATCTTCTATCCACAGGTCACTATAGGAGAGAGAGAGAGAGAGGCAGCACTGAGCGTTTAGATCTGCAGGGATCTCCATGGATCTCCTTCTTCACTTCGCACTGGAGGTGCTCTGGGAGGAAGGTACACTCCTGCAGGATTCCAAGGATGTCCAATGTACTTCACTTCCTAAATCTTCTTATCTTCCTATATTTCTATATCCATATTTATATAGCATAACAGAACTAGATTCAATTGGACGCCTCAAAGACACTAAAAACACCACAGGTGCTTGGTCATCTTCCGTGAGGCAAAGATCGCTCCTCCAAAGCACCGTCTGGCAGCTCTACGGTCCTGGCGATCCGCAGCAGTGATTCACCGTGGGCAGCTTGGTGCATTTTTGATGCCCATCTTACCATATCACTTACATTCACTTACCAGTACCATATTACTTAACATATCTTACCATTCTTGCCATCAGAATCATCACTGTATTGATCATCCAGCAATATCCAGTAACAGTATATCTCTGGAAAAACATAGAAAGTGCATGGCTCCATCTGGTCCTTGCGGCTTGGCCCTTGGCTTCGACATCAGCGATCAGTTGTTTCAGCTCATCTTGAGGGAGTTTCTCCACCCACTCCTCCAGCTATGACTGGGTGCTTGAGCCCTCCCGTTACCACCAGACATACGAAGTCAATTGGGGATTATCATTCGAGGTCCGAATGAAACCGGACCTTGAATCATGTTTGAAATTGTTTGAAACCAACAATGACCAGATCAATGACTACTTGGCGAATCGAACCCTACAGACCTACATGAAACCCTTGTGGCTGTCTGTGGTTTCCTTGCCTTAACAGGTCGACCGATCTTCTTGAAAGCTTTCATCATCGTCACTCCAGCTTCCTATTGCAGGGGTGCTAGGTGCCAAGCATGGACCGGATGGGCTGCTGGGGACCGTCAGTGCGTGGTGAACCTTACCTGCCTCGTCAAATGCTGATCTGCTCTGGAGTGCATCTCAGTTTGCCATGCTGCAATTCTTGTAGGTCATTAAACACCCCTTTGGGCAAACTTGTCGTTACCCAATAAGAAATAGGTAAAAGAAAGACCCATCTTTCAACCAAACGCAGGGGACTGCCCCACGATTCTGCCTTCTTCAATCGAAGAACATCCATTTCAATCGGCTGCTCCAATGTTTCTCTGAAGGCGAGATCAACTTTTGCCGCCTGTGACAGGTCACATGAGCCAACTTGGATCCATACATTCCAAGGATGCTCTCCAAAAACTGAATTCTAGCATTTTTAGTGGGCTACTTTACCGCGCAACCTCACAAACAAAGAATGTTTGCGCCAGAGGTCAACCATGACAATCTCACAACATGCGAATGAAAGAACAGCCTTGGCATGTGCGTTGAGGTCAAAACAAGCACGGTCAGCAATGCCGACGCACCTTGTTGCTGCACACAAGCGGCACTTGAGAACCCATCATCTGTTCTTTGCACGACCAACTTCTGGGACAAACACAGGCAGCCCAAGTATCCACCAATACATGCTACACACATATCATATCTATAGATATACAACTGTAATAATGCTGCATGGTAAAAACTATAATAAACACCGATAGTGTGATATATTAACATGCTCTTACTTTATCCAACAAGCTTTCCGCAAACTACGTGAAGCTAGATGCCTGTGTAACAACTAACTAGATTGGAAAAAAAAAGGTGCCACGGAACTCAGACAGCCACTCCAACCATCCATAGCAGGTTTCGATCTCTGCATCCCAACCTTAGCGTTTTCTTTTCTGATTTGGGTTTGTCTCTGAATGGGGGATACCGGGATACCCCAAAATTGTCATTCTTATAGGCGGGGAATTATATGAAATTATGATCAACCAATCAATATGGGGCTATCGCATTTTCAGACCATGTCTGTGATGTGTCACCTGGACAATTTTACAGTGTTTACCTGCAGAAACATAGGCAAAGTTGGTGTCTGCAAAAGATCACCTAGCCCCTTGGACTCTCAGCCTTTCACAATCGCAAGCATAGTGAGCCATTTCAGTAGGCAGGTGCTGACCTGGTTGCCGCGCTTGCATTTGGCGTTGCTGAACTGGCGTTTAGTAGTGAGCCTATCAGACCATTGACTTCAAATGACCAGAGATCTGCAACATGAGATCTCTGAAGATGAAATATCCTGGGTCCTGGGATGCCATTGATGTTTTTAGTTGGAAGGGCTCTGCCAAGTAGCCAAATGTTTTTCAAAATGGCCAGCCAGAAAACCATAATTTGGATTAATTCGGCCACTCTTTGGATGAAACTGAGAGACCTTCGAAAGCCGGGCACCCAAACGGAACCGGCAGTGGTCTGCTTTGATGCCAATGCTGGTCAAGAAAAGGTACGTCCTTGCGGGCATAGCGAAGAATATTGCGAAGCTGTCCATGGGTTTTGGGATCTCGATGCTAGAATTTTTGGAGTGTCATGTCCTCAAAGTTGCAAAGCTGAAAGGCTCAGCATGGACTTCCAGACATTGGGGTCCGGCTTGAACTTTAAATTCAAACAAACCGACATAAACCAAGTCGAACTCTCGCGCCTTACGATGAAATAACCCAGGGTCTCATTGTTCACCATCTGACCTGGTCAAAGCAAGGCCCAAGAAAGTGTGGGATTTTCACCACCCTGCCAGTTGTATAGAGATGATCTCTTGTGACCTGCTTCAAGAAAAATAAGAAAACTTGCGATCTGAGCGCTAGCGATTCCAAATCTTCCAAAGAAAAATCAAATAAATCCAAATAGTCACTAGATGTGCCAAGATGTGCCAAGACAATCCAAGACAATCCAAGATCTCAGCTTCTGACTTTCGACCGCCTCGCCGATGGTCATCCTCTTGGGCGGCCTGGATCACTTTTGTGGTCGCTACAGCCAGCCAAGAAGCTGCGTTGTTTGATGCGGGGTAGCAACCAACATATTTGAACATTGGGCATCAGTGCCCCCAAAAAATGGAATGCACCAAAAAAAAAAGTCTGAATATACAATTTATTTCAGAAAAAATGGATTCGTTTTTGGTCCACCCAAAAAAGAATGTGCCAAACTTTCTCCAAACTGAACACCCAAAAACCTCAACCGTCCCAAAAAACATGTTCATATATATATATATTATATATAGATATTATATATATATAGATATTATATATATATGCATATGTATATATGTACATGTGTATATATAATATATATAATAAATAAATAAATGAATTTAATGAATGAATAAATAAATAGATATAGATAAATAGATAAACATAGACTACAATATATAGATGTTCATTGAACTAGATTGTGCAGCCACCTGAAGAAACCTGTCATCTCTGGCCAGGACTTGGTGCTGGTACTGACCAGAGAGCTGCAGCTCCGAGGAGTAGAGCAGCAGCTTCTCAGAACTCACAGCCTGGGGGATCATCTCAAATTAAATGTGTGTCATTGTGTGTCTGGAAATAGGGTGCCTACTGTAAATTTGATGGTTGATATATTGCGTCACCATATCTCACCATCCTTTTACCTTATTAAACCCAGAAATGGGGGTGGCAATCCTCCATTTTCGGAGAAACCCAAATGTCCTGCGTAGCGCAAGCGCCTCGAACTTCCTCATCTGCTTGGCGGTGGGCTTGACAAACCACTCAATCTCAGCCTGTGAACAGCAGTCACAAGTCGTCACCAGGCGGGAAATGCCTCAGAAGAGACTCTTGTCATGAAGAACTTGTGAAATCGTGTAAACAACTAATAACTTAGACTGAAAGAACTAATAACATCTAGTCTAGATCATCTAATCTAATATGAAATTATCTAATAAACTAATAAGCTGGAAAGTTCATGAAAAGTCTGGAAAGAAACATGGATTGAGTAGCGAGGCACAAGCCTACCAGAAATGGAACCAAGACCTCTATCTTCATTCTTCACGTCTTGATATGTCTTGGAAGTCTTTGAAGTTACAAAGCACTTTGGCCCGACAGCTCTTTTTACGGGCCCGTCCAGGACCCCAGACCTGGGTGAACTCTCTTTGTCGTGTCAAGCCCTGTCGTGGCGCAATCTCGTTCCTGAAGGACTTTCCGACCTGCGACTCTCCCAATGAAGCCAATGGCTACAAATGGAGAATCAGCAAATCCACGGATTGTCAGTGACTGGGCGAAGAAAAAATGCACGGATTTTGAGATCCCAGAAATCCATAGAATCAGTAGAGTAATTAATAGGTGCAATAGAAATAACATGAATGAGTTAAACAAGTGGCAAATAACAACCTGTGTGGGTCCACTGCATCCAACCACCCCACTCTGCCTGTGCAACGCCAAAGGGGAGACGTCCACCGTTCTGCTCAAGGCAGTACCTGACCAAAATCTCTGGCGGCCGAAAATGTCTCGCATTTGTCACAGCTTGCAGGCGCACTTGTAGTTCAAGAAAATTCCTTGGGCGGTTTCAGGTCGCAAGTACCTGCACAGTTGCTAAGAGCACTGAGTCACAAGTCCATGAACCGTTTCCTCACATGTCATCTCAGATTCTCGAAACGGGTATTAGATGTATTGGCTCAAATGGGTTCATTTTCACTTTGAAGCTGTCCCCAGGACCAAGTTCCTCCACTTGGGCACCCCTGAATGAGGCCAGCAGGACCAATGGGAGTTGGAAACCTGGGCTGCTGTGACCCGAGTGGCTCAAAGATGTTTAAAGGGATTCCTACGGGAAGTGAAGCTGGTCCGTCTAGTCTCAAACCTCACGCTGACATGAATGCCTTTCGTCGCCCTTCACATGCCGCAGTATCATTGCATCCTGGAAGCATTAAGTTGAAGGGCTCGGGATCGGTGAGCTTGTTACCAGACTGCAGGGATAATAGCATCAAGATCAGGCAGTCAGTCATTGCTTCATATTTTGCCTTCATGCAACATCTGTGCCATGCACCTCTGGAGATCGCACGTCATATCTCCTTGGAGCCCCGTGGATGTCAACGAGACCGCTGAAACAGCTCAAACAACGCTCCAGACCCTGCGGGATGGGGGGTAAGTTCTTCTGCGCCAAAGAAAAACTCAACCACTACCATGGCTTTCATTTGTGAAAAAAGAAACACTAGCCAGTCTCATCAATAACAATTTGGTCTATTAGTCCATGGAATGTCTATGGTTCCTCTCTTCCCGTTCAGGACTTGCCCAAAGCCTTTCCAGTAAATCCCTTCCACATCTTCCACTCTGAGAAGATTGAGTTGTCCTGAAGATCTCCGTAATCTCTTCTTGTGAATAGGCATCTGCCTGGTTCCTGTCCAAGGCAGAACTCGTCGCTTTGCCAGCACTACAGGATGAATGCTGTGGTTCACTATTGACCTGACAGATTCTTCATGATTCTTCAATTCCCACACCCCGCTGAATGGTTCCTGGCAAATGGTGGTTGAAACATGTTGAAACAGGTTTTAACATGGCTTCCAGCGCTGCCTCACGAGGGTGTACTCTTTGACTTTCTCCTCGGACAAACCCTTTTCCTGCGCGGTGGAAATGGACAGGAAACGTGCGTTTGCCATTCCCCCTAGAAACATCAAAGCATATGATGAGAATCTGGCATTATCTCACCACTGATGACTCCTGTTTCCTGGATTGCCTGAACGTCCTGGAGATCAATTGACCATCCCGGTTATTTTTGGGCTCCCGGAGATCACTTGCTGGATGTCAGCCACTCTGTTTATACTTTGGCTGTCGTGGCACGGTGGGTTGTATCACTGGAAGCTCTGAGACGTTGTCGTCAAGCAGTTTCTGTTTCAAGAAATCTCACACACCCACTAGACAAAATTGGATCTTTTAAGTGATCCATCAGGAACTGAGTCCTTTTCACATGCAACAAGACTAGAAAATTGACCTAAACTATCCTAAAGTAGATCTCTTGGCAGGTACGTCAGAAAGGTGTCCCTTTCTGATATCACAGATCAAGGCAAGTGTCTTTGTTAGTGCCAGACTTGCAATGATCCCTGGCACCCCCTGCACAAAACCATTGAAACCGATGACAATGAAAACAAGAAGGAGAGAAAAAAGAAAAAGGAGAGGTTTTACATCTATACAGATGTTACATACACACACACTTACTGTAAATTCACTTAAACCAAATAGACTAGACCTTCTCTTCCATGCTTCAAATTGAGTACATTCGAATACTCTCTCCCCAACCGCCTTCAACTTCGCATCCATCAGGTCCTGTCCCGCAGGTTCATCCAGGGATGGAATGAATCCGAATTCAACACCAAGCAATGACCAAGCAACAAGCAGGTCGATTCCTCTAAGAGTTTGTCGGCCCGAAAGAACTTCTTCTCGTCTTGGCAATCCCGAACTAGGAAATCGCTGAAGCGATCGACATGGCCAGACGCCTGGAGTGCGTAGATGCATGTGCCCTGCTAGGCATTCTGCTGAAGGCTGAGGGATAATCGGATACTGAGTGCAAAATAGTGCAAATATGTACAAGTATCATCAAGGAATATCAAGGATCTATTGAATCCTGTCCAGCTTCTCACTTTGACTCTTGAATTAGAGTACTTTGAACATAGATCCAGACGTTGCACTGTCTTGTTCAGTTTTAGTTGGTACAGTACAGGCTAGCTTATTTTGTTCTTTACAAGTGACGACCAAATGAAAGGAGAGGCACTTGAGTGAGGGGCTAGTATCTCAAGCCCCTGGAGCGGAAATGAATGGTGCTGATCAATTCTTCGGGTATCAACATGCCACCACTGGCATATGTCTAGCCTTCGGACATGCTGTTGGTGGCACAGGTCTTTCACCAGGAAGTGCAGCTTGCAAGCTATCAAAAATGGTTTATCTACACCTACGTTGATCAAACTTAGAATCTGCCTGAAACAATGGTACCTTTTTCGCATGCTGGCAGCGTGTGATCGGCCTTCAGCACAGGATGTGGCATGATGTTCGTATCCTCGATTTCCATCATCCTCTCCTGGAAATGTGGATACACTTTGTAGGCCACTCGATTTTGAAAGGACTGCACTGGAATGTTTCCTTGCATGGTGAAAAAATATGAAAAAATGGTATACATCGATAGTTCCACTTGCTGCCGCAAATTCACAGCGTCGTCAATCGGTCGCTCTACTCTTTTACTTAGGAAACCAACACCTCTGTAGAGAAATCCACACAAGGCTCCTCGATCACAAAATGCCGCCGCCACTGCTTGATGATGTTGGTCTTCAATGCACATCCTGGAACACTTATTGATTTTGTCAGTGTAGCAAAAAAGATACTGTAAGTTCCAAGTGAGCACCAAATTTGGCAGCAAAAGACCCCAGAGATTTTGAAATTTCTACAAAGATCGAAGGGACTGGCCCGGTTTGGATGTTTGGGGCCCTAATCGGCCCTAATCCAAATGCTGTGTTGCGTGAACCCATGTGAACATCGTGAACCCATCCTGGCGGACCATAAGTGTAGAAGCCGCTGACGCCTCCGTAGATTTCGGAGCCCTCAGCGACCGACGATTGTGGCTTTCAGGGCTTCCCAAACTCAAACTGCACAAAACACTTAAAATACATAGAGTCTCTATGTAAAGGAGAGTTCATGAAAACATCGCACCACCCCAAGACACTCTGGTAATCTCTGGTAAGTTTCTATTTGATCCAAGCATGTCAAACGCCTTTCAGCAGGAAAAGTACAGTAACTGCTCTGCTTGGTTGCGAATGAAGACAGCCCAAGTCAGAAGCTAACAGCAGCCGATGCAGTCAGAAACCATGTGGTGTTGCTAACCAAAACAATGGATGATTCTAACTTAACCATGATCGCAGCGAAAGAAAAAGCAAACAACGGCAACATGAAATGCTAAGAAGATCTTCCAACACCTCAGAAGTTGCACCAAACGTCAACCCACAAACCATGTGTCCATCTGTGCTGCAACCGGTTTGGTACCCAAAGGTGCTCAGCAAATGGCCTGCCGAAAGAAGAAGCGCCGTTTGCAAAGATCTTCCAAGTCTGAACGGTTCCTGACGGAAGCTCAACCACAACATGTTCACAACGCTCAAAAAACCCAAGACCTCCCAATGTCACCCAAAGTACTGTTCGGACTGCTCGAAATTGCAATCTTTTTCGCCGGCTCCCATCTCATGAGTCTCACGTAATGGCTTCAAATCAAAGATAAACTCGCAGTGTAAATCGAACGTCTCTGCGACAAGTAGGGCACATCACAGAACTGGCCTTGCTGACTTGCGCCAGGCGATCATAACATGGTTTGCACACGCAAATGTGCCCACAAGGAACGAAGGCTTCAGATTTCTTCGCGTCCAGGCAAATCACGCACTGGGATTCACGCCGGATCTCCGTCAACTCGCTCTTCATTCGAGCGTTGTTCTCTAAATTCTGGTTCATTTCTAACTGCTCGCAGATGAGATTGAAGGAACTCTTTTCCATCTTTTCCATCTCCCTTGCCTCTTCTGTTCTCACGGCGGCTTCTTGCTTTTGCTCCCGCAATTGCTTCTCGAGCTGGTCTGCCGTCAGCTTCAGCTTGCAAGCCTCCTTCGCTGCGGCACCAGCGCCAGCTGCAGAGAAATGCTCCGGATATCCTCGAGCATCGGTTTGTGCAATTGCACTGGATGATGAAAGGTTTCCGTCCAAAGCCTTCGGCGGTCTGGCTTAAAAAAGCCCTGCTGGCCTCAGGAACCGTTTTGCCGTTTCCTCTTGACCTTACCTTCTTCTTTGTGCCAACACAATTCGCTTCGTGGTTTCGCAAATTTCCAACTGAGTAGACTAATTCACAACCCTGCGAGCCACGCTGATACGTTTCCCCTTTGTGAACCATGGCGAGAAGCACCGCAAGAGATACTATCTTCGAATCAGGGCGGCAATGGTTTCTATGTTTCAAGAAACAAACGCGTGTAAAACATCGGATATGATTTATGCTGTGACATACTCTGTATGGAAAGCAACAAAAAGCAATGGACATAAGACATACTTTCCATTTGAAAACCACTGCTTTGAGAACAAATGAATTGTGTCTACTGACGTTCTTTAATATTAATAATTAATGTGGTTTTTTCATATGTTTTTGAAACCTTGTGACACTCTGAATTGAAAGCAAGGTGTTTCTCTGGCTAAAGCTTTTCGGCCAAACATTCTGACATCTCCTTTGGGAGGTAAACCTGTGAAACAGACGCGTAGTATAATCAAATAATCAAACACAATAAATGGAAACACCTGAAAGCATGATGTGAAATCCAGTGAGATCAAAAGCCGTTGCCGCAAACGATTTCTGCATTGGCAGGGGTGTGAGGATTCATGAACTTGATTATGTGGGGACATAATGTGTATACATGCAGTACAACATTTCCTGAGCGTGCTTTAGGTGCAACTATCATTATTGAATATCCATCATAGCAAGGCTGAGATCCAACACTTATGTAATTATGAATCTACCAGTCAGCATAGTCTGTGTTCATGGCAAACCGCACTGTTGTGTCATAGTTATAGTCATAAAGTCCAAGCTATTCACAGTTGAATCCACGGGGGAGGATGAGGACAGCCTCAAGAATTATACGGACCTTTGCTGCAAATGTGCCCTTCCCTTCGAGCAGTACCAGTGTTGAAAACCACTTTGACAAAAGGCAACTCTGCATAGGGCAGGGTGAGGAAGGATCAAACATATTGTATAATATTGTATATATCGACATCCAACATTCACCCGAGAACTTTAATTTCTGTGGCACCTAGTCCAAATATATGTTGAACGATATGACTCATAAGAGAATCTCCCTCAAGATGATAACAATTGAGATCATTTGGGCGACGTTTGACTCAACAGCACCCAGCACCCAACTTTTCCGCCGCAAACAGGCCGGATCGCTTTCAGCGGTGCCTGTGTCGGGTCACCACCATTCAGTGGTGACTCAAAAGCCGGGGAACCCACGGATTTCCCGGTGAGACGAGCTTGGAAAACGCCCGGCAAGTAAGAGACTCTGAAGGTCTGGCTGTGGCTACCTTGGAATTCAGATGTGATAAAACATGATAAAACATATATAAAGCATATATAAAACATATATAAAACATGAAGGTGATCAAAACTGATAGCCAGACCTCCAAGCTGAGTAGGATACAAGCTGTGCAGGCTACGTCGCACGAGCGCTTTTCGCCCGTATGATACAACTGGTCACTTGTCATGGAGAACACGGTACCTTTCAGCATCTTCACAGCATCAGCTCATTGATTGGTACATCATGGTATATCATGGTATATCATCTTTAATTGCACCGTTGTCTTCACATGTTTGTCCTATGGTCCGATCTCATGCAGTGACATCCTTTCTAAAATGTTCTTCTTCTATTGATTATGGGAGGATACTTATCACACTTATCTATTTGATCTCTAAAAATCAGTGGAAAAAGACATCGCCTCGTCCTCACCAGTCTCCATCCATCTCTCTTAGGATGTGACCCAGTCCATCCCGCTGGAGCTTCCCAGTCGTATTGTTTCATGAACCTTCACGAGTCGTTTCCGATCATTCCATGGAGATCAACTGAGGCGTTTGGAGCTGTGCCATGGCTTTTGCTGAAGTGCTGCCTCAACAAAGCCGCAGAAGGCCCATCCTCTGTTGCCAACAGGAATCGGGTCACCTGCATCAAGCAACAATTCAAACGAAGTCTCAGTCTGTAGTCTGTAGTTCCTGATATTCAAACAGTTCTGAAACAGTTTCACCCGAATATCAGGGACACGCCCCAAATTGACAGGAGGACTGGAGTCGAAATCCAAATGCGTTAATGCGTGGCAGGTGCACAGATCTGAATTTGTTTCGATTGCAGATTGATGGTTTGCGTTGATGATAGAGAAGTGCACATTGTATCAACGTCTGCCAGCAACATCAGCAACTAATAAACGGCTCAAAAGACGCCTCCAGCATGTCCTTCGCCACGCCCCACTCGCCAGCCTTATAGAAAGAGCACCGTCCAGGGATCTTGTGGGTGCATGTTGATCTATTCAGGAATGGATCTTGTTGGCTTAATTAATTGCTTTTTTTGTGGCTTAGATTCTGCCGTGATTTTTCTTGGTCCTCATTGCATCAATCGCTCTTGATCACAGATTCCCAAGTATCACCGAACTCTCTACCTGAATGTGTCAACCGTTCCTGCCGCAACTGCCTCGTAGTTCAAGTAGGCCATGTTAAATCGGCAAAAGAACCTTACAATCAAGAGACTGTTGCCTTCCAATGCCACAAATTGGAAGAATTCCAGAGGTAAAGTTCATGATCCTGTGAAAAGTGAAGATCAAACTAGACTTGCAAATGAGTGCAGCTGAGGATTACACAGCAATCAAAGGGGGTAAACTTTCTTGATATACAAATGGCACACGCAGTCGCACTACAGATGGGCTCAGGATGGCACTCTGAGGTGAACTTGTTCCGCATTGTCATGATATCTGCATCTCTTGTGAGCATGAAGCACATCCTGGGGCCCAGTGGTAGATGAGAGAGGGTGTGGCAAGGCGTTCCTTTGTTTGTCCGGATCCCCCTGCTGCTACAAACATCAAGCAGTAGAATCAGTAGAATCTGGAAACCTCGCCAAAAAAGGACTCATCTAAAGGTCTGGATGAATTGCAGATGATGTGTCTCAAAGTAAGTGAGCCCCAAGCCATCAGTTTAGTGGTCCAAATTCAATGGACACCTCCATGAATCGGAGAATATGATCCTTGAGTCCTTGAGATGTAATCCCCCTCCCAGGTTTAGCTACAGCCCACAGCGCCACAAATTGACATCGGTGCCAAATAGCTGGAAATCATCACTCCAGCGCTCGGCTTTGGTTCGTTCTCGCTCATGGCCTAATTGCTCACGATCAGATGCGGCCCGTCTGTGATTCAAACTTAAGATGTTCAAAGCTAAATCGATCCAAGGCGAACATCAGTGGCAAGCGTTGCTGCGCTCTGAATATGTACCGCTGTGACTCTGGAATGAAAAAGAAAAGGATCCAAAACTAAGAAAAGGGATATACACTTAAGAATGCGACGCAACCTGTACTTGTCCTTCTTTTGAGCTGCCTGCTGCAATCTGCTGCAGAGTCAGAATTCAGCGATCGTTTTATCCTTTTACCTGAAAACATTTTTCAGAATCGTGAAAGACAGAAGACAACGCTGAAAGGCTGGTCCTGCCAGAATTAATCAAATCAAAATGGAAAGTCAATGATACTATTGCATACTATTGCGTAGTAATTAGAATCCGTATCCCGTATCCAGCTACAAAATGTTTTCGAGGTGGAAAGTCCGTGTCCATCTCCTGGGAAAAGAATACCAACAGAGACCTAGACACAAAAGGTAAAGTTCCCTTTCATGCCAAGCTTGCCTCAATCGCAACAACAACAACAACAACAACAACAACACCAGCAACAACAACAACAACAAGAACAAGAACAAGAACAACAAGAACAACAACAACAACAACAGCAGCAGCAGCAGCAACAGCAACAGCAACAACAACAACAACGACGACAACAACGACGACAACACGCAGGAAACCGATCGCAAGCAAGGCGTTGAATCGCTGTCTGCCTCCCGACTGGCAGCCAAGTTGTCTCCGGTCTTTCGGCCATCGGACAATATTCCTGCGCCATTTCAGAACTTGGGCCTCTTGGAATGGTAACTAGACTGAGCATGACTGAGCCACAACACCACTTCCAGGGAGTACCAATGTTTCTCCATTTTTTGAATAGGTTGAACGAGAATATTTTATGATATTTTGTCTTGTACCCTGTGGTAATCAAAAATGCCCCATTCAATTAGTGTTCCATGATTGTCCATTAAAACAACTCCATTTTATTTAGAAAGTTCATGGATTTCCCAGACCGTATGCGTATAGATCCTGATTAAATCCCATTAAATCCCCTTGAATCCCATTGAATAAATCCCCTTGAATCCCGTTAACTCCCACGGAATTCCAATTTGTTGCTAGTTAAACCGTGTTAAACAATTTAAAACCCCTTTCTTGGTCAAAGATCTTAGTCTTAGCACTTCCCATGCTGCAAGTTCCATCTCTCCTTGCACGGCTGCTGGAGGTGGTGCCTGTTCAACCTGGTGGTATGGTCTCATGATGCTGCCAATGTACGCTATGAATACATCACAAAACATCCTGGAAATCTTGTCTATAACTAATGCAAATACATTTACATATTCAATATGTTAAATCATCTTCAATCCTGATGTCAGGTCGCATTCTAGCAAACTTATGCAAGCATGTAGGAAACACATGCTCGGAAATCCTCCAGTGCCAGGTCATTCAAGTCATAGGTGTAGAGCTTGAAAGGCTCCTGCAGTCATGTGGGCACCCAGCTGTGGGACCCGGCGAGTGGCCTTGATCCCAACATCTCTCTGGACAAATGGGTGGTTCTAAAGATTGATAAAGATTGGGTACCCCAAAACCATGAATTTCCTCATTTTGAGATGAGCGATAGTTTGGATATCTTTGGATGGTGTCAGGGTCCCCCATTTTGGGAAAACCCCGAGAGCCTTCGTTGCTGAAAGCCTCACATGGTCGATGATGCGACATTCCTGGCCGTCGCGGCCATGGCAAGGCAAAACTGGCAAAGTCTCAACGGTCAGGGATCCCAGGCTTGGGAGACCCTCATGTACCAAACACAAACACAAACTGTCATCAAATGTCATCAAATGTCATGAAACTCATCAAATGTCAAACAACTATAAACAACTTCTAACATTCTTCCAACACCTTTCGGCTGGACAAGTTGAAAGCGAGAGGTCTGACTGAAGCCCATCAGAGTCACATCCCCCAGAATTTCAGCCAGCCTCAGCAACCTCAACCGACATGAGTTTAATGATGGCGTCGGTCATCAGAATGAGGCAGCCGTATTGCTTGGTGACGGCCTGCAACAAGACTCATGTGTCTGTAGCACTTGGAAATCAGGGACAATTCTGTCCTTCCAGGTTTAAGAACTCAGAAGACGGGCATTTCAACACGACAAATTGTGATATAATTTGCACCAGGACTTGAGGGACGTAGCATTAGAGGTGAAAAAGATCAGCTCCTAGCCAAAAAAGTTGCTGTTTGAGTGTTTCATACTGTTTCTGATGAACTGTACACGTCGAACCCTTCCAGCATATTACAATTACAGCGGTACCCCTTCACTCGCATTCACTCGAGTTTACCCTGGCTTTACACCATTCGCACAGTGGAGAAATTTTCTGTCAAGCCATGGAGGTCTGGTCGCACCTCAAGTCTGGCAGCCATGTTGACGTTGGGGCTCAGGTACGAAGCATCAATCTTGAACTCCGAGCCGATGGCGCCCTGAGCCGATCTGAAAGCTACCTTGGAATTCCTCCAGGCTCTTTAAACATCTTCGCTGCAACCCCTTGGTTCACCCACACTCAAACAACACATCCAAACAATATATAACAATATGATATACTTATCACCAGAGGATGAATGAAAACACTGGCTACACACAGTGATTTTGACTTTAAGTTTTCAGGATTTAGGGTTTCAATTTAGGGTTTAGGTTTAAGGGTTTTAGGTTTTAGGGTTTTGGTGCTTGTTGTTTCGGAAAGTAAATTACTCTACTTCGTGTGATCCCCACCATGACATGTCAGGACGTATATTTGGACATATGTTTAGTATATTCTGACATCCTATCTGACATATATTCTGGCATATATTCTGGCATTCTATCTGGCATATATCCTGACATTCCACCTGGCATTCTATCTGGCAGTCTATCTGGCATTCTATCTGACATATTTTCTGACATTTCATCTGACATATATTCTGGCATTCTACCTGTCATTTATTCTGACATATATTCTGGCATTCTATCTGACATATATTCTGGCATTCTATCCGGCATTATATCTGACATATATTTTGGCATTCTATCTGACATATATTCTGGCATATATGTTGGCATTCTATCTGGCATTATATCTGACATATATTCTGACATTCTATCTGACATTTTATCTGGCAGTCTTCTGGCATTCTATCTGGCATTCTTTCTGGCATTCTATCTGGCATTCTATCTGGCATCCTATCTGACATTCTATCTGGCATTCTATCTGGCATGGCATTCTATTCTATCTGGCATTCTATCTGGCATCCTATCTGACATTCTATCTGGCATTCTATCTGGCAGTCTATCTGACATTCCTACATGAGGTCCGGCAGGGAACACTGGGCGCGGATGGTCGCGGTTGAGGTCCGGCAGGGAACACTGGGCGCGGATGGTCGCGGTTGAGGTCCGGCAGGGAACACTGGGCGCGGATGGTCGTGGTTGAGGTCCGGCAGGGAACACTGGGCGTGGATGGTCGTGGTTGAGGTCCGGCAGGGAACACTGGGCGTGGATGGTCGTGGTTGAGGTCCGGCAGAGAACACTGTGGATCGCGGGTCGCAGTTGAGCAAGGACGACGAGGACGACGAGGACGACGAGGAGGACGAGGAGGAGGAGGAGAGGAGGAGGAGGAGCAGGAGGAGGAGCAGGAGGAGGAGCAGGAGGAGGAGGAGGCAACTGACATAAAATCTAACAACCCTCACCTGGCAGGTGGGGAAGAACTTAAACCCTGCGCAGGGATTTGAGCATGTCAAAGGATATGCGGGATTGGCCGCGGGCAAACCTAGGGGTTGCAGCGAACATGTTTAAACCTTAGAAAATGTACCAAGGATGTGTACAAGAAAGAAGGCTGGACATGATGGACATGTTCACGGAAACCAATGCTACAGTCATCCACCCAAGGATTGCAAACAAAAATGTGGATTTCTCTCCAAATAAGGAACAAGATGGAACAAGTATCCCCAAAATTGATGCTTTATGATAATATGCCCCGAATAAAATTGCCATTTTTGGTATACTTCATTTTCAAACAAAGCAATCGGCGCCTCAATGGCCCAACCACTGTGAAGCCCGAAACCCATGCGGACGCGATAGTTGGGCAGCCTGGCTGACAACTTCTTAGACAACTTGGAAAAATATGAGGATATTATGAGGATGAACGGGAGAGATCCAGCGTACAGGTATCAATACATAAACAATTGATTGATTTGATTTGCAAACAACTGAGTACGATTGCTTGAATTCATGGCAGGTCACCCACGTCGCTAGATACTGGGGGTCATCTTCCCATAGAAGGGTGGAAAACTGGAATGTAAAATATTGAAAAAAATACTTCAATCAGTTTGAAACCATCAAGCTTCTGAACAAGTTCCTGGAGGTCACAACTATCTAAACTTCAAAGAAGTTCTTCTGCGCCTCTTCGCAAGCTTCGGATGATTTCGGTACTCTGCCAACAGGGGGGATTTGTTGATCTGAGCCTTGGCGACCAGGTTCTGAATTGCTTCCCGGGGATCAACATCTATCAACCCCATCACTGGGGATGTAATCGATTTATATCGATGTAGTGGGGAGATAAAACCAAGATATTTGCAAACTCATGACCACTGGGGAAATGACGATGATCTTGATGAAGGAGAGCAAAGACATATCTGCCAGCTTCTTCTGCCTCGGCATTCAGCAGAGTAACACATTTTGTTCAAACAATGCATATCTCCTGGAGACAAACTGAATCAGAATCAAAAGCACATTGTTATCTTGATCGTATGAAATCCTCAACCAAGGCCTTGAATCGACACTATATAACCATACACTAACCATATTTTATCATATTTTCATTTTCATATGTTGCATTCCTTTTGACCATTTTCGACCCCTTCAAGTCCCACACTTCGCTGCGCCGTAATCAGAAAGTCTCCAGGTGAGCAAAAATGCTTCACCTCAGTGCTGACAGCCATGCCATTTCTAAGACAAGGTTCTCAGCTTGAAAAAAAACTCAAAAGGCTTGATATATATATTGTATTATACTGTTATATATTGATATAAATTGTGCAAATACATACTCTTGCTGGTGCTTAGCTCTGGACCGATGTTCTTGTTCGGATTCCCAAAGAATTCATTGACGCACGAATGAATCACAGATGCGATGCGGTTCACAAAGACCATCACCTGATCCTCGTGAACGCTGCGGCTGAAAGACACTCAGGTCATTCAAAGGGCAGCCTGGATAATCTATTTGCTCGTGAAAAACCTGTCCCACTTTTTACCCAAAAATATACGAAAATATATGAACATATCAGTAACATATCCAAAAATGGAGTTTGGTGGAGCTTGCATCTGCTTTCCACTTGAAGCTTCCGCCCTTTCCCCTCTCCTGGAGGACTTCCGTTGCATCCGTAAAGTTTCGGATATCACAGAAGCCGAAGATCGCCTGGCAGATTCAGACACCTCTCAGAGATTTCAATAGTACATTACTTAGTTGATTGCAAAGACAGAGATCTGCCCACTTGTTCCAATCACGTTTAGGTGCCCCTTTCACAAATGTTGCATCATATGTTTTTCCGCTTCGAACTCTGAATTCAAATTCATGGCTCCATATCGCTCCCAGGTCCATAAGCTCAAGCCACAGGATGGAACCCTCAATGCCCACCTCTACCCGCCGACCAGGGATCATGGCCTGGGCTCATTCCCAGCAATGTGAAAATCTCAGCCAGCACCCCCACTCTACTGTGGCACCCCCACTCTGAGCTCAGGACGTTGAGTGCTGCACTATCTCCTCCACGCATGTTCTGACCAATAATCTCTGCACCAGCCTGGTTTCAATGGTTCAAGTGCAGAAAGGTTGTGGACAATGTTCACCATTGCTACAATCACTCATGGGATTTACAAAGTATGGGCCTCAAACTACCGGTGAAACTCATCCATGTTCTCAATCTATCCATCTCCCCTCAGCCAGTAACACCCCGCAACCCTAGAGGTCAACATGCAGAAAGTGGACCCCAGCCTCTCCAAAACCCAGAGCCAGCAGGGAACCAATCTTGATGATGGTCCTGCGATGTCATGACACAGAATCCAAGTACAGAAAGCGGACAGCACAATAAATTTTGAGCGAACCATAGGGCAGCGCAAAAATCAACTACCTATCATTCTTGGGTGTGTGTGTGTGTGAACATGCAGTGTATCCCCCAAGTTATGGCCATTTTCACTAGGGGATTTCCCCATTTTTTCAGACAAACCCAACTCGTGATCAAGAACATCCCACTCTGGGGAGCCGGCTTTTCCAACACGACAGTTTCCATCGGCTCAGGGATCTGTTTGGGTGCAGAACTTCTTCTCCTGGCCGCACAACTAATGGCTCAATAGTGTGGATTCATTGCGGAGGTTGATCTTGATTTGGTGAATGATCACAGTCTTTATCATCTTTATGTATAAACGATATACTTGTAGTTATAGTTATAGTATGTTGTAGTTGTGATTATAATGATTTTATATATATATATAATTATATATATATATTATGTATAGTTGTGTTAGATACAATAGTAGTAAAAGCTCAGTCCTGGTTCTAAATTGCCTCACCATTCCCCGGCCAAAAAAAACGACGCCCTTACTACAAAGCCAATTGGGAGAAAATGTCCAAAGTATTACAGTATCGCAAAATCCGTCAGCCCAATTCTCCGTAACTGCATGGCATGATTTGTTGAACCTGGACCACCAAACCAAACATCGCCTGATGCATTTCAATGTTGCTGAGCAGCACCTGGGGCCCGCAAAAGAGAAGTTGAAACACGATTACCACCTGATAGGATACACTGTGCATGTGGGTGTGGTTGTCCCCAAATCCCCCAAATAACATTGGGAGAATCGATGATAAACATGATAAACCATGGCATCTTTTCGATCTTTTAGGGGGCATTTTCAGACAAATTTTATGCATAAAAAGCCCATCGAAAAAACGAGTTGATCCGTGTTGAAATCTGTTTGAACGGCAGCATCCTGAGACATCTGCCGGCTACAGCAGTTGCGCTTGGCATCTGACTCCTTGGCACACCATCATAGTTGAGATTGGCTCAAAACTGGGGTTGCAAAATGACTCAAGATGTTGCAAAATGACCCAAAATAGCTGGCAAATGGATGTTCATCCCACTAAAAATGGTATTAATAGGTATTGACCCATACCCATGTATCCACAAAATTACTAGTTTAGTTGACCTGGAGACCTGAGAGACCTGAGAGCCGCGGCGGCATCGGGGTCCCTCTGCTGGCCACGCTTTATTGCTCGCACCTAGCAACGAAAGAACAGGTTGAACATTGGCGAAACAGAATCGCTGATACTTCTGCTCAAGAATTGGTCATCATGATCGTAGTATTGTGAGTATGTGAGTATGTGGATGGCAGAGACTCTCTACCGACTTAGATTCGTTCGTGTTTCATCATCTTTCAAGTTTTTGTCCTCGCCTGCTCCCGATGATGTTCCTCATCACCTCGAGAGCCACAGCGACAACTCCAGCGAAAAGACGCTATCACCGGGACCGGGATGACCTCTCGACTTGGTAGATGATTCGTGGTTAGCGTAGGTGACACATGTGACACCTCACTGCCAATGTGGATTAACATGGATTAACTGTGTTGGATATCAACATGCCGCATATGCCCACCATCTACCAACTGTGGGGATCCCGGTGATCAAACATGGCAATGGAAAATTGCCCATCGACTAAGCTGGAGGCCGATGGTCATGGCTTCCAGGGGATTGTTCCGGATCTTGTCCAATTTGGAGATCATGCGCTCGATAGGCGTCAGGACCAACCTGCTCATCTTTGTTGTTGGGATGAGTCACAACCCATGGCATCACCTGGTGAAAAATCATCAAAATAGCTGGGATTTGAAAAAAAAACTAATTTAAGCTATTTATAATAGGCATTGAACCTGTTCTCAACCAAGTGTTTCAGAGGGAAACGCAGCAATTGATGAAGTGTTTGTCATAAATGTGGACGCCATTTGTGAACACACATGCGTGATGGCTATCATGCTATACTCTTTGCAGGATGAGATTGTGATGTTGATGTTTCCTGGATCCCCAGTTGTTTTCAAACAACAAGATAAAGGTTTGTCTGAAAATGTGGATTACCCCCAAAAAAAAAAACAATGAATTGGGAGTATCCCCATTTTCAGAGAGACCCACATTGTTACGATGATATATTCCATCACATCCCATCATATCCCAAAAAATAACCATATCTCATATTCCCTTAAAGTCCTGCACTCGTCCACGCCTGTTGGCATCCTGTGAAAAAGTCATGGCTCCAAAGCCCAGCAGGAAACAAATGAAGACCGTCTGGGCCTTGGGCGTTCGCAGTCAACTGGGGACACCATGAGATTCAATGGGATTTAATGGGATTTAAAGGGATTCAATAATGGGATTTAGTGGGATCTAAGGGGATTTGAGGATTTAATGGGAATAGCCTCCGGTAAATTAATAGTTTGCTATTGATGCTAACCGTGTGATATGGGGATGGTTAAGCATAAATGGAGATAATCCATGAATATGGGGAGTATTTTATGGAGATTAAGTGGGAACGGACTATCAACCATGGGGATTCATCGTTACTAAAAAGTTCCTGCAGATTTTTGTGGCATGTTCATCCTGCGGTTCCAGGCAGTGTTCAAGATCGCCTCCAGTTGTGCTCCTGACCTAGTCGGAATGGGTATGGCTTGTCCAGCCACTTGCAGCAAATCTGATGAAACCAAGACAGACAGGTCAAACCAAAATCCAAAAATACTTTGAAGTTGAGTCTGAAGATGTTTGAAGGTTTGTTCAATTTCTTTTGTGCATGTTTTGTGCAAATCCGGAAGGTGAAGCCAGATGAAGCCATGGATCACTTTGACCTTGCCTGTCCCTGGCCTAATGTCAAATGCTGCATGTGTGTGTCAAGCAAAATGTGGGGAAACTCCGTAAACCAATGGTTCAGGTTGGTGCCTGCGGTCAAAGACGAACATGAAGTGGACCTCCTCATATTCCGCCGATGTAGCAGCCTGGGGGCATTCAACGTTCAATCTGCCGAAGCATCCGTTGCATGTCAAAAATTCCATAGAATTCCACCATCTCCTCTGAATCTATACGTGAAATCAATGAAAACCTTCTAATCATGGCACACGTGTGAATCATGGATCACGTTGACAGACCTTGATCGCAACCGTAAAAATCTTTTCTCTGAAAAAGATCCTGACAACTCCCACACGATCGGTGACTGAGGAGGAATCTGTCGGCACGATCACGGAGCGCTCATTGTAGCGGAGCTTTTCAGGACAATCCTAAGCAAAAAGCTGACTGAAGTTTCTCCCATGAGCAGCACTTGTTGAGTGAAGTAAGCAAAAACAGGAGGGGTATTAATATGTATTAATCATATCTGGAAAAAAAAACATCTCTGGAAATACATGTTTTTGTGGAAACAAGCACAATTGCTGTTTGTTACTGGGAAAAACCTTCGCATCAGTATAGTATATCGATGGGCCCCTAGACTAGATCCAAGTGGATGGCTTTGGTCATTGACCCATACCCTTCTCTTGAGCCTTACACCTACAATGACATATGATTACAATAGATATAGATGCCATTGCATACAATTCTAAATCAATACATCTACCAATATAGATATAATGATATAATATGTACATAAGTGTACATATATATATATATAGAGAGAGAGTATAATTTTAGGTGTGTATAGATGTATAGATGTATAGATGTATAGATGTATAGATGTACAGATAGATAGATAGATAGATAAATAAATAGATAAATAGATAGATAGATAAATAGATAGGTCGATCGATAGATAGATAGATCGATAGATAGATAGATAGATAGATCGATAGATAGATAGATCGATAGATAGATAGATAGAGTTCCTCACAGTTATTATATGTTATTATCATTACTGTACACTGTACAGTACCATTGCATACCAATAAGGCGCCTCGACTCACCTCGCACCGACTTGCTGCATCCCAGGCGCCAAGTATGAATCGGTGGCTGCCAGCAGAGAGATGCCTCTCAAGTACGAATTCACGCAGCTCCTGCACCGAAGTCGCAGAAAGTCGCAGAGCTGGGTCAATGGGAAATTAAACATCTTAAGTGCTGGGGGAAAAAGTACATCATCACTGTAACATATATATATATATCATATATGCATGCATAGACTACATAATGTATATATATATAATATGTATATAATTATATATATATATATGTAACTGCATAATAAACTACATTCTTTATGAAGATGTAGACGGAAATCCCTGAGTCGGATAAAGTGCAGCACAGTTGACGCTCTCAATCTCATCCTTTTCTGCACTGGCAGTCTGTATTCTTTTCTGAGTGACCCACGTGGTATTTGCATAAGCGACGGAAAAGAGACTTTCTGGGTCGGACGTCATGTTGCCTTGCAACGTCTGCAACAGTGCCGAGCTGAATGACAGATAATGACAGGGCATCACAAGGTGCTGCAAACATGCCAGGGTGCACCCATGTAGTACAACCAGTCGTTGCCGGCAAAGCGAGCATTCCTGAAAGGGGCTGCATCAACGCAGCAATGGTGGCATTTTTCCAAGGCTGCCAAGTCGCGGATCGTAACTCCCATTGCCTGCCACAGACTGCTCAGGCAACCCCATTCAGGTAAGGTGTCAACAATTCCTTGGAAAATAAAAATGTCGTGTCATCTTTCTGGGTACTTGCATCCATATGTCTATATAAAGGCAAACAGCCATGCAATCAAATCGATTTCTTCGCTCCATCGGAAACGGCTGCAATTTGCATGATGGACCCACGGACATGCCGCACCTCTTCCTTCGAAGGAAGGTAGAAAGTACTGTCCCAGAGTTGAGTTGTCCCTGCGAGAACACACACTGTTACAAGGAGATGAAGTTCAAGTATGAGAATCTGAGCAACAAGTTTGATTCAAAGTTTAGCCATGGACACTGGGCGCACTGGGCACACACAAACCGTGCATGCAACTCTGGCCATCTCTGAGTGGCCGGGCGGATGGATACCAGCGAAAAACAAACTGTTGAAGCTGCTCAAGGGACTACTCACTGCACTGGAAGGCTTCAAGTCCTGCAGTTCCACAAGCACGGTCAGCACGGTGAAGCTGGGGTTTTCACATATGGGTCGTTCCTCAGTTCCTCCAAGTTCCTCCATCTTTCTTTCTGACCATCTGCCATTGTTGGATCCATTGATGCCCTTCTAATTGTGGTTTCTGTTGCTGAAGTTGTTGATGGTGTTGTTGCTGCCTTGTTGGTGCCTTGTGGCTGTCGCTGCTGTCACGCTTGGGGTCACAGTCACCACAACTGTGCGTCTTGTTACTGGTTGTTATCCATCAGGTGTTCCAAATGTGCGTACTCTTGCCATCTGATGTTGCATCATGTTGCATTGTACGAGTATTACTATCGGACTATCGGTGTCTTTGTCATTTTGTTCTGGTTGCTGGCAGTGGTCGTGTTGGTGGTGGCTGAGCTGCTACTACCCCCAATTCCGGAAAAGCGCAGAAATCTCGGCATGCAATGCAGTCTACTGCAGTAATTCAGGATGTGGGATTGGATGTGGTCTGTGTCAAGTATATGATGCAATTGCAGTTGGAAAGATAGATCGACCACTTGACAACTGCTCCGTTCTCGGTCCTCCTGTGTAAATGGGCTATGATAGTAAGCGTACAAGTAGAAGTCGTCCACGTAGACCTCCCGGCCTTTTGAACTGAGATAGGCTGCCTCTGCCGTGGCATTGGCATAGGGCTCGTAGAGGCTCATGTCATCTCGCCATCTTCGGTAGAGGACATTGATGCCATACTGAGCTGACGATGACAAATCATCGTTGTACATTCCAGGTTGGAAGAAGGGGAGTGAGAGCATAATGACCAGCACCAGCATCACGACCTGACATACAAGGTGACAAAGCGTTTTTATGGATCTCTCTGTGACTCTGTGGCATGTCATGTTGAACATGACACTTCATCTGTCATTAGTCGCCTGAGTGCTTCAATCTCTCCGACATTCTTGTCATAATTAATCTGTCATATGTATTCATATGTGTTTATTCAGCCCAGAGATCAAAAGAGTGACGCCAACTTGTTCTGCAAAAGTGTACTTCTCCGACCACTGCATGTCAAATCTTGGTCTCTGACCCTGCGCGTGGTCATCTCTGACAGCTTCTTTGAAACTGCTGATTCCTTCTGCATGTCGTCATCATCCTCCTGGTGCTTTCATCCAGAAGCAAGATATATGTTAAAAAAAGAACAGAGTCCTGCAGGTATTCCCTGTCAACAGTGCAGGGAAACATGACCTGCCATTGATGATGAGCTCAGCGTCAGAGAAAAACACGCCTTATTTTTTAAAAATCAGATATTTCTGGTGGTCCAGCCATGACAAGGCCCTCAGCCACAACAGCGCTCCTCCCAATCCATTCCGGGCGAGGCCTTCCAGAGATGTGCGGGTGGATTTCGAGTTTCCAGGAGAAAAGCACAGCAACAAACAATGTGTTTCTGTTGACATTGGTGTCTGTTAGATTTGCTGCTCATTCAGGTGATAGAGAGTAATTACTGGTATCTCAATATATGAATCTTCCCACAAGGATAACAACTTGGCAAATCCTGCTTCCATCCAACTGGACTGCCCTGCCAGCACCCAGAGCCTCCGCTCCATCCTCTCCTTTCTTGTACTTGGGAGAGGAGGTATTTTTCTGGTAGAACTTGACTAGTCGGATCAGCCTGACTAAGCGCAGAAGACGAACAACTCGCCCAGCCTGCAGCGGGTGATGGACCACCAGTCCACTGCGTTGCCGGAAATAATTGGGACAGAAATTGAGTATATATGCCATGGTCCAAAAAGAAATTGGATTCTTCAATATTACTACTAATGCCCTATCTGTGGGCCTTGAGAAGCATAGTCTTGATCCAGCCACAGCCATTTCAATTTCTTGGCTATGCCCAGTTACGTCCCGCCTTTGTACCAACACGGCTCATGCGCGCCGCACGCGCAGCATCGGCTGATTGGCTACTGCTTTGATCCAGAGGACCCGTCTCCGGCACTTCCTTGGTATCAGAAATGGTTTGTCGGGGGTCAATAGCTGGCGGTATTTCTCCTCCCACCTGTTTGAAGGGATTTCCATGAATAAGAACAAGCCTGGGAGATGCTCAGTCAACAGAAAAGGTAGGGTCAGAGAACAGCTTGTTCAGGCAGTATCTTTGGTGATCAAAACTCTCGCAAATGAAGCATCTGCACGTGTAAAGTGAAAGCTGTTGCAATAAATTGAGCTTTCATCGCCACACTCACAGCTGCAGGTGGGGGGTCTTCAGAAATGGGCGAAAGCGAGAGGAAAATCCACAAACTCCAAGAAACCCTCCCAGGTACTGGGTCTCCCAACTCCGGGTGTTCCCTCTGAAGACAGTGCCTCTGCTATGGAGATGGTATCTCCAAAGAGCGTTTCCGAGACCTCAGGGGATGATCCTTGAAGGATGGCAATCCCATCCCCGATGTTGAATATAGCGATATAGCGCTCAAAAAATGAATAGATCCAATATGATCCAATACTAAACCAAAGGTTCAAACGAGGTATTGAAGGGGGGAGGGATTATCAAGTTAATATCTCAAGTTGATCTGCTGATTTTTCATCAACTTAGAAAACATCAATCCAAACAGATCATCCCTGTGGCGCGAAGCCAGAAACATCCAATACGTAGCCAGAAACATCCATGGCTACTACAATTGTGTCATGGAGACCCCATCCCACATATTTTGTGGCCAGCTTTTAGAAGACCGGGCGATTGAAGAGTTGGTGCGACTGAAGGATACTGAAGGCATTTGCACTGGAGATTTCACATGACTTCCCCTGCAAAAATATATATATATATATATTTAATCCGGGATCATGAATAGCATCTGTGCATATCTATGCATATCTATGCATATCTATGCATATCTATGCATCAAATGCATTTGCCTTCTATACTGTACTAGATTCTCAACCCAGTCTGTTAAAACATAGTAAAGTTTCAAGACAAACTCAATCCCCTTTAGCTATGCTTTGCTGCTTCTCCTTGTTGGTGCAAAGCCTATATAGCCAAGAACGCCCCCGGATCTTAGACCCCGGCATAGGTGAGGTCCAAGATCAAGGTCACAGTTGAACCTGCATCCAGCCAAAAGAAGAATCCGCAAAGGTACCTGAGCGACACGGGATGCTGCGTGAGTTTGGAGGTGTTACTTTTTCGAAAATTTGAAGTGACGAATCTAGGAATGTGACTTCAAAGATCAAAACAACGATTTCGGGGAAAACAAAACGGAAGAGGGACTGCTGACTCCTGCGGACTCATCACCAAGGTACCCCTGCTTTCCCAGGGTGTTGATAATAACCTCTAGACCAAAGACCGCCATGGTCGTGGCGGTGATCACATTGAATATGTCATCTGCGGCTTTCTCTGAGAAGATCAAGCGCATGTCATCTCCAATCAGGGCATAGATGGTCAGTAGTGTTGTGATCTCGGAGAGTCAGGGGGGGGCCACAAAATTGGTGTTGTGTTTGTAAAGGAATTTGAGGCATTCTGATGCGGTCATTGCCAAAGTCAGCAATCGGCAATAAGGTTGCAGCCAGAGAAAGAATGGAATTTGACGCGAGCCGTTCACAAAACCATGTAAGGGTAGTACATCTCCTGCCGCCAGTGCAACATAAAATGGTTCGCCAACCTTCGCTTCAGAAAAATCAACGGCCAAGAAAATGTAATATTGATTGTGAGTTCCTGAGCAGACGTGGCTATCTCAGGTGTTTGGCAGTCCTGGGTTTGGCTTGGCCAAACCAATTTTCTAAGTCATCGAACGGAGAGCCTTTTCCCAACCTCGCTAAGTGGATGAGTGGAATCAAAACGTCGGGAGTTCAGCCCGATATTAGCCGAATACCGAATACCTATGCATGAGGTACAAAGAAACTCCTAGGTAGATGTAGAATGACTCTCAACTACATCTTTTTGGCAGTGCCTTCTTAGTGGGGCAGCCCAATCTTTCCCAGTTTCTTATGGTTTCCTGCTGTCTAGACCCTGTCCATCCTAAGCCTCCGGGCTCTCCCCGCTGAGCTGTCCCATCGCTTCCCTCCGAGGCATTGTCTCCTGAAGATCTTTTCATCGAGAACCTGTCAAATCCATGGCTGGAACAGCCCCTGGTACAAATGGACAGGGGTACGGGTCGAAACCATGTCCCCCTTGTGCATAGAATAGACGAAAATGAGTAAAATGAGACGAAATGGGATGATCTGATGGAAGCAATGATCTATCCGACTTCGGAGTGTTTAATTTTGACTGATTTTTGTGGAGCGAGTGACTGTGACCGACCACGTGTCCAAACGGGTAATTATATATATAGCAAAAAGCAAAAAAGCCCAAATAAATCCTAATCAATGGTCTTCATTCTTCAAAAGTCCATCAATGATGGATGACCATGGATGACTTAGAAGTCTCAATTGTTTTCATTTCCGTCCTCATCCGTTTAGACTTGTCTGTCACCAATCCGAACACACCAGTTACCAGGTGAACTGAGCAACTGCTCATGCTGTAAGACCTGAGTTCTGGACGGATCAGAGCATCGGGGATAGCCCAGGGGTGACACTAATGGACAACTCTGGAACTTTATTCGCCTGTTCTCAAAACATCTGCGCATCCACTCATGACAGCAGGTTGCTGTAGAATGCGCAATACTCTATTTGATGTTAAGTCACATGGATCTGCGAGGCCTTTTCATGCTGCATGTGAGATGGATGCCACTTGCAAGAGCTTCTATTAGTATCTTTGAATCCGTCTCAAGCACCTGGAAGAAATGTGATTCGGTGATTGCAATTTGTGCTTGATTTGAATCGAGCCCTTGAGCCAAGGATTCCGGAGTGCTACAACACATCTGAACAACATCACACTAAATGAATGTCTGAGGCTTAGCTTCAAAGCGCCATGAGGAATGACATATATAAGTGATAAGATGTGATTTAAGTCTTATGTCTTCTGATTTTCTCTACTCTCTTGGAAGGACCCAATTTTGAAGACCGTCTGACCCAAAACATTGGGCACAAGGAGTGCAATGCCCCACCCGCCTTTCAAAGTCATTCAGCTCAGCCGCGTCCCCTTTGGACATTGCCTTTGCAACTAGCGGGCGGTTCCAAGCCGTCTGAAAAATATGAGTCTTTGGAGATCATGATCACCATTGGTATTTGGAATTTAGAACAAGATGATACCACCAACCAGCAAATCTGAAGAAACATTCAAGAATGTCCTAGCTCTTTGGGTGTTTGAGCAGCCATGATGCTCTCAGCTTTGTGCCAAGCTGCTGGCTGTTCACCAGACCCGTTGTGGCTGGTGGCCACGGGCCAAGCTTGATCCAATCAATTTCTGGAGCACAAGCATCACAAATGTCTTGACCTGAACACCTTGTGGCCATAGGCGATTGATGCATTGATGCAATTGGCTAAATCCCAAGTCTGGGGCTGAAAATCTTACTAATTCCCTCTTATTAAAAATGAACTGGTGAGCCGTGGCATCAAGTGGTGCCATGTGTCAGGATTGATTCACAATGAGTTTGAGTTCCATTCCAGAGTGGACTTCTCATATAAGTCTAAAGTCTACAGTAGCACTGTAGCACATGGCAAATCTTCATCAAGGCTGGTGCTATAACCTCATATTGCCATCAGTCAATGACATATTCATTGTGGGCTTGGGGTCAGGGTCAGCTCTGTCCGTCATGGCCGTTGGACTTCTGCTTCTCGAGTCTGGCGGGTTCGTCTTTGTAGTGGACAACCTAACTTGGGCACTTCGTGCCAACATCCACGACTCCTACGCTGACCAAGTCAGCTCTTCACTGAGAGTTGCCATTCACTCCTCATGTCAATGAATGGCTTCACCTGCGATGAGATGCACTAAAAATCATGCTCAGAATTTGTTAGGATGCATGACAATGCATGAGAATGCAACGGTTTACAAGTCATAGAAGCTAGAATTCCATTCGGACGTTCAGAGAATTCCATAACTATGCATCGATTCAAGCTGATGTGACAACCGTTCGACCTTGGCAAGTCTCTTTACCCCCTCATGGTTCCAATGATAATAGAGCTCATGGTCGCTCAAACGTGGAAGTACGTAAAATTTAACCAATGTTGCAGCGCGCCTTGATGACTGCAGCTTGTAAAGCAGAGGAGTCCAAAGGTCGCCTTAGTTGATGCTGTGCCAAAAACACTGGTTTTGCTCAGCCAGCTGCACCAGTTTTGTTGACCAGCTTAGTTTTCTTTGACTGACTCCAAGCTTTCGTCTGAAAATTGAGTCCTTCTAAATCTTACTGGCTAATCATCTGGTGACTCATCCTTTCCCGCACGTTTTCCATGGAAATCCCCCATTCTCAGACCCACCAATCCCGCTGGGAAACCCCAACGATCGGGGCAGTGGCAGCGCTGCCACCTTTCCACCGGAGGTGACCTCTGCACTCGTCAAGGCTGATTTCAAGCCAAAGATCTCCACCTCAATGGCTGGCGGCTATGAGTCCCCTAGGATACCCTGGTGGTGAAGCCCAATAGCTGGGAGTTATGGGAGTTATGGTTCAAAAATGATGGAACATGAATGAAAATGATAGGTCTTCAGCCAGCCCTACATGGCAAAATCAGTGGGAATGACGATAAGATGATGGGAATATGGTGAGATACCACGCGAATATGATGGAATAATGATGGGATTGGGATGGGATAAGGGCATGGGTATGTCCAAGAATGACGGAGCTTTAAGCAGGAGCTTTGAGCAGGAGGGTGTCCTGGCGCCTGAAGAGGACGACGATCAATTGGATGACTGGTACGGACAAGCCAATGGACATCAATGGACTGAGCCTGGAAGCTTCCATCACTGTGAAGACGCATCTCGTAATCAGTGCTTCTCAATTCACGTGATTTGATTCGCCACGCAAATGTCACTGGCATGCCCGGCGCGCTCAATTTCGGCTGAAACTCCGACAGCCTCTATGGGAAACGTCAAATCATGGCTGATTCTTGGAGGACGTCAGTGCACATGGCATTAGGTCAATCCTTCATGTTCGCAGCTTCAGCGAATCCATCAGGGTCATGGGCCAACTAAAACTGGTTTGATTCATTTTGCGGAGCTGATCTCAGATTCCTGGCTGTTTGCCCAATGTGAAGACTCAGCGCCTCTGGGAGTGATCCCAGCGTCTTGGAAGCTTTCAAAACTCCATCCTCCGAACAGTCCATTCACGGCGCATGACTGCCTCAAGGTAGTGTTTACAGTACATCTACATCCGATTCACTATCTGTACATTATACATCATGATATGAGTGGCGGACAAAATTATTTGCTCACCGTAATTGCCACGAGCAAAACTGGGTCGTCCCCTATCGGTTGTGAATATGTTCGCTCTTTGAATACATCCAGTAGCAAATGCTGCTAGTAGTACCACTGCGAATTTTCAGATGTTGGAGCTTCTGGTCTACGAGCTCACGAACCACTCAACCCATCTTGTGCATACTGCCTACTGATGGAAGGTTCAGCTTTTGTTTGGTGAGTCTCCAGTCAACCCTGAGATCAGAAATCCCATCCTTGAATTCAAATTCGATGTCCAGGAAACTCTTTCCATCCTGGAGCGGGCCATATTACAGTCAGGGCATTTGGATCCCACCATCACTAGCCCTAGACCTAAAGCAGTGGAAAGGGTAGCTGCATGCACCAACCACTCATGATGCAGGCAGTCAAGTCCAGTGACCCTGAACACCCAACTGCCTCACTACTGAGCCATGAAAACTTAGCCCTATCCCATCCCATTGTTGCCATTTTCCTGGTTTGTCAATAGGTATCCGGTGGTATCCCAATTATGGGTTGCAACTTCCATAATAAATCGGTAGTCAGTATAACCAGTATCATGACCAACGGGGCTATTCTTGATGACTTGACAATCGCAAGCTTTTTGGGCCACTCGCAGACTCACATGATGAGGCAAGCTGAGACCAACCTGGCGACATTGAAGGCCCCACTGAGATAAGCTGGTCCCGCTATTGGCATGACCGTATCAAACGGTGATGATGTGTTTAATACACTATAATCATATATTGCAATCATTGTATACTTATTCTCACACCTTTTTTCCTATATTGGAATCTGATGTATGTATATCTATGACTATGATATTAATATATATATATATACATAATTATATATATAATATTTGTACCATATAATTATATATATATATATTAAACATATTCAATGCGGCCACATGAGTCACTCCATGGCACTCGCTTCTGCGTGGCACGTCCCGCCATGCCAAGAGACCATGAGCTCCAAGGTCGGTGCCAAAGATCTGAAGCACGGCCTTCCAATGCCATGGTGCCATGGTATGGTCATCCATTCCGTGCCATGGGAATCCAAACATATTGGGTACATATATCTATATGTTCATATTATTGTATAATATGTGTATATATATATCATTATATTTATATATCATTATAAATTGCTGGTAATGGATTGATGACCATGTCCCCATATGGATGTATTATCTATCCGTGTCCATCTTTTGACCATGGCACATATGATGCAATACAGTAGATACTTGGAATATCTTGGAATATCTTGGAACTACCTGGAGGCATCAGGTAACACAAATCACAATTGATTGATTCTTGAGGCAATGGCCGTGATCAGTGGATAAGACTGGAAATATATAGGCGTCGGATGGTGCGGGGTATTGACGCAGGGTTTTCCGTATCAGCTCTGAACATTTCATGCAGTCGAAACACAAATGTTGATAAACTTATTTACAAAGACGGTTGCGAACTGACGAAGTATTGAAGAACTAGTACTGTATCGTGGACTCGTTCTGCTGCTTGATGATCGCAGCAAAGGCCTGCAGCGGAAGCACCGAGCTTCCCGGACCAGCCTTTGCTGCCGATGTCCCCCAGCAAACACATTCGGATCTTGTCCTTGGGACATCTCAGGACAGGTAGAGAGAATACGAAAGAGCTTCAAATGACGAACTCTGGGCCTATGACCCAATCATGGAATCATGCCTCATCACTATTGTTGTCATCCAATACATCTGAAAATATGACGAACGTCCTGTAGCTGATAAATTGGCCAATGAGAAAATCATCGCTTCAAAGTGTCTTTTCATGGTCAATGGGAGTCCCCAATAGGGAGTAGCCTATACCATCCATTGTAATATGTTGGTCAAGAACCAGGTTTTCAGTTCATGGATGATAATCCCCAATAATTCCCAATGTGTTGGGTAGTGTACTCTCTACATTTCTCTACAATCAGCAACCAACAGGGGTTTTTAACACTGCTCAATTCGTGTTTGATGGTCTGGTCTGTATCTTATCAGACCTGGACAACCTGGAATGCTAGTCCTCCACTTTTGCATTTAAAGGAAAAAGATGTGACGGTTTTTTCAGCCATCAGAGTGTTTGTTGGAACCAATGTTCTTCTTGCTGGGCATGCAATCCACTTGGCGGCTCCAACCCATATTGTTTAGACGTATGCGCGTCAACAAAGAATATGTGAAACCACCAAACAGATTTTCAAGTGGATTTATATATGTTCTATAATGTGTATGCATATATTCACAGTATATATATATATATACGTGTATATATATATAATTATACATATACGTATTGTATATATATATGTTACATATCTACATATTTTACATATTGTATATATACATATACATACTGTGTATACTATATATATATACACATATATATCAAAATTATTCAAAATTTATTCATACCCATTATGTATCATGTATCATATTGGATGACCGCGAAATGCAACCATGCGATCCAAAGGACTCTTGCTGCAGCCAGGCTGATAGGAAGCCACCTGCAAAGAAGTCCCCAGCACCCGTGCTGTCCACCACCTCACAAGGGGTAAAAGATGCCACGAGTTTCTCATGGCACAGGAGATATTCCATCCACTTCCAAAAATCCAGAAGACACAAATACCATCAGATACTCTCTGGCAATTCAACAATATTCAACATAGCGATGGAAAATATCTGTTTTTGAATGGGCAAATTTTAGTAGCTTATTTTCAATTACCGGAGGGTACTCACATTCACACATGCTTCGAAGCTGTCTTTTTGTCGAAATAGGCTGGTGATCGCATCGATCAGCGACCTCGTCCAGCGGCAGCACAGCATGAAACTGAAGATCTGAAGCCATGCAGGTCCATAGGCCGCTGGATCCAAGGGTGAGTACCTCATGGGTCAAATATGCTCAAAATATGGTCAAAATATCAACAAAAACGCCAGAGGCCGCTCACAACACACCATACACACCTACCAATGGCCACACATTGGCCATTACCCGAACCCTTCTGAGCAATGATAGCTGATTCTGCTTGGAGGATGTTGGAGGATGACTTTGTTGGAAACTGCAACCGTCCGAAAGCAGAACCCTCCAAGCGACCGCATGAGTGAAGTCCACTTCCAACTACTTTGGTCAAGTTCCTGCTTTTTGCGCATCTTAACATCAGACTTCAATTTAATTTGGTTGCGGCCACTGATTTTGTTGCTTATTTACCTTCACGTTTGGTACTCGTTACCCATTTCCGTTGCTTAAAAAATCCCAACGTATTGTTTCTTGGTAATTATCCCCATGTTTTTGCTCAAAATTCTCATGTCTTCTACTTGTCATTGCTTGCCCCCATATATATATATATATTATATATATATTATATATATATACATATATATATATATACATATGCCTCATTGGTTTTTGAGTATCCCAATGGACAAAATCGGTGATCCATGGTCGCTGGAGCCCAGCAGCTGCGACTTCGCAGTGTCGCCCCAGCCGCTGGCACAAGGCTTCGAAGGCATCCGAAGGCGCCAGGGCAGAGGCCTCGTCCTCGTTAAGGAAAATGACCTGGGACCAGGGGAACTGTTCAACCTGATGTCCGGAAAGCAATGTCATAAACACCCACATGGATTGATGGCTAAAAAACAACCCAGAAATTTATGTAAAATTGGGGATGGTTTACTATTGGATTTACGAATATTATTGGAAAATGATCAATAAAAACGGGTGATTGATGGATTTGATTGGGAATCCATGGATTATGATCCAATGACAATTCATCCCCCTGAATATACTGAATTAACCCATCAACTGCATGGGGTCTTTGAAACTGCTGAAGTGGAGATGGGATGGGAAGAATAGAGATGCAATCAACATCAAACTGAGAACTACCTGGATGAAGAAAAATGGAAGTGGGGACAGAGGAAATCATATATGCGAGTCCAGAATTGCTAATTGAATTAAACCTGTGCAATACCAATGGGGCAGATGAGATACAATCGGATACCATGCCATGAGGACACAACAATGAAGGAAAGACGCATGGTTCCTGCAAAGACTCGCTCCCTGATATGAAGGATTCCTGAACAACTCAACAAAGACTATAACATGACTCATCAAAGCCAGAAAGATGCTGACCTCAGTGCCGCTTTGGTTGCTTGGACCCGACCCGTAGACGGCCGTGGCGAATCATGACCTTTTTCCCTTTTTTTTGGGGGGGGATGGGTGGGGTTTTGGGGGGGTTCGGGGGGGTGTTGGGGGGGCGGCAGTAACGTCTTGTTTTGTGCGTTTCATTTCTGTGCTTGCATCTGAATGCGCCTACATATGTGCATTACCCCTTGCTCTTTCTGCTGTGCTCAGGATGTTGCTACGTTCTGATAGGGTTTGCTGTTACGTCACTTAATGTCACTTCCTCTTTCTGCTGCGGCGTTGCCGCAGGGTTGCTGTCACGCCACGTGCTTTGGATGTTGCTACGTTGTCATGGGGATTGTTGTTGCGTCACTTGCTCTTTCTGCTGTCCTCAAGATGTTGCTACATCTTGATAGCAAAAAAATGTGATGATGCATCAATGGCGTTTGGCCAAAGGATACAAAAATCCGGCAAAAGTTTTGGCGAACCTCGTCAGTGCGCAATGGTGAGGAAAATGCACAGCAAAGAGCACTAACATGATCTTCAAATAACTCAAATATACTCAAATCATGAAAAAATGAAATGGTCCGGAATTTCAAGCGTAAAATTTCAGGACTGAAAAGAAAAAACTCATGTCACTGCAGTGAAACGACAGTTTCGTTCCTGAAGATGGCCTGAAAACACCATGGCCGTTTAACTTTGCGTGAAGATTCACTGGGACATACTGGGACAGAAAATGCTTCCGAGAAGCATCAATTTCTCCCTTCTCCAGTAGCCCCCACAATCGATGTTGCCTCACAAGACATTTCGTGAACACATGAGTACACAGCACAGCAAGGGCTTGAAATACCAAGTCTTGCAATCTTCGGCACACAAAACGAGCTCAAAGAATCATGGTATCGCATACCTTGAGCTGGGTGGCTGAGAACGAACGATGCCGCTTGAGCCGAGGTTGATGCCAACCTTTGCCCCAAGTGCACGAGCTTTCAGGATGCCTGCCTGCAGAGTGGAGCGCCAGTAATCTTAAGATCTGAAGTCTTGTTTGAGCATGTTTTAGCTGTGCTTCAAGGGCCTCTGCTGCATTCTCTGGGCAGAGGAATGTATAGATGTCAAAATAAACCAAGTCGATGGGGCCATTTTTGGTTGCCTCAGCTCCAGTCTCAACCAATGCGAATCTCACACCAATATGCAGACATCTGTGGCATGGAAACATCTTTGTGGCTACCCGTGCTATCCTGTGCTCATGTCCTGTAGTTCATGTGCAAGGCCCAGGAAGCCCAGGAACATGATCTATCGCTTCACACAGGTCAGCAGCTGCAAGCGAGTCAGACGCCACTCCTCTGTGGAAGTACAGCTCAAGAAAATGACAAGCTGATCTTCGGTTACCACCAATACTCCCACTAAGATTTAGAGATTTATATAATATACTTGAATTGGGATTAAGTGTGTGAGTGTCTCCAACAAAAAAGCCTCGTGACATCTAGTGGAGGAATCAAGGACTGTAGCACCAGCGACCAGTGATAGCTGTGATGCCTGTCCGATATGCAAAGGACCGTTCGCCATCAGGTGTGACCAGGCACAGCACCTCGCCGGTGTCCACATCCTTTGCCTCAGCATGTTGGAGAGCTGCAATGCTGCAATATGTTATGCAATGTGCGCGAAGGATCTGTAGAAAAGATATGGTTCAATTGAAAGTCCCTAAACATTGTGAATGTGATAGAAATAAGATGAAATAAGGGCTATTCATGGAGTCAAGAGACTGAGTTGGCAAGAAATCCATGTATCATATCGGCCCTTATACGTATATTCGGAAGTACATCCGTGTGAGCCATCGAGAGTGGAAGCCAAGCATGAAAAACTCATAAAAACTCAAGCTAGTGGCAAGTCGCTGCAAAATCATACAAAATCCAGATTCACTGACCTTTGCGTGTGATTCCTGCTGCTGGCTCATGTAGCTGCAAATCGTCAGGTAAAGTGTGACATGCAGATTATGAAGCAAATTCGGCCAAATGTTCATGATGTCCAGCTGCAACTGTTAACATGTCATCTACATCCACCCACCAGTCCCGCCTGAATGGTCAAGTCCTTCAGGTTGTACTGGAAAAGGCCCTCTCGAAAACATTGGCCAACCTGGGCACATTTTGAGTCCAAGCTCTTGCAAAACAACCACCAGCTGCAGCAAGGAGCTGAGTTGCTTCCCAAACTTCCACAAAAGGCTGTGTCACATCCCAGGCAGGCCAACACCTGCGAAAAAAGGTGACCAAGCAGAGCAGCATAGTATGCAACTAGGCTGCTATGATATGCCATGTCTATGATATCCAAATCCCATGAATTTGACAATCAACTGGGCTTAGCGAGCTATGAATGGAAATGTGGCCCAACGAAATCAAAAGCCAGGCAACAAAGACAAAAACGGTCAGAGTCCCAAGCATTTCCAGCCATCTTTCACACAGCAAGTGCCATCTTTCCAATTTGGACAAAATGCTGATATTCTGCAGTGCACCTTGGCCGTGTTGCACGCGCAGCCACCACATTGGGAAACCAAACTGCTGGAAACTGCAGCAGCAGCTGCCTTCAAACGCTCAAAGTCCTTGGGTGTGGCTCAAGTCCAAGAATTCAAGTGAGGTTCCAAAACTGGTGGTTCGATTCAACCCATTTCAAATATAACATATATAATATTATATAATTATATATATAATATATATATAATATATATTACAATATTAGTTATCGGGGATCACCATCCCTATGCTTGAAAACAAGAACGTATTTGAACCACCAGAAAAGATTCCGAAGCCCTGTGATGGATCCTGTTCGTTGGTTGCTGGCAATTGAAAATCACCCATAGATACAAATCCACATTAACATCGATTGGCATCTCATTGAACCGCTCAGCCACGGAGCATTGCTGTCGGAGAAGGGAGTTGCGTCACCTACAAAAAGGAGAGAGCATCTTGATCAAACATCCTAGACAAATGACCCTGAAAATATCTGAACAATACTGGGTTGACTGGGCACCCCAACTAACTTAGACTCACACTCGCAGTCTACGTGGGCTTTCTATAAGTAATCACAACTTTGCCAAAACCTAGAGAATCTAGAGACATGTGTTTGCGGAACGACACATCCAGGAATCCATTCAACAAACCACGATATCTTATAAGTAGGTCGCTCCATGCGCTTTTCTCAGACCTCGTGGCAAGCCCTGCTCAGACAGGAAAGAGTCTGGGACATATGCCATAGTATCCTTGGAATGCCGGCACAAAGGCGCAAAAATGAGCGAGTGTGGGAACTGGATGACTATATTAATGGTGGAAAAATGAGAAATAGTCAAGAATAATCAAGAGGATTTCTGGTGTTTCTGTTGGACTGTTCTACATGCTGTACGCTCCAAGAACTGTTCGGGTACAAGAATTATTGAAAGTTAGTTGCCTAGCACAAGAAACATCGACTGCGATCCAAAACACTAGACACCTGGCCACTTACATGTAAATCATAGGGTTTGTCTGAAACTGGGGTATCCAAAAATCCCATGGTTAATCATCATTTTCCCTATTAACATTGCCATAAATGGGCTATAAGATTCCCATTTTCGTCCATTTTCAGACCCATTTGGCCGCTGACATCTGCCAAGTCTCCCAATTGGGAGATCCCACTGCCACCACACAAGGCATGACGCATGCCTAAGGTTTCTATTAGCCTTGCCAGGTTCTTGTGAAAGTAGCTACCATTCTGACCAATATTGACCAATAGAGTCTCTCAGGTCCAAAAATTGCAAAATCCCTGGCTACTTTTTTAAGAAGTCTTTCAAAACTGGAACCGTGCAATATGAGATTTGATAGTATTTCACAGTGTTTTGCTTGCGCTCCATGAAGCAAATTTAATGGATCCACAGCTGCGTTCGTGGAAACTCGTCCGCTAGTGTCTTATGGTCATACAATGCCATAGAATGTCCAAGGCTGCTTTGCAACAAAAGAACTTCCTGGCTGAAATCTCTTCAATCTTTCCGGAGGTCATCTCAAGTCATTGTATTCAATTCACAGTATATATATAAATCATTTTACATCTGTCATCATCTGTCATAGTCAGGGCAACTCCAAATGGCCAAGGCAGAATGTCCATGAAAATCCGGAATCCTCGTAAGTTCGAGTGCGGTAGTCGTCGATGTACAATCTACCTGTCGTGTGGCACTGAAGCGGTGAAACATCATCAGATGCCGGCAATGGCGCAGGGCACCTTTTGCGCTGCCCGTCTGTGGGTCCAAATACACATTCAGCGTGAACGGATCCTGCCAATAGACAGCATGCGAAAGATCGGAAACAACTGAAAGAACTCGGTGAATCTGCTTAGAAGTTGGTGTGTTTCAAGAAAGCGGAACATAACCACAACATCCACAACATCCACAACATCCACAACATCCACAACCAATGGTTTGGTTGAGTCCTAGAGGATCCTAGAGAAATGATCTGACCCAACGATGAACCATTGGTTCCCCACAGTCCAGACTCATGCAGGCAGAGCTTCGGCGTATTCTGGATTTCAGTGGAACCACCTGCCACCAGCCACCATCCAAAAAACCGAAAGATCTCATTGAAAAGCATTGGATTGTTCCCCCCCATATATGATTATGGTAGTTGCATATATATATATAAAGTACTGTAATATATCTAGATATAGATATAAGCCAACCTTCTCAGCCGTCTCTTGAGACAATTTTAAGGTAATGACAGTGCCAGCTTTGTAGTAAGCTGGAATGGTGTCAAGGTCCAACTTGTGAACGTGCGCTCCAGGCTCTTTAAAGGCCCCAGTGTGCAAGCTGTACCTAACCATGCAGGGCTGAGGCACCAGGAGAGAGAGAGAGGGAGAGAGAGAAAGTGATGAAAATGAATGACATTCCAATGATGTTGGCCGGCCAGTCTTATTAGAATTTCTCCACCTATAAGCAAACAAGTAGATGGTGTTTATCATCATGATAACAATTAGATGGTGCTTTCATGCACTAGCCACAGTCTTATTACCATCTTGCTTAAATTGGCAACACTTTGCCAACTCGTGTCTTGGGCTCGCACCAACCACTCGCTTTTGGCAAATACACTGTCGCCTCTCATCAAAAGTCTGCGAATGTCAGAGCAGAATGTAAGCAACACAATCAACACATCTCAAGTACCACCTATGTAATCAGGCCAGTCACCATAGATGATTGTATGAATATGTATAAATACATAAATATAATCACATACTATCAGATACAAGCAAAGCCTATCAGCCACTACAAAACATGCAAAATATACGCAAAATAAAAGTCAAAGAATTCCGCCTCAGACTGTTCTGATGAAGGCTTGGTGATACCGTGCACCAACAGCGAATCTCCAAGCATGATCTCGCTTTCCAACGCCTGTAGGCAGTGCCATCCCAGGAAGAAAATCACATGAAACATGGCAGCATCTCTTGGCAGCCAGGTCCTCTTCAAACGTTCCAAGATGTTGCAAGTGTGTTTTGTTCATCTTCCTCTGGAGTTTCCCCCATTTTCCCCCAAAAGTTGCGCACTTCAACAGCTCCCATAAGTTGCCCATCGGCGATCACCCCGGGACAACACCTCCTCGTTCTCATGTGTCTGTGGATCATCCTCAGAGCCAGATCACTGGCTAGACATTTTATCCATGTTCATCCCTGTTCCCTCCAAGTCTATTCATATTTTGATATATTTTGCGGGTTGGAATTTATTAGGATTATTAGGGGTACTTCATTTAGGGCTAGCTGATATATGTTCATATCGATCATAGCTCTCGATAGCTCGCTGAGGTCCCCACCAAGAAGTCCCAGAACAGCGGTCGCACCACGGGCTCAGATGCGGTGGCCCACTGGTGGAATAAGGTGTACCACAAGGGCAACATCTTGTACCTGGCCATCGGCACTCGGCTGGTGTGCCTTGGGAGCCAGTGATGTGGTAGTTGGCAGCCGTTGTTAGTAGTTGTTACCCTCTGGTAAACTAACATAGCTATGGAAAATCACCACTTTTAATAGGTAAATCAATTATAACTGGGCCATTTTCCATTGCTATGTTTAACTACCAGAGGGTAGCTGAAATAGTTCATGGGTTTCATGAGAGCAAGAGATTTCATAACCAGTGAGCGGTAGCAAAAGCCACTATGGTTGGATCATGTTGGATCTGGCTATTCCCATACTCCATATATAGATATTCATAAATCGAGCTGTAGATGGATGCTGCTGGATGGATGATGAATGATGAATGATGAATGATGGATGATGAATGACAAATGATGAATGGTGCATGATGGATGATGAATGATGGATGGACGGATGATGGATGATGAATGATGAATGATGGATGATGGATGGCGAATGACGGATGATGAATGATGAATGATGAATGATGGATGGTGAATGGTGAATGATGGATGATGAATGGTGAATGATGAATGATGAATGATGGATGATGATGGATGATGGATGGATGGATGGATGGATGGATGGATGGATGGATGGATGGACGGATGTGCATCCACAACAAACAACCCATCCTCCACCATCTCCAGCGGTGCTGCGCCTCAGTTGCAACGAAGCCTTGATCCTGAGCATCGTCGCCTCGTCGAAGACGTACGGCTCTCGTCGAGGCGTCTGGAGACATCAACGCGTCAGAAGAGTACCCCGCCCGTCTGTTTAGTTCCAAAATCCATCAAAATCCTACTATGCCTGAATGATTCCTGAATGCATCAGTGGATGTGCAGATGAAGGGGCCTCCAGGTGCGCATGATTCCGCAGGAAAGGATAAATCAGAACTGCCAACTGGTACCTTGCAGCGAGGAGCTTCTGGGGCCAATATAAAGCGGTATTTTGTGACACGTGACACCGCGTAGGAAAATCACCCAGTTTGAATGCTATAAGTCCAGAGAGTCTGATCTCGGCATGCAGTCTTTTTGGGCACCATCTGACGGTCATCTCAGTGTCTGGATGCTTAAAGAATCCACCCACATCCTCAAGCGATGCCAAATCTCAAACGGTGGGCGATTCTCTAAAGCTCGGTTTGCAACCGAACCGCACACAAGCCTCTAAAAGACAAGACACCATCTTGACGGACCAGATCGGACCAGGTAAATAGGTCTGCAGGGAAAGGGGAATGCGACAGCCACAGCTACTAGAAGAGCCAAGGATCAGCTCCCACCAAGGACTGACCGCCAAGAGTCAACGCACCCACCTTGGTAGTATCAGCTGCCAAGGCGTCTTCAAAAATTGGGGAAAATAATTCGGAATAATGGTAAAAGCCAAAAAACAACCAAAAATCTATAGTATACGTATACATAATAAATGAAATTTATCAAGCTCATCACAACTGCACATGTGCGGTTCATGGCTTCGAAACATGCAGGTTCAACATGGTTCAACCATGTGGCATTCATGAGGCTAGGGGCAAAAATTCAACACTATTTAGGATGATGGCACTGGCCTAGACCTGGAGGTTCGGATGGTTCGGGAACTTGAAGATATAGAGATATGGATAGATATGGATAGATATGATATGGGTGTTTACCACAAAGCGCCCAAACCTGTGGTTTCCACTTTGGCGGGGTCCCCCATTGTCAGGCAACCCGGCAACCCCCAATGCCATCAAACACTCGACCCTTTCCCCAGGTGCCATTCCCTCTGTTGCCACAGCCATAAAAGAACTGGGTTTCCCTGCCATCGCGATGGAGGCTTTCAAGTGCGACCATTGAGCATAGTTATCCCCTGCACAAGACTAGTGCGGCAGCAATCAAGTGCAAGCATGGTCACGGGCATGGTCCCCCATGGAGGTGTCCTAGAGTGAGCCATGCAAACTCATTCTGCACCCGGGCCCGTGCTGAAACAGCAGGTGCTGCTTGCCTGTCCAAATGGCACTGTACTTGTGGGAGCCAATGAAGAAGGATCTGGTAAGAACAAATGGCCTGCAGTGCAAATCTGATGGGCAAAGCTATGCAACCAGTCGACTAAGACAACTAGAGCAATGAGATGTCATGATTCTATTATGGACATGGACAGGTACTAGGTACCCTCTTTTTTCATTCAGTTTCGTCTTGCCGAAAAGTTTGAAGGATCCTTGCAAAGCAGTGCCACCCCCTCACGCCTGTCACCAGGCGTTCTTTTTTGCAAACCCTCGAAGGTGGCTCGGTGAACATAGTATCCGTACCTCTACAAACGCCGTCCTTGCTTCGGAAATGTCTTCTTATCTATGCGCTACTGACTTTCTGCCAGCCATTGATGCAAGGATTTTGAGCAAACATATCCATTCCTTCACCTGCTAAGTGTTGCAGACTGAGCCAATGCCAGCAGGTTTGCTCTGTTGGCTCACATGTTGTGCACATCACGATGCTCAACCATCCCATGGGGATGCACTGCATCTCTTGGCATCGTCACCTGGTAACGAACCACTGCTCATGGCCCCATGGCATCCCTTGCTGCTTAACAAGATTCTACACATTCTACAATGTTTTTGACGGTGGAGGAATGAACCTCCCCACTCAAGCCTCTGGACCATTAAACACGGAGGGCTCGTTCATGTCGTTCCTGACAGCCACTCCGAAGCCAGGATCTAACTCTGCACTCTTATTAGGTGAAATCAATCATCTGCACTCTCGAAAAACACAGCTGGAGTGCAAGATATATAGCTTAGTTTCAATTGGTTTTTACTTGGATAGTTTCATATAGTTTATATGTTTCTGTATGTTGCTAATCGTTCACACGGTTCATGTGCCATATGACATCATATGAATATGACTATATGATGCTCCATTTGGCTCATCTATCTGAAGGGATCCACTGTTGCAGCCAGCAGACCAAATGTAGGTGTCTCCGTTGGTACCCGCGTACTTGTCCAACGCAAATTGCGATCCCCAATATTCTCGCATTGAGGGATCCTGAACGGGCACTGGCACTGAGTTGCTTCTCGCTGCCCGGCAATTTGTTGCACCAAAAGGCATGTTTACCCTCTGGTAATTTAACATAGCTATTGAAAATGGCCATTTATAGTGGATTTACCCATTAAAAATGGTGATTTTCCATAGCTATGTTAAATTACCAGAGGGTATGATGTTTATGATCAACAAATAAGTTTTCAATTAAGCCATAAGCCAAGTGTCAGTAAAGTCTGGATACAAGGATGTTCCTGGCCAACACCACCTTAGCCGATCAAGAAAGCATATGAAAATGTGCAAGGTAGTCCTAGCATATCAATTCCATAGCACACATGCTCTACAAGTCCATCTAGTAGAATGCTGTTGAATCAAAGTTAGGACTTTCCAATGGATGATGTCTTTCGGCTTACCGTTAGGTCTGCCTCCACAAAGGGGTATCGCAAAAATTGATAGTTAATCATGGTTGATCAACATTTTTCCAGTGAAATACGTATGGGGTATATTGATATGAATTATTTCATTATTATGGTATATTATGGTAATTATACCATTTGCCCTGGCCATGTTCTCCCGGTTTGCCCAGTGACCCTTCGAAGTCGGACAGTTCAGGAGTCGGGTCATTCACCTTTCGAGGGTGCCACCTGCCATGCCAGCCGTGTCTGTGCGCTTGGTCTGAGGTAGTGGAAGCAATGCCAGAGGCACGCGCCCTTGTAAGCTGGGTTGTCAATCTGGGGAGCAACCCATGGCCCGTCTTCTTCGGTATTCCACTCCTGTCATGGAGAGCTGAAACGCTAATGAGCCGCTAATATCTCAATGTGTCTCCCTGTGCTGATCTGGTCTTGGACATTTACAACACCTTCCAACTCTTGGAACGGAATGATCGGCTATGCCTTCCAACTCTTGGGTTTTGTAACATGATGTGGTCAGCGATCACAACCTTTTTGGACAGCACAAGCGCCCCCATTCCAACCCAAGCAGACCACCCGGGCGGGCTCCGGAGGTTGTGTAGCTGATGGATCCGGGATTTTGGTCTCTTCAACCCAATCAGCTGGCTTCACCTGGCAGAAAGATTACCATCTGATACCCAGCAGTGTCTGTGAACTGGTTGTCATTGGTTGGGAACATGGAATGATGAAATCCTCATTCCAAATTTTCGCTGTGTAGCTTGGATGCATACTGCCTGTTCCTTACTCTTTCCAAGTTGCTTATCAAATAACAGCAAGCACAGAAACAAGATGAAACAAGGAGATGGATATAGCCTGATATAGCCAAATAAAGGCAACATGTGTTTAAATGTGTACCTGCCAGTAAGGCTGAGTGGGACTGGGTTGCAAGGGTTGCACTACTTTCAAGAGAGGTATCTTCAACTGCGGACCAAAGAGAATGTATTGGCAATATTCAACTACAACTGATGCTGGGGTCATAGCCACACAGAACATACTTGCCATCTGTTCACAAGTTCTTCCGTAAACCTCCCTCCAAGTATGAATGTCTCAGGTTGAGCTCCCAACATCTGTCGGGTCATCGATCTGTTTGTAGGACACCTTTTTGACAAAGAGCCCTTTGTCTCGCACCTTCCAGGGTCACCGGATTTACACACCCATTGCTGCCTGCACTGGGAACCGCAGAGCTGCAGCGAGGGTCCCCACCTCACGGTAGACGTGAAACTTTTCTTCCTGGCAAGGCCAGAAAGTGCCACTCAACTCCATTCAAGTTTCTGCCACAAAGACTTGACTCAACTTCATAGAATGTGCAGAGGGAAAAGAAAAACATACCTTCTTTAGAAAGCAAAAGCTGGCAACAGAATGTACAGTATCTCTGGGAGTTGTCTCCCCCCTGCTAACCACGGGTCTGTTCTGGGTATCAACCATCCAGTCCCTCCTTCTTGATGTGCGGATCGACCACATTCACAAATTTCCGTCGCTTGGCAGAGATGTTGTCAATCATCTGCTTGGGGTTGGGGAATGCTGCAGCATTCCACCTTGAGTATCGAGGTGCGGTTCATTGAATCTGGCAAGCCTATGTCGCAGCCCGTTTGGTATGGTTTTTCGGAGCAACTCTAAGCTGCCAACGAAAAGTATGCCTTGCCATCAGTGTGCTCAATGTCAAGCCTGGCTTGGACCGAGTAACTGGAGGTCCAACGAATGTTTCCCAAGTAGATTGCAGACACGCCATCACACGCCAAATCAAGACCCTTCTGCAATGCAAGTGGCCAAATGGTATCGTAAGGAATGTCATACTTGTCGTACATCGTATCCACGGTCGCCACATCCTCACAATGTGGTTGGCGAAGACACAAGGGATTTTGGAGATTCCACGGAATTCCCCACAAAACATTCGGTTCCAGAAGATGATAGACTACTGTAGTATGCTGCTTGGTGCAAGCCATCCCGAAAACATTTCCGGACTGGTGAAGATCGTCAATATCATCAATCATGTAGGAATACTGTAGGAATTGGATGGAATTGGGGGACTTTTAGTTCTTGAAATCCGGAATCATAATCAAATCTGACTGCTATCTCAGGAGTCATAGTCAAACGACCTGCACACATCGAATGGTCCATTGGTCCTTCTCGCTCATGTAGTTCCAACGGCACTGATGCTTCCCCAGAGCCCACAGCCCCGGCATTGGCCCGTGCCCGGTGAGATCATGGAACTGCCTCTAACATGGGACTCCCGGAGACTCCCGGTCCATGGGAAATTCCCCAAGCCATGGATATGGAGCGTTCATGGGAAACCATCGAACGAAAAGTGACATGAAGAAGTTTCCAGCTACAGAAGGTATCCAATGTATCCAGAAATCATCGAGATGTCACGGGGCCCAGGCGTTGACACTGTCTTTGGTGTTGGGCCCACCATGACCACAATATCGAGAACGCCACTTTCACTGGTCCACCAGGCATGGGCCTTCAGAAAGTCACCAGATCAGAGAGAGAGAGAGAGAGTGAGTGAGTGTGTCAAGATCTTTGAAACACACATCTGCCACAATATCTAAGGAAATAGAATGGAAATCGTCGTGGATAGTCATTCAAGCTTCAATCCTGGCTCCCTTCGACCAGGGAACGTCAGTGCAGAATGGTCTTCACCCTTTTATGTCTGAGACTGCTGCCGGACCGCCCTTCGTGTCAGGCGTGTCCCTCTCCAGTTTCACAAAGGTCTCCTGAAAATCAATCGGAATCAACACTTTAGAAATCTTATATAAATATATATATATATATCATGCAGAACAACAGAACATCACCAAAACATCGATTTTTTAGCATTTCTTATCCTGAAATTCAGCATTCCATGTTCCTGGGAATTGAACTATAACATAACAAATCATTAAAATAGCTGACACAGCTGGCTCAGCGCTCCGATGGGTTGATCCACAAGAAGCCCGAGGACACCGTCTGACCTCAGGATCGATGATGTTCAAACAGCTGGGCCAAGAATCCATCATAACGGTTAATAGCCATGTTATAGCTGGACCATAAATTGGTGTTTAGCGAAGTCAAAATGAATTGACAACTTGACAAAACGAGTGACTACCAAAAAGGGTCAATTTTCTCAAGTTGACTTTATGTGGTCAGCTTGACTTACTTTGTCAATTTGTCAAAAATGTTCAGACCCACTCAAAAGTGGCAAATTGATGACTATCACTGGTGGATTTCTTGACGTTTAAAATATGTCTATTTCTTGTACACGGAAGAATGATACAGCTGGTAGCATCAGCCAGCCAAAGAAGTGCAGAAACAGTGCCAACTATGATTGAATGCATGACCGTCCGCCAATGAATGGATTCCTTTTAAGTTACTATATAACTCCAAAGATTGGATGGCTGAGAGATTAATACATTTAACACTCAGCAAGGATTATTTCACTCCTTTGGCTTCCTTGTGCTCCAGTCCAAATTGAGATGCGGCTTGATCCGCGCATGCTGATTTGTGTGTCTCTTGTGCACAGCAAATCATATTACAACATCAAATGATGACAATCTCAATAAATAAACCAATAATCAAAAGAAAAGAAATCAATAAATAAATAACAACACACAACGCTCCCATCAACCCTACCTTCAAGACGATGGATTGCCCAAATGATGGGAATTGCACCATACAAAGCCATGGGCTCATCAATTTCGTACCTTCCAAGCAACTCTGCAATGAGTGCTGCAATGAATCGAGATTCAGTAAACTCCTGCAAAAGCGAAACTTCAACAGCGAAAGCTCATGTTCGCTTCTTCATGTTGTTTCTTCTCCTTCCAAGTCCTTCATTTCAGCCAAGAAAATCCCGAGCGAAGACTGGACGCCAAGCAATCAAAAGATGTGGCTGCAACTATACAAATAAGAAAATTAAATAACAAAGTGTGACGACAACCGAAAACACTTTAAAGTCTCAATGCCTATCACATAGAAAAAATGTGAATGGTGGACGCGCTTTTTGTAGTCATGGACAAGGGGAAAGCGCTCCACATTCTCTCAACGGAGGTCACTCAAAAACGTCGAGGTTGAAGAATCGATAAGGCTCGCTGTAGAAAGGCAGACTGGCCTCAGCTTCTTGGCTCGTACTGCATCTGTAGTCACATGCCTTCTTGGTGACTTGGATTGACTTGGTGTTTTTCTTCCTCCAAAAATCTATAGGATCTATAGTATCTATAGGTGTCCAATCCAGAAAACCAAAAATAGGGCGAGCTACTCGTTCTGAACCACCCGTTGGGACCCGAACTTTAGTGGCATGTTCTGGAAGGCCAAAGAGCGACGGCACATCACCCTGAGCGCCGGCTGAGCTCAGGGGGTGCTCAAACAAGGCACGCATTCTGAGCAACAAAATAGATGAACACATACATCTATCAAAATAATTCAAAATACATCAAAATACAAAATGTTTGTTCGTATTCTAGGTGTGCTGCAAAATAAAGGAATGAACCCCAACATATTTATTGTATTTTATTGTCATCCCTGACTCATCTCTCCTATCCTTGTCTTTCCTCACAGCTCCTTCAGCCCAAGGTGCCAAAAAGCTCACATCCATACCCAAAGAGGCAGGGCCTGACCGTAGGGCTGTTGATCAATGGAACCAACCATGGAACCATGGAACCAACCTGGATTCCCTCGCAGTGTGTGGCACCTCTTGGCTTCTGGTCTGTGTGGCCACCAAAGGGCTCTTCCCACAAGCCCTTGGCATGTCATCGGACGCTGACTACTCGGTTCCTACGAGTAGTGTATGGACGGAGGTTGCAAAAAAACATCTAGCATACCATGAGATGAAGTTGTGTCGAGCCAAAGTATATAAGATCATGCACCAAATCAGCAAAGCGAAGACTTTGGTGAGCTGACGATAGTTCGAGTTCACAGCTTTAGTTTGATCTTGAAACGAGTGGCATTGGGACCATATTGACACCATATTGGGACCTACCATGACCTACCTATGTTAAGCCAACTGCCATCATCTACGGATATCAATCAGCCTGGGTGCCCCGAGCGTTTGTATCCAATCCATCAGGATGAGCGGCTGCATCTAGCAAAACCTGAATTTCAGCTGCAAATGATATGCCATTTCAGGGCGTGTCAAATGGTGGTTCCCAAAACCATTGCTTCCTCTGCTAAAAATGACAGTTTAGGGTCCCCCATTCTAGAACCCCCCCAAAACGTTGCTCTCCAAGCAGCTGCATCGGCTGCAGACACCGAGGCTGAATCAGGTGGCAGCCTCTCCTGCCAAAGTGCTGACTTCAATTTAGCTCCAACATCATCTGAAATCAATGGTGAGGAAAGTCCTTTTTGCTACAAAACCTATTAACAACAATTCAACATTGGCTGCTAAGCAGGATCCTACATACCACATCACTGGACATCACACCACACCACACCACGAAAGTTGGGAGCATCCACGTTTTCCTCAACCCGCATCCCCCGATATTTTCCCGCCAAATCTGAGGGCTCCTTGGGTTTTCGGTATCGCTCGAAATTGAGCATGTTTCGGGCATTCAGCCTGAAGAGTTCTACATGGAGACAAGTGCGGGGCCAGACCCCTATTGGAAACACCTATGATTTCTGCTGCGCGAATCCTCGCACGTTCACTTTGATCCATGCCCCACCTCTGAAGGATTTTCCCTCCAACGGAGACTTCCAGCGCCAACGGCGAGTGATGAAGGATGGCCTTCCAACGTCCCACGCCCCAACGTCAACCTTCTTGACCAGAAAGGCTGGTTGTGCCAATTAGATCCAACACTCAACTTTTACACCACACAGCGGTGATAAGACCCCCATGTCTTTTCCATTTCGTTCCCGTCCTCTGCTTTTGTGCCATCTGCAGTGTCAAACTTGAAGATTGTCTTTCCAGCTTCATCTGTGGGAGATACCTTTGCCCAGCGGCTTGCAAGTGACCAAAGCGATCTGCCCCGAAGCCGTTTTCTTATCTTACAACCAGCACCTGGATTCATCAATTCCAATCGTTTGATCTGTATCACTAATTCTCCCTCGAAATATCTTTTGAGGAGCCCAAAGCTGAGAAAACAAATGCATGAAAATGTGGGGCTGCCGATACAAACATCCTTCCAAGCATATCAGATTGCATCAACATATATATATATATACATGCATTGCATTACATTACATTGCATTGCATTACATTACATTACATTACGCTACGCTACGCTAGGCAACGCTAGGCAACGCTACGTTACGTTACGTTACGTTTCGTTACGTTACGTTACATTACATTACATTACATACATACATTTATATTATTTATATATATATACTATAGATATCATATTAAACATATATAATATATATCATATTATATATATATATCAACATGTATTCTGAGTACGTCAGCACTGCTTTTGATACATCTTCCCCTGCCTGCGCAGCTGCAGGTGGAGGATCGCTTACAACATCTCCCGGAGGGATTTCATGGCCTCAGGGCTCCGTAGGATCATCATAAACTGGACTTGGTGGCTGCCCAGCTAAGGAATTGAGGACCTGTCCCCTTCAACAGGAAGGGTTTTACTTAATAAAGCCTAGCGGTTTAAGGATCTCCCTACTTTCAGGGATAGCCAGAAATGGCTGATGAACATCAATGCTTCAGAAACACACCTAGCTGCACCAGAGAATTCTATGTATTTTCACAGAATTGAAACAGCTGGTGAACACCCATCTTCCCAAAGTGAAACAGAGTGAAAGGACTCGCACGCAGTTGAAACAAAAGAAGACAAAACACATGCCCAACTCAGAGCAGCCATCAAAGTCTCTAACCACGAACTAGCCAGGGATTACACAATCCAATGCGCTTTGAAGGAAACCTGAGCCCATCAAAATCGTGTTTTTTTTTGCCAGCAATCTGATGCAATCTGGGAATAGTTTGCCACGCCAGCTGAGACGAGTTGATCACAAGACCGTTTTTGTCCATCGGGACGCCAGCGGAGGAGAAGCAAGACATATCAACGGCTGATTTCAATTAGTTTCCTGCTATCAGGATTTTTGCTAACGGATTGAAGAATTCGTGCTGCACGACCATTAAATGTTCGCATGGCCGGAAGTCCATGTTGGTCTGCATACATCTTCATTGCCTCAAACACTTCAGCTTGGACGTATTCACTGCTGTCCATTAGTTTAGCTTTTCGCAGAAGCGCGCAAATCTCTGACATAGAGCTTTTGCCTTTGCGAATGTACTGCCATTGCCCAGGACTGTCCTGGGCTAGAAATGCAGCGCGAAGGTTCTTGCAAACATCAGAACTTCTGGCTCCTGAACCAGGTAGAGCTCCTATCAACCTCAACTTCGTCTTGTTTAGACCAGCATTGAGGAAGCAAAACATTGCTTCTGGGAAGTCGTCGTTCAAATCATTGTCCAAATAACCAAGTCTTCTCAAAAATTGCGCCGTCAAGTCAGGCGAATCCTGCAAGATGAAAGGACCACCACCGCGAAAAACCTGGCGAGCCAATTTAGATCCATATGTTCGAGACCTGCTTTGGTAATGGTGCTCGTGGAAGATATAGGCAAGCAGAATGCTAAGCTTCCAGTATAGCCTTCCCAGTTCCCGCTGCTGTCTTGTACCACATCATGCACTGCAATGGTCGCAAGTTGAGGAGGAAAGACCGTTAGAGGGCCCAAGCAATGCGCAAACCAAAACTTAGCTACCGCTTGGACCAAGTAGCCAGTCTCCCCCATGAAACCCAGATCCTTAAGAAATTGGGCTAGGCGTTTACCTGCCGCTGAGTTGTCAAGCGATTTGTAAGGGCCCGCTAGGTGTACTGATCCGTCTCCATGGCGATCGAGCACGGCTCGAACGCGCGGCCCACTCAAATCTGGAGTGGACAACTTTAAGACCTTGATGTTTGCATCCCTATACTTTCCAAGAACCCCATACTTGGTTTCAGGAATAAAAACAACAGTGCTGAGTCCTGCAAATTGAAGTTGCACCAGTGTGTCGATGAAGCCCGTGTCTGACGTCATCAGAGCAATGCAAGCAACGTCATCCCTTACCGTGCATTCTTGTATTGCAATTTGAATTGCTTCATCGTTTGGCTCAGAAGATTCATCATCCGAACGAAGCACGGGTTCGAACATGACATCTGGTTCTTGCATGAACCGGCACTTGTTATTCTCAACCCTTCGGGGCGCAGCAAAAAGAGTTGTTTCAACTTTGTGGCGCTCAGCTTTCAGAGTTGTCACCATCAACCAGCAGCTGAGTCCTTCCAGATGCTGCAAGCATCACATTCCGAGACTTGAATCTGCCAAGGCGTTGCCGGCACTTCGCAAAAGACCCTGCAACCAAAATAGGCCCGAGGACCTTGGAAGGAAGAAGACGGTTGTAGCTATGAAGGGTGCTCTGGTAAACCAATGCTACTGAGGTGGGAAGGAGGGGAATGAGCCCAACTGAAAAAAAAAGCCTAAAAACAAGATGAAACCAATAGTAATCATCCCTGCCTATATTGAATCTGACTGAATGAAGGGCACTGTTGTTCGCCCCTCAGAACATTGCTTGCGGCAAGGCCGTTCGAGATCATTATCATATTCTCAGGGTTTGAGAGAACTGCTCTTGACCAGTACATTCAGTACATGTATATTACGGTATGTAGATTGTGCCCCGCTTAAAACCCATGATCGCAGTGCAGCAGAATGCAGCAGGATATTCGTACTGCGTTTTGCCACCACCTTCTGCCAAGAACTACTCGAAAGCGTCTCAGTAGCTAAGAATTGGGGAACATTAAATGTCCAGTCTTAGATACCCTGCAGATTAAATCGACTTTGGCATCTTTTAGCTTGTTGTAAAACATTTGGATTCCAAATTTATGGTGAAATATCACAACTATTTACTATTTGATACTATTTGACTATACGAGCGCCGTGCTTAAGTCACATCATGCGGGAAAAGTCACATCATCCCCATGGCACGGCGGCGATACAGAAAGTCACATCAGGTAGTGGAAAGTCACATCAGGGAAGAAAAATCACCATGGCACAGCCTGTTTCATCTATAATTAGAGATTTAGTTAAAAGTAGCCGGAGCATTGCGCACAGCGATGATTTTGAAGGGCACAAGTTAATACAAACAAATTCTCGGCAGCTATTCCTATTGGATTTGAAAATATTATATTGATGTCCTGCGTCGCGCGACCACATCAAACCCCTATTGGTACAGCCTCAAATTTCTTGCAATGCAAATGGGTTAGCTGTAGCAAATCCTATTGGCAGGGCTATGATCTAGCATGATATAAGGATATCGCAGATGTTTGAGGGATCTTTCAGCCAACTGACTTTGGAGATGCAGGGCTTGCCATGTCCAGGTCTCACCACACCTTTCCCTCGCAATCTCGAGGTGTTGCATGAGGATCTCGCATGGTCATGCAACAGAATGGCTCCAGGTGCGGCCGAACACAGCGCCATGACTAGTGACTAGTGGATGTGAGACGTTGAAACGATCACATATTTCACCATTGGCTGGCAAACTCTGTTGATTCCGTAATTTTTGTTGGGAACTCTGGGGGTATTTCCCGGATCACAAGAATTTGTCCTTGCCAAATGAAAAAAAAGGATGTTGGCGTGCTCTCAATTCGATGGCATGACCTGCAAGGGTTTTGTGTGAGAGTCGGGGTAGTGACATCAATGGTTCAGCGCTAGGCAATGAGCTGTGAAACTGCTGGCATGTGTAGATTGGAAGAGCCGATCATCATGGCGCGTCATATTATGATGTGGCCAGCCCCAACCGACGATATGATGTAGTAGATCACTAGTAGCACATAGCCATCCCCACAGGCATCCTGAGTGCCCCATGCGTTTATGCAGCGGCTCGATCTCATTGATTCGAAGTCGAACCATGCCTCAATAGCCAACAAAAACTGCTGCCTGTCATTTTCGACTGAAAGTGGCTTCCCAAAGCACCTTTATTTGTTCAACCGTTCAACCATATTTTGGTCACTTCTTTGCATTGGAGTGCCATCTGGGGGACCACTTTGTTGGTGCCAAAATCATCCATCTTGCCTTACCGGCTCGGTTCCAGCTGCACCTGATGCATAGATGTCCAGCTTGAGCAGCAAGTGAGCTATGGCCTGGGGCAGCCCTTGATGAATCCAGCTGATGAATCAAGCAGGAAGAGGATATCTTCGATGATTGATCCTTCTGGTGGGCTCTTATACAAGATATGAAATCAATATCTATACTGTAAATCCAGAATTATATTAATACATAGAACTTGATATATAATATACATGTGTACACCAGCGGTCACCAGCGGACTGGTGAGTTGATGGTCATTCAGAGGAACACAAATTTTCCAGGCGATCATACACCTGGATGTTCGCAGCCTCATTCACATGCTTCACCTGAAAGCTAAAGCCGCCCTCCGGCAGGGGACTCCTGGGAGGATGCCGACAGAAGCACAAGAGTCACAAGAGTTGCAAACTGTGCTTGACTCATTTGACTCATTTGACTCATTTGACTCATTTGACTCATTTGACTCATTTGACCCTCCAAACAATAACTCAACTTCCAAATCCCTTGTATGCCTCATGAATTTTTCATTAGAGGTCAATTTTTTGAAATGAATCAACTGCTGCAGCTTCAGAAATAGCAACTCACCAGCCGCCTGGTCTGTGGAAGGATGGTCCAGAGTGCCTTCTCCCTTTCTGGTCTGCTGGTCCATTTCTTGTACCTCAAGGTGTGGTCGGTGGTTTCACCAGCCATCACCAACCTCTGCACCAAGCGGCACCAACTCCAAAGCCAGCCGGCCTTCTGCAGAATGAACCTTGATCACAGGTCCTGAACTTGGATCTGTCCACTGCATCCACCACGGCCTCCAAATGATCAAACGGAGCGCCCCACCGGGTCAGAACATGTGACAAGATTCTACCCCAAAGTTGGAATTATTATGGTCTGTGGGTTATTGGTCAATCATGATCATGAATGATGATTCCTAAAATGCCGAATTTTCTGCGCCTCCATGATTCCTTTAAAAAAAACAAATATATAGTCCATTCTAACCCATCATTTGATTTTTCAGGAATCATCACTCATGATGTGTTTTGTCTGGTGAATTTCAGGGCCTTTCAACTCCGTACCCAGAGTATCCCAGAGTTTGAGTCACCCACCAGCACCAGGATCAGAGACAGCCAGGACATTCGCCTGACCTGGCAACGTCTGTGGCTCTGGTTCTGGATCAAACCCTCCAAGTGTGGAACAAGTTGTGGCAGTGGTATCAATATTTATTGCTTGGATATTTATCTGTACTACAGTTTGTAGTAAACATATGAAATAATTAAATATCTATGTATGTGTATGTGCATATACATATATATATATATACATATATATATATATTTATGTGTGTATGTATATACATATATACATATATCCATATGTATATATGTATGTATGTATGTATGTATGTATGTATGTCTGTGTGTATGTATGTATGTATGTATGTATGTATGTATGTATGTATGTATGTATGTATGTATGTATGTATGTATGTATGTATGTATGTATGTATGTATGGACGGACGGACGGACGGACGGACGTATATATGTAGACATATATATATATATATTTACATGTATACATATATACATGTATACATATGTATTGTTGTATACATATATATATATGTATACATATATGTATATATACAAATATAATGTCAATCCTGGATTAATCAACCCCTAGACTATTTGGAGGGTACCCCCTAATTTATAAACCATGGTTTTTTTAATCGGGGTTGACATTATAAATATATATATATATGTGTGTACATCCATATATCAAGATAGATAGATAGATAGATAGATAAATAGATTTGGCATATATTTATATATAAATTACCCAAATCATCCCAAATCTGTAGCGACTACCATACTTCCCATATCTTCCTGGCCTCCATGGCGCTGCACCGGGCCCAAACGCGCCCTGGCACCGCCCACTCCGCCCGCCGCGTGCCGAAGGCTTCAACGTCTGCAGAGAATTTCCACGTGCTGCCCGGGGCGGATATGATCTGATGCTTATGTGAAGCTGCATCGAAGAACGACTTGGCTGCACTTAGGCAACTTGAAGCTAACCCGAGGTTCCCAACTCAGTCATTTTAGTCAGTCATATGCCGAGGAACCCAATATAGATGCGAATCACTGTGAATCAAAAGGAGGGACATGCCTCTTCAACTCTTGCCACAAAACGTATTTTTCAAAACCACAAGGCTAGGGCATCTTTGGCACAAAGCGTTGGTGGCGTAAATTGCTGCCGCTTTGTAGACAGCTTTGAATTCACTTGGTTCTGCAACCATATCCATTTCTCACTTGATGACCTGAGTTGTTCTGCAGACATAACTGTGACATCAAATCAGTGCTGGCGCATCATCCCCAACATTTCGGATCTGGGAAGTCAACTCTTGCGGAAGTTTTCAAGCATCTCCACCTGCGTGGGCAGTGTCTGAGTCCCAGGATCAAGGGCAATGATGGGCAATGCGCATCAAGTCTGTACTGTAAAGAGTTTCTTCGCAAATTTTGTCAAAATTTTGAGTCAGTTCAAGTTGCAGCATTGCAGAGCAATTTGGAAGGTTCTGTGGGTGGTGAACAGAGGCTTGAACGATCCGGACTTTGGTGTTCTGGTTAGATTGGATGATTAAAATGATTGGCAAATTGCATCTTTATCAATGTCCGGACCAGTGCCGAATCAGAACATGCTTCAGGCTTAGGGATAGTGACATCTCAGAGTCAAACCAGTTCATGTTCTGCTTACTGCTAACCTTCCCCCACACAATTCAACAGGTCCGTGGCTGCACCAGCAGCAACCTACATATGTTATGTTGTATAGAGGAAGGAGGTCAATGCACTTGATATCTCTTTGCCAGGTTTGAGGGTATCATCTAAAGACATGAAACTCTGTTCAGCATGTGTACTCAGCAAATGTTCCAGCGACAAAATCAAGTCAGGTCCTTTTCTGGGCATTTTTTTACGAAGGTGAAACAACTGGTCGTGCAAACTTCCAGTGAAACTGCTCAGAGGGTTCCAGGATGTTGAACCTGGTTGCATAGAAAAAATGTGAGCAGAGTTTTTCTCAACCTTCTGGGGCTCCATTATGCTCATATGGATTATGATAATCCGCGGTATATCAAGGATAGGACCCTATTTTGTAACCCACCAGGTTTCAAGGTTCCAGGCTTTCAGGGTTCCCACTGCTGTTGAGAATATCACAACAATGTCCATTCCGTTTGCCGGGACAGAACACGTGAAACTTAGATTCAAGTCCAATCCACAGAATGAAAATCCAAAGGTGGCCAGACTCTTGTATGTTGGGATGTGAATAAGTATGAGGTAAACCCATGAATAAACTATCCAAAAATGATCCGAAGTTGGGGTGTATGGTCTTGGGTATACCTCTATAACTGGGATGATGCTTATTTTGATCCTCTAATGGTTGGTTTCTGTGATGGTCTATAAATTCCAATCATAGATGATTCATCCCCCATTTATACCTCATTTATATATGTCCCATAAAATCCCCAGTGGGTCTCGTTAGATCATATGAAATATCTCATTGATCTGGATAAATCAGGTTACCTACTGGTAACCATCATTGCAGTAACGTCGCAGTGGACAACCCGGCGAGGCATTGCCTCGTTGCTTTCAAGCACCCCCGTCACGAGCTTGCTCAGAGGCCTCTCCGCGGCACAGTCAAAGCTGGAGCCTTCACCAAGTTCCAGTGATTGGATAGATATGATAGATATAGTCATAGTCGGATATAGACTCTGAATGATTCTGAGCTTTTTACATCTTTTTCTATGCACAAGCCGCTCAGTACAGTATCATCAGTATCCTGGTTTCTCAGACCAAAATAACTGGGATTCATACATGTTCATCAATGTTCATCCCTCAAAAGTATGTTTTTTTCATAGGTCTTGCTCCATCCCCACGCTATCAACATGGATCGGCGTCTGTGCCTCGGGTTCACTGGCAGCTGCCTGCGACAGATCCCAGATGTCTTGAGGTGTTTTAATATGGGAATATTCATGGGAATATTCATGGGAATATAAGTTAATGAGATATAACTATAACTCCAATTTGGGTGTGTCTGGCATTTCTAGGGGAAATGATGATCAACTATGGGATTTCAGGGTACCCTGTTCTGAAACAAGTCCATATGGCAACTGCAGGTCGTCAAATATCACAACTGTGGGGAAAATTACGCGTCTATCGAATGGGCCTGCAGCAATTTGTTCAATCAGCCAAGAGATGTTCCAAGCAAGCCCGCTGATCCTCTGATAGTTGCACTCTCATTTCAACTGGTCAAAAGATGTCAAAAGTATTCAAGTAATTGCAGGGATCCGACTCAAAAGGAAGAGCTTTTTCCAGGATGCAATCGATGCTGTTTCCATGTTGATTTCCAGGTTTCCATATTTTTTTCGATCGATTTTTGAGGGTTGCTATACTGAAAAGTGACCTGAAAAATCTCAGCCCGAAATCTGCCTGGCTCAACTTGGCCAGCTGCTCAACTTGTAAGGTCGCATTCATCTCAGCCCAAGATCCAGGATGCTTTGCAAATCAGCTTCCACCGATTATGTTGGATTCTTTTGGATTTTTTTCTGTATACAACTAAGATCTACCCTCTGGTAAACTAACATAGCTATTGAAAATCACCATTTTTAATGGGAAAATCCACTATTAATGGTCATTTTCAATAGCTACGTTAAATTACCAGAGGATATAGTAACTATATGTAACTATAATAGCCAATCACAGTTTGGAAATGGCAAAAGAGTTGATGGATACTTCAGCATCACGTGATTATCACAGTGGAAAGTAATGCTTCAGACAGTAGCTTAGCGGCAAAGACAATGCTCACTCGGATGTTCACGATTGACACAGGCTAGAAAAATCAGCCGAGTCGTACGAGTAAAAGGTTCCATTTCCTTTCTGCAAAGTAACTATTCCTGTTGGAATTGCAACATATTGCAACAATATCCCGCCCAAAGATATCCAAAGATGCTCAGATGGCGGTGTCCACAACTTGACCTGGGATCCCAACACTCCGTCGAGCATTTTTCAAGCCTTCGCCCAGAGTGTTTTGCAAGAGCCGCTGCTCCTCCTACGAAACATGCAGAAATCCCGAACTGATCGGTACATGATCGGTACCAGTTAGCAACGATGTGAGCAGTTGGCGGCGTGCTCTTTAACCATTACAAGTAGCACCTGGAAGACAGTGATAAAGGCCAATTCTGCAAAGTATTGTTGGTGTTACTTATCCGTCAGCATGATTGTGCAGAGAAGTGAATTGCTCCAACCCCTGATTCAGTCACCACTGTGGTTCTTCAACCTGCCACCATATCTTCAGCAAACTTAAGTAGGCCTTTTCTTTCTGTAGTCTACAGGCACGAAAAGTTTGAACAGAAACGAGTGTGCATATGTTGCCTGCGAAAATCATACTTTCTGTGAGACCATTTTGCCATGCTGAAATCCGCAAGTCAAAACTTCATAGGTGCTTTATGCTGGTAGTCCTCTTGCTGGCGGTATACCTCATAGGCGCTTTCCCACTCCTGCAATGCGGCAGCTGCATTTTCCAGCATTTTGTGGTTTGCAAGCCAAGCTTCTCACATTCCCCCATTTATGGTGGGACTTTCCGTCCAAACGGCGGCGGAAATACCTTTCCAAACCAAATCCTTCCAACATGCCAAGGTGGGTTCGGGGGCAAACCAAAGATGTTGTGGTCCAATGAATGCCACACGCAAACACTGGTGCCACACGCTCAACGTGCCTTTTTCTGACCTTGTCAGACTCTAAGCAATTGTTACGATATGTTATCGTGGTGAAAGGCTGAATTTGTGCAGCTGCATCTGTCCAAATATAAATCGGAAGCGCTTCACATCCAACAGCTCAACAAAAGTCATCCCCTTACCCCTCTTCAACTATGGTTTTGCAGAAGGAAGTGAAGATTGTCCATGCTGTCAACTGCAGAAATTAAAGATACAACACTCAGGCGTCTTCTTCCGGGCGGGCCGCATCTCGTCGCTGGGACGAGGACGCAAGGGTGGCAAGAAACTGTCGCTTGAAGGCAGAAATGGTGGCCGTTTCATTGAGGATTTCTGTGAAGATTCGGCCGCTGCCGGGTCCTCTCTCCGCCTGAAACAGCAACAACACAGCCATTTCGACAGTAGCAGAACAGATTGCATCAAGACGTAGGACACCAGGATGAGGTACACAGTCCAGAGGATCAGGTCTTCCACTTTCCGTGGGATCCGTCCTTTCTGTCTTGGCAAGATCTCTTCCAAGCTATCCACAGTGGAATTGATGGACCCTGAGAGGTCCACCGTTTCCAGGGCTTTCTTCATGGCTAATTGAAGAGAAGCAGCGGCTGCATCCAGGGAAGATATGATCTCCCAGACATCCTTCGTTGTTAAACTCAGCTGTTGGATGGAAAACGCGTTGAACAAATACGATTGCATTGTGCAAATTGGTCAAGGCGGATTGTAAATGACATAATGTATATATATATATATAAATGTGTATATATATATATAATGATTTTGTTTCACACTTTACACCCTCAGCAGGCCACTATGTACTATAAAGTGAAACAGCACTGTCAGACTATGAATGGTTAGCAAATCGCAATACCTGTTGTGAATCCAAATTGTGCAAAATGTTCAGTTGGTCAGTTGGTCCTTCTTGGTTTCTCTCTTTCTCCAGTTTGTGTGCATTGGCGGAATCTTTGAAAAACTGGGTGTCGGATTTTTGAGTGGATTGGATTTAACGATTTGCACAATTTTCAAAGATGCCATCTTTATCTACAAGAGCATCAAGAGAGCTCAAGCAAAACTCCACTCCAAGCTTCTCAATCCTCCAGGCAAACCCAACAACCTTTGACGCCAGGTTCTGTGATTTCTGCTGCCTAAACTGGCTTAAACTTACTATATAACATAATATAACTCATCCCATTCTGCATCAACAACTGCAACTGGAGACTTCATGAGTCCAGTGGATGTCCCCGTCCTCTTCTTTGAGGCCAATTCTCTGACAGGTTCCATTCACCATGGGCCCCATCTCAGGCCATACTAGTCCCGGAAGCCAGCTGGAGGCCAGAGGTCCCAGCTTCAGGTTGACAGCCACCGCAGCCAGAAATCGTTGGTACAACGCAACGACCAGGTCCAAAGTTTCGTAGAGCATCCCCACCTGTAAGATGGGCTCCTGCAGTGACACACCAAGGCAGTGGAGCTGGAGGGTCAGGGACTAGACCTTGTGGCCAAGCTTGGAGGTCATGAAGCATATGAAGCTTCAGTTTAATATGCTTAATTAATTATACACACAAAGAATCAGAGGTCCAAGTGTGAAAAAGTCTGGGAAAGTGTTTAACCTCGCCCACACCAGTCAGTCTTGAAGTCTTTATCTTAGCGCGGCTCCTTCTGCTCATCTCCCGAGAATGCTACAACATCAACAGCCAACGCTGCAAGGAGCGTCCATTTCCAAGGGGGCGGCATGGCAGCTTTGGTATCGAGAAGAGAATGCTACGACTCAAATCCTTTACTTTTCGGTGATAATCAAACAACATGGTCATCCATACATACGGATATATACACATACGAAGATATATGTGATATGTATATAATATATTTATATTGTGTGTGTGTGAATATGTAGACACACGGCCATAAAAAGAAGCACACATGCTGTTGCGGATCACGAAACGTCACAACTATGGTGGTGTAAGGAGCATGTCACATCACATGTAGCCTCATGGCCCCATGGCATGTTGCGCAGCAATCTTTGAGCCAGACCATGGACCTGAAATCGAACGAAATCACAACATTCCAAGTGAGTTGGCGTGGGGTTTGGTGCATCTTCCTCTAATGTGTGGATTTAGATACCAGCCCAGTGCCTATAAATGCATAGGTAATAGATAGCTATATTCTTGATACATCTGTTTGAGATATTTGCATCTGTATCTAGAATTCTACCTCAGTATGTTTATGTTGGTTGATCCCAAGGGATGTAATTATACCGTACTCATCCTCGCTTTCTTATTTGAGTACCCCCAGACGAAAAATTGTTCCGTCCTGGAGAAAGTTACAGAAGTCGTTGCTCTAGCAGGCATGACCAGCAATTCATTCTCCATGATGCAGTACAATTCAGAACCGCTTACGTAAAGTCATTGAAGTAAAAGCCAGCAAAGATGTCAATATAATGTCAAATGGCAAATGGTCAAATGATCTTGGCACCTTAAGGAAACAACACGGAGCAAGTCTTTTGGCTTCTACCACCCCAGCCAGTCCCAACCTTGAGCTTCTGATCGCTGATTTCCGGGTACCTGGTGCAATCACTGGTTCCAAAACCGCACAGTCACCGGCACGCCCAGTGATTTCGTGCTGCCGTAGAACATCTGGTTGAAGCCAGAACATTTTGCTTGGATGCCAGGTTGCATCATTACTTCATGGATTTCCCAGAGTTCGTATCATGGCATCTGATTCCATCTTATTCAACAGCACCGTTTTGCAGGCGCACTCGATGAACTGCCGAAACTGAGTGAAGGTTCTCTTCATCTCAGGCTGCTCAACCTGGTTTTACAGTGCTCAGTGGACCCACAATATTTCAGGGCTGTTCAACTTTTTGGTCTACGTACCACTCAGCAGCCATCATCTTTCAAAGGAACAAAGAGGAAGGCAATGGCTGGGGGAATTCCCTGGCATTCAAGTGAAAACAGATGGAAAGTCTTCTTCCTCGGGAAATTTGCAGATGATGAGTTTCGGATTCCCAGGTTTCCGGCAGTGCCACAAATGCCCGGAGGCAGCTCCAAGGGCCTGCGATGCTGATTCCTACCGTGTGCCAAGACCAAAACTGCTGGCCACTTTCGGCAGTGCCTTACTGGAACAGTCACTGGGTCCATGTGCATGATCCTGCCGGCCCGTGCCACTCAGCGCAGCTAGGAACGGACAGGGCTTTCTATGTGGGTGTTCCCAGGCCAACCGATTCCTGTTGAATGGTGACAGAATAGGCTCCTAGATCTCGCAGCTCATGGGTCTGATTCCATTCCCAAGAAAACGTCTGGGGACAAATCTTCACAGCAGCTGTATGCAGCAGTCCGATGGATAGAATGACTCTTGCAGCAGCTCATGGGCCAGGCCATCCTCTCCCCTTCCACCACCTCAGTCAACAGATGTCAACAGATGTCAATGGATGCCATTTGTGTACTGGCCTGTCCCTCACTGATCATCTTTGAGGCATTCGGCATTCGGATTCCATGCTGCCGTAATGAAAAGCTATCCTAAGAAGTCAACCAGCGTGTTCGGATCTTTCCGGGCCAAGCGCATAGCCTGATATGATGAGCTGAATCTCGATCTTCACAGGCAACTGAGCAAAACCCTTGCTGTCCGATGCTATCTCTTGTCCAACGATTGAACACTGTCAGAAATGTGGATCCAACCTCTTCGTAGTCCCTCCTCAGGAGCAACTCTTCCGCCTGCAGAATATATCTGGGATTATCTGGGTGTGTCTGAAAATGCGGTATACCCCGCAAAATCACAATTGTTGCGGGAAGAATGATGATTAACCAGTGGATTTGGGGGTAACTATTTTCGGATGACAAACCCATACGGTGAGATTGTGTTAGTTCGATTTTTCGGCAAATCTATGTCTTTTTTTTTCTATGGGTATCACGGCTTTAAGCCCAGGAAAACATAAAAGAATATAAAAGCTATATTATACAAATGGTGGTCCTGTTTAGCAGGACACAATATGATCCATTTTGGTGGGATACATGAAGATACCCTATCTTTGACACATACCCTACTCCGTTCTTCTCCAGAAAAATACTTGCATCCCTGGTTTCCATGACTCACATGGCGATGTTCGTGACGTGGCTTTGGTCACTACCCAAAGGCAATAAGCTTTGCTAATCATGGAATGTCATGGGTCTCTTGGGTGCTGACAGACTCACCGGCCTCGCCATCTCCCCAGACCACGAAGAGCCGTGGCTGCGGCGCCTTCACCAGTGATTGAGCCAGGACCGAGTGCATGAAGGAAGATGGCTTTCGAGCACATTCGGATCCATCTCAAATCTGGAGATCCAAGAAGTGAGCGTGTCTTTTCTCTTCACCCTTTGGCAAGATTCTGACATTTCAAGTCTAACGCCTTTGCTGCACAACGAGCAACATCTTTATTAATTTGTCTCACCTCTTCTGGCAACGGCAAGAAGGATGCATCCGGGTGTTTGAAAGGCTTTTGTGGAACAACGCCTCAGCAAAAGCCAGGAAGAGAATCAAGCGAAACGTAATGCTTCCGTGAACCTGAAGTTTACTTTGAAGGTGAAACAAAAAGAAATATGTTCTGCTAGAAGTGCTCCCATTGATCCTAGCTACGGGCATGAAAGCTAAGCCAGACACATCTGGGAGAAGCAAAGTCATCGCCCATGGACACTGACAACTTGAAATCCAGGGATTGGTCGCCTTTGACCTGCAGCTGCGGGCACCAAGGACCAATCTAAAACATGCAACCGATCAAGATAATCAGATAATGTTCCGATGATAATCAGGATAACGGGATAACGCAATCAAGACCAGGTGGCCTAGTAGAGGCTCAGAATTTTCGGGAAACACAGTATCTTTGGAGCATAGTAATGCATCATCAATGACCATGCGCAATAGGGATGGCTCCGCAATGGCAGCCTCGAAGTGGTTGCCATCATCATCGCGAAGGTAAATACGGTCGTAATCCACTTGGGCCAAGTACACACATCCCTTGTCCTGGCACAGCAGGTTCTCACAAGTTAAGAAGTTGCCATGCAGTGTGCTCAATTTTGCTATCCTTGGACAGTGAAAAATGCCACCGGCCCCTTAGGGAGGATAAATGGGAGGATTATCCCGACAACCCAACCATCGGGGGCTGCTGAACATCCCTAGTCTTGGGAGCAACCCTGACTGCATCCTTCCATGAGAGGATTCCGATGGATTTCGGGTGCCTGCAACGTCTTGAGGGCCTTCTCGTTGTCCGAACCAATGGCGGCAATGTCCTTTTTTCCCATGCGGAGCCAGCAGAAGCACAGTAAAATGTTTCCGAGGGAAAAATGTTGAGAAAATCAAGGGAACCCATCAAAAACTGGTGAGAAACTTCCAGGAACCTCACCAATGGGAGGTTTTGAAACATCAAACGATATCAAACGGATCAGCAGAGAGCCAAAAGCTGGAAACTTCATCTGAGGCTGTCACCCTTCCACTGACCACCTCCACTTCACCAGCTCCCTGCCATCGAAATTGCATCCAATTGAGTCCCGCGACTCAAAAAGAAGCTCACAGACCGGGAACAGTCCGGGATGCCTAAATATATCTAAAATTATCTAAATATCCAGCCAAGCAAAATTTGATCAAAATATCATCCAAATATCATCCAAATGTCATGAAAGGTCTTTTGGTGGATCCCCTGCCTTGGAGTGAACCAAGGTCCCCTCCACGTGCCGCAGAATCACCGAGGCATTGGTGGAGTAGCTGTCCTGAAAATATGATAAGAACAATGATATATGATATAAGCATGATATAAACATGATAAAGCACAAAATTTTGCGGTTAGCCCCTTTTCAGACAAACGAATATCCAGAATCTGACGTTCCCGACACCAAAGACATCGTGACTCTAGCAGGCACCACTGGCACTTTAATTGAAATGTCCTCTCGAGGATCTGAGCTTCTACCTTGAAAAGGGCAGCTGCACGTCGCAAGCATAAACTGATAATGATAAAGTCTACGAAAGAGTTCATCATGTACTTTCAAAATAGCGCAAAAAGACTGAGTCTCCATTGTTTCAATTGCAGTTCCTATTCTCTCAACACATGGTTGCAAAGCTTACAAGACTTCCGCCTGTCATCAACAACCGTATCAAATGTAGGTTTGTCTGGAAATGGGGTACCCCCAAACTTCAGTTTGCCATCATTGTCATTTTCCCTATTAAAGTTGCCATTTGGGAGCTACAGCTATACCCCATTGTGTGACAAACCTAGGAGTCTCCACCCTCACATGCCAGTGTTCAATGGATGGTTAGTAGGATTTCCTGCAATGGATTGTGGTCATCCCCAATATAAGGCTAGTAACGGGTAGTTCACGGGTAGTTCCCCGAAATGATGATCAGCCACTGGTCCACTGGTCAATGCTTCGGCCAAGGAGCAGAATTCATGTTGGCTCATGGCGTTTTGCTGTTGGGCAATCTCCAAGGCAGGGGAGATCTTAGCGCCACCAATCGGTGGGAAATCCGCAAGCAATGGTTGCGTGACGTCTGGGGATGTCTGTAGATATCTATAGGTTAGGTGTTTTTAGAAATGCTGAGGTTCCGGAGCCCCCAGGGAATGTCCAAAATTGTTTGAATTATTAAAAATTGTTTCTAAAATTGTTTTAAAATTGTTTTAAATTTCCATAATTGTTCGGAGATTGTTTTAAAATAAAATGAAAAAAATAAATATTGTTTTAAAATTGTTCTAAAATTGTTCTAAAATTGTTTTGATTGGTTTTAAAATTGTTTGAAAATAAAATGAAATTGTTTTAAAATTGTTTTAAAATTGTTTTGATATTGTTTGTTTTTTCGGAAAATTGTTTTTAAGATGTTTTAAACTTGTTCAAAATTTCAAAAAATATTCAGAAAAATGTTTCAATGTTTTCATGATCGTTTGGAATGTGAAGATTTGGTTTTGTTTTGAAAATTGTTCGGCTGTGTTATCTGAAACAAACAATTTTCATTTTTCCGCATCAAAAAATGTGCGTTCTTTCTGTGGTGACGCTGTTTTGTTCATTCGCAAGGCATGCATAAATCTGGTATTGTTGCATGTTTTACTTTCTGTTATCATTCAAAAAGTGCGATCATTTTCTAACAACTGCCCACAATAACAACAGGAACTATTCGCACTTCAACGGATTGTTGGATGTTGTTGTGTCTACAGATCTCAATCATATGAATCATATGACTTTAGTCTTTAGTATTTAGTCAACACGCGGCAATCACACGTCAGTCAACACGCGGCAATCACACGTCAAAAACCCAGCCTTGAAAAAACAAAAAACTTTCAACCATCCACCCAACTTCTTTCCAGTCCCCAACATCACACAGGGCCACCCGCAAGCAAGTTCCCAACTTTTTCTTGTATAGCGGCCGCAAATCTTGGGGTGAGACCTTGGTGCAAAACCCGGCCAGAGGCCTATCTCTGCAAACGGGCCAAGGCGGCCAAAGCTGTCTCAACATCAGCCGCGTCTTCCTCCTGATTCTCATCATTATCATCCTCATCTTCACTGTCATGCGCAGGCAACCAGGGCACAGAGGCCAACGTGGCTTGGAAGATGGCCAGAACCACAGGAAATGCCATCGCATTGCCCGCGATGTCAGTCAGAAAGCTTTGCGAATTGCAAGCGGGTGGCAAACTTCGAGCCTTTGCCAGATATAATAAGATAGGGAAACCTTGGTAGATCAACGCCTCGTAGCCTGTGAGTATGCGCTGTTGGGACTCAACCCACATCAATTGTCCAGGCAACATGGTCGGCGCGACCTCTTTTCCTTTGTTGTCAATCTGGCTAACTGAGTTGATACGGCCCACGCTCTGGCTCACATTGCGGAATTCACACGTTGGATCGGCAACCCTAGACAAAACCAAGGCATCTGCCTCCCGCTTGGACAAAGTTTGGTACCATTTATTGCCTGCCAGCTCCTCATCCACGGCAGACCCCCACCGATAACCCAAATCATCTGCATAGGCCATGTGTCTGTCAAGCCATGTTTGTGGAGGTGCTTTCTTCTCGGCAGCCTTTTGCGCGCTTTTCTGGTGCTCCCCCAAAGCTTTCTCCAAGAGTTCCAAGTGATCTGGTTCTGACGGGCTCAGCAAGCACTCCTTGGAACAAGGCGGCGACCGCATGCAAGAAGTCACCAAAGTCCGCAAAGTTGAAAAGATCTGGCTCAAGGTTTTGGTTTGTGTGTCTACCTTGCTGCTTTCTTTGTCGATGAACATCACATAGAGCCTTCGACGTCGGCAAGGAAGCCCAAATTCCTGGCCATCAGTCATGATCTTTTGGCCCTCATAGCCCAGTTCCTTCATGGCGTTCATGAGCAGTGAAAGGTTTGTTTCAGTGTTGCTGGAAACTTTGTCATCTATTGCGTCCACGTTTTCAAACAAAACCAACGTCGGTCTGTGACCCTGGCAATAACTGAGCATGCCTCGAAAGGTTTGCGCAGAGGCTCCTCTGCTGCTTTCCTGCGACAAAACCAGTTTGCTTTTGTCTACGGAGCTGTTGGCTCTGGACAAGTCCTTGCAGCTCGTTCCTATAAACAAGCAATCAACCGAAGGAACTGGGCACTCCTTTCCATGTAGGCTGCACTTGCTCATTTCACTGCCCATATCCTTGATATCTTCAAAGATGCAGCCAACTTCTGCATGAGTAGCAAAGGTTTCGTGCATGTCAGAGTTGAACACTTGTCCCTTGCACAAGACATCAGCAATCCAGGATCGTTTGGCCTTGTTGCTTTCACATGAGAACGCGTGCTGGAAAGTGACTGGCAAACCTGTCTCTTCCATGGCCTGGGCACATGCTTCCACTACATGGTGGACGCCCTCGCTGCCAGAGCAACAAGACCCCCAGGTCAACTCCAAATCATCCATTGCTCGGGTTTGCTCTCCACCAACAAAGCCTAGGGCCAACGGATGATTTCGCGGCAACACGGCTTTGAAGCCTTGCAGGTTCTCCCTGGCCAGAGTTGGCAGCAGCGTGCCTTCAACAACATTGAATGCCTCAGTAACCCGGCTGGAAGCCGACAGGATCAATGATGCGTCGGCTGAGTTTTCCTTCCGGAGCGCGCGCGCCTTTTTGTGAGGCGGAGACTGGGGTGAGTCGAACGGCTGCTCCATGGCAGGTACGACAGCAGAAAGGCTCAATTCATGCTTAGTTTGGATTCAATTACGTCATGATGTAAAGTTGATACACCATTGCCATTGCCATTGCTACGGTTTTTGCCTACTGTATCAAAGTGGAGATTCTCGGTGAATACATCACAGCGAAAGCAATCAAAACAAAGCCGGCTGCTGGTGGAGCCACATGTTCATGAGTCATGAGTCATTCATGAGCTATTCAACCAAGGGAAATAGAAGCGAATTGGTTTTCCAAACTCATTCAAACTTAGATTAAAATCTAAGAGCTGAGGGCTTATTCCAACTGGTCCCGCGCGGCGCCGCGGCAGCTCAAACTGTTTCAATCGCATCCCTGTTGTTTCAAAAGTCTAAGCTAGGCTATGATCAAAACTCTCAGCATGGATCATCGGCGGCGGTGCTGAAGAGCTCGGGCTGGCGAGTCGAAGACGGAAACCAAGCCAGAGGCCATCATCTACTCACGTCCTCTGCTTGGCCTGTCGCTCGACTTCGGCCTCGGCCGCGGCCCTTCCCACGCCCACGGCCACGTCCTTCATCTGCCTTGCTCGAAGGGCTCATCTTCTGAGCCTGCCGCGCTGCGAAAGGCTTCTTCTTGGGGCTGACCGCCAGCGGTTTTCCCTTCTTGTTTGCCGTCTTTGCCTTTCCTGCTTGGAGGCTCTCTTCCTTGTTCCCTTTCCTTTTGCCACTCTTGTCTCCTTCCTTTTTGTCTTTCTTCTCGCGTTTTGCTTTCTTTTCTTTCTTTTCTTTCTTTTCCTTCTTTTCTTTCTTTTCCTTTTTGTCCTTCTTATCCTTCTTCTCCTTTTTTTCCTGTTTCTCCTTTTTCTCCTTTTTCTCTTCCTTCTCCTTTTTGTCCTTTTCTATGTTGCTTTCTTTTGTCTCCTCCGGCTTCTTCTCCGGGTTCTCAGCGCCTTCTTCTGCAACTGGGATAGAATCCATTGCAGCTGCCTTCTCTGGCGGCGGTGTGCTCTGAGTGTCTGTCGCATTCTTGGACGCTTCCTCCTTGTTGACGTTCTTGCCGGCATCCTGTGCCTCAGCGACTCGCGACTTCTTGGATGCCGAGCTGTGGCTAGTCTCTGTCGCCGCCTTGGCTTTCGCTGCCCTTGGCGAGACTTTTCCGTACTTCTCACACTCCTCGAGCAATCGCTTGCCGGCTGTCTTGAGATCCGCAGAATCTTCTGCCACGAGCTCCAGTTTGCCCCGCAAAGTAACAGCAACGTCTGCGACCTGCTTGGTAGTCTTACTGTCTGCCTTTTTCATGCCGTCACTCCGAAGCAAGCACAACGCAGCCACTGCGGCCACATGGAAGGATGCTTCTTTTGCATGCTTGCCAGCATCAAGCTCGTAAGTTGCCGGAGCAAAAGGATCCTGAAACCTTGCTTGGAAAGCGCATATCTCTTCCACAGCTGGAGGTTTCCCTTGCGGAGCGAACTTGACGCCTTTCAGGTTGGACAGGGCTTGTCGCACATCCCTTAAAGTCTTGATGTCGTCCTCTACCGCAGCCGTGAGCTGAGCAAGGGTACCCACAACTCTCACGCCCTGCTTCCGGTACTCGTCCTCCATGTCCAAGCTCGGCATCTTGATTGCAATCACCTTCTTCACACCGGCGTTCAACTTGGCGGTCGCGTCTTCGAACTTCTGAAGAAAATATCTTGCAAGCTTTTTAGCAACACCCTCCAGCCAAGGAACCGCATCCTTCAAGCAGCTCTTCTCAAAATCCGCCTCATTCGGTTGCAAACCGAAAGCATCACAAAGAAGATTGCCTGTTGAATGCAGGTCCACCACCTCCTTGTGCTTGTCATCGGTGCCTCCTTCATGGCCCACAACCTGCAAACACGCTCTTCTGGGGAAAAAGAGGAGCAGAGGACATGCTGAAAAAAGACTACGCGTTGCAACCAAACATCACACATGACACACACACACATATATATATATAAGTGTAAGTTAAGTGTTATCTGTGTATAAGTTATCAAAAAGTTATTTACTGCACACTGCAGACAATACAGGCTGCTGGTGAATTAGCTTGAAAGCACAGCCTGACCTGAAAACTTGACCCGATGTCCATTTCATTTCTGTGACACAAAAACCCCTCGCGTACCATAACTTGACAGAAAAAGGGAAAACGCCTTGAGAAACGCTGTGACGACAGGCTTGAGGCTATGCGCTTTCGGAATTTTCATCAGCAGCTGCTGCTGCAGGAGATTATCACACGCAGGCAGCGGTCCACCAACGCATTTCTTAACCACGTCAGCGACGGCATCTAATCCTGCTGAAAACAATGAGCGCTGGTGTTCTTCACAAACAGACAAGAATGTGACTCTCATAGAGGTGGTCAAATCAGCGCCAACCCATTCAAGCAACTTTTCTGGAAGCTTTTCCACCCAGCTTTTCAGATCCGTAGCGCTAACATCCACTTGCTGCTTTGCATTTCCCTTGAACTTCGGGCTTTGGAAAAAGACAAACTTGGCCATGGAACACAACTGAACTGACAAGCTTTCGTAATCCTGCAGCACCTTGCTAACTTGGCCAGAGGCCGTCGAAGTAGCCCAAAACGAATGGGCAATGACGGCTGTGTGCTTCAAGCATGGCCAGGTCTCTTCCAAATCGATCAGCTGCGCTTTTTGTCCAGTGCCTTCTTCTGTGACCATGCAGTCACTGTCCAAAGCATTGCAGAGATGACGCCTCAAAGTCACACGTTGAGAAAAAGAACGCCCTTCTACTCATATAATACCGGGGTCTGTGAAAGGTTAAGATTACAACTATGCCAAAGGCTTTTGCATTCTGATAATAGGCTGGAGTATACTGGATACTTAGTGATATGATGTGATTTACAATATTACATTAGTTTTCGGAATACCATGGGACTTTGAATAGTTCGCTGAAGGCGGACTACGACTTCATGTCTGCCTTCGCAGGGAAAGAAAATACCCCACAGACCGTGCATGACCTCTTAGTATATGTCTATATGATGCTATATATCTATGACAAAGAGACTTGAGTCACTTGTGTCCCGGGCAGTTCAAAGCACAAACTCAAAACGTAGAGCTGTTTTCCAGTCCAAGGAGCAACTGCTCAGAAAGGTTTGCTTTCAACTCCTGCAGCAAAAGTTCCCGCGCCCGCTCTGCGAAAGAGGCCTTGTATTCATTCAAAGCTTCCACCAGGCGATCATGCGCTCGATGTCGTTGTTTGCTCTCTGCTGCGTCTGCCTTCTCATGTTTTGCGTTCTTGCCTTTGGTGTCCTTGCCGCTCTTCAGACATGCGATGCTTTTCTGGCAATCACCAATAAGCTTGTCTACTGGTTCCAAATCGGCAGAAATGAGTTGGACACCGGCAACTGAGCCTGCGTAGCACACTGATTGCAATTTGGACACTTCTCCTTGCACGGTCTTGAGATGTTCAGTGGCAACTGCTTCGGTCTCCCCAGCTCCAACCCGGCCAGTGGCCAAATCCACTAAGGATTTACCAACTGTGTGCTCCAGGAAATAAACCATAATAGCTCCTGGCTTTTCATCCTTTGCGTCGCCCTCCCTGAATGACTGAATCTCTTTGAGGGCGTCATTGGTTACTTCAATATCTGCAGAACTAACTATGCCAAAGGCAATCGTGCAAGCTTTGCCAAGGCCAGAAGCCAAAAAGTCAGAGCCATGTTTCTGACCGACGTCCATGACCGCTTTGCACAGATCAGCGCACTCTTGAAGATTGGAGGGCTCCTCAAGACCATTGACAACAGCTTGGACGTCGGTTGGCTTAATGGTCCTCAAAGCCAAAGTGAGGCGGCCTTCCATTTCTGCCATGACGTGGTTCTGCAGACTATCTTGGCCAATGTTCTCGGCAAGGCCCTTCATCAACTCAGAAGACCCCAAGAAGGCGGCGCAATACTTTTCGTACTCCTGGTACAAACAATGCGAGCCCGCCTTTGCAAAAGCGTACTTGAGCTGGAAACCTGCTCCGAGAGCGTTGCAGCCTAAGAGATCAACATGCTCGCTGGCATCCTCAAAGGCTTTGACAACAGCAGTTGGAGCTGAATTCTGCGCACCAGCTATCTGAAACAAGGCCTGGACAGCCACAGCAGCAAACTCCACCTTTTGCAGTTCCTCGAGCTCCCCTAAGAAATTGTCCTTGTTGGAACTCTTGTCCATGCGCTTGCCATAGTCTCGGGCTTGCCGGGCCAAGGCCTTGGCAACATTGGCTCTGTCTATGCACGCTTGCTTAAATTTGGTCTGAGCCTGGGCATCAGGCGCAGGAGGCGCATCGTCGACCCGAATGTCTGCCAGCTGGGACTTCCATTTGGCAACACTCTCCTGCAAATTCTTCAAGGCCCTCTGGGCCCGACCGTCTGCAAGCAGCGTCGCTGCGCTCTCTAAGCTTTGGTCGCTGCCGCTTTGTTGCAAAGCTTTTGTCCCTTTGCTGGGAACTTTGCTGGGAGCAGGCTCTGTCTTGGTGGTCTTCTTGGCGGCTGGCGCACTGGGTGCAGGGACAGGCACGACAGAAGAACTTGGAGCTTTCGACGGCTGCGTGCTTCCTTTAGCCTGAGGCTTCGCCGCAGGCTTGCCATGGGCTTTGGCCTTCGGCGGTCGGGGGGCGAACGAAAGGCTTGGGCGGGCCTCTTCCTCTTCTGACGCGCAGTCGCTGGTGGACTCCTCTTCTGCTTCATGGCTTTGAACCTCGCCGGAGGCGGAAACGGTGGAAACCGCCTCACCAGTGGAACCAGAAGATGGATCATGTCCCATTTGGATGGCTGCAAGCAAACCTTGCATGGACAATTCTTGGCCTTCCACACTGGCCTTGTCTCTCGTAGTGGAGCTTTCCACGAACTCGTCCATCATGGCTTTGCGTTTGCGGCCCAAAGCTTCTTCAGAAAAGGGAGCATCTGCTGAATTGTGCAATTGCTCTTTTTCTTGCAGAGCGGTGTCTTGGTACTCTTCAAAATCGTATTCACCTTTCTTCCCTTTCAAGATCCAGCAGCCCTGAATTTCTTTGCCGAAAATATGTTCGGTCACGACCTTGTTTGGGTCCAAGACTCCGTGCTCTTTTTCATTCCAATTGTCCTTATCCACAAACTTCTTCTTGGGAGCGATAAACCGACCGCCCACGTTGCGCACAACGTTGAGGGTCTTCTTGGCTTCAAGAAGGGACTTCTTGCTCTGCAATCTCTTGCAGTCGGGTCCTCCTTCATTGTGCTGCTTGATCCAATCCTTTCTTGCATTTAGGAACGAAACGTGCTCGGCCTGATTTTTTCTCACGGAGACCCAGTTGAAGTAGTCTTCAACTTTCTTGTACGTGGCCTGCAAACCTTAGCTGCAATGAAGAAAACATTTACGGCTACAGTTTCAGTAACAAATTACTACACTGTACGAAACAAAAGCTGCCTCCATCCATGGAAACCTGTCTGAATGTGAAAAGCTGGAAACAACGCCAGAGGCGAGGTGATAAGCATGCGGCAAAGAAACCGAGGGCTCTGTAGACGTTGAAGCAAATCAAGCAAAGCTTTCCAGAGGGCACACGAACTTGCTCTCCGTCATCCATTTTGACCTTCTCGTAAGATCTCCACGGGATTCTTCCCTGCACTTCTGGAAAAATATCCTCCGAATAATCCAGAGGTGACTGGTCAGTGGACTTGGCATTGCACAGGGTGCAGTGACGAGACTTTCTGGAAGTATAGGACACCCTCAAAGCGCCACCCGACGAACCCACAGACGAAGGCGGAGGTGGAGGAGCGCCGGATTCATCTGAGCTGGAAGACGAAGAAGAAGACACTGACTCCGCGTCAGGAGACATGGCGAGAAAATCCCCAAAGATTATTTCACGTCAATTATTTGGGCCTACAGGGCTACAAGGAGCGCGGTGTGAACAACGCCAGAGGCGAGACAAGCAAAGAAACAATCTTGACGCGCTCACAAAAGCAGTGACATAAATGCAAACATGTTAAGAGAATTAGAACAATATTTGGGATATATTTGTAAACATTTGGAACATAATTTGTAAAAAAAGAGAAATGATTTTATAATATTTTATATATATTTATATATATATTTATAATTATTTTTGAAAATGTTTTGACGGGTTTTTGTGTACGGAAAAGTACATTTTGGGTACGGAAAAGTAGGTTTTGTGTACGGAAAACTACATTTGTGTACGGAAAATAAAAAACAAAACATTCTACGATTGTTTTGACAAAAACATTAAAATATTATCAAAATATATAAATTATTTATTTATTTCTTGCAAATCGCACCAAATCCTGTGGGCTCCGCACTGCCTGCTGCATGGATGGGAGCGATTTGAAATGCTGGGCTGGAGCCCCAAACATGCCCGCGTCTCACGTTGCGGCGTCGTGGAGCAACCGACGCCAGAGGCGGGCAGGAAGGAGGAGGGTCAAGCGACAAGTCAACCTCAGCATCGTCTACATCAGCAACAGAGTCCTCGTCCGACTGCGAAGAGCCTCCGTCATCAAGCGCGTCGTCACGATCTCCATGCGTGTCTGGTCTGTTTGCTCTCTCCATTGCGCCTTTGGCAGCTTTGCCCTTGCCACGTCCTTTGCTCGGTCCCTGCCGCTCTCCACCTGCCCTATGGCTGCTGGATTGGCTTGCAGCCATTTTTTTCTTCTCCATTTTTTTCAAAGCATCTAAAGCCTTTTTGGTCTCTCTGGCGCTTCCAACTTCAAGCATCAGGGCTACGAAATCTACACGCTTAGCAGTTAGCAGCTACAATATGGAAGAGATGAAGGTCTGTGATAGGACCAACAGAGAGAACAAACAACTCCCAATCAGTCGCTTGGCTTGCCAGCTCGACACACATTGGCACGTCCCCGACCAAAGGAAATTGTCCATCTACGCCTGTCTCGCATGCCAAAATTTGAAGAAACTGATGCGGAACTTCAGATGGAGGGAGCGGACGCAGAGCGATGAGCGCTGCATCAATGGGTTTCTTCCGCGTGTTGTAAGCAACAACAACTTGGCGGGACGCCGCAGCTCTCTGAGAACAAAATTCCAGAACAAGCGGCTCCTTTGATGCAACCGTGGGATCCGGGCTTTGGCTGCCAATCACTAGCACCAACATTTCATGCAAAGACCAGAAGCATTCTTGCTGGGGGGCCGTCAGTTCATGAGGGCAAGCTCCAACCTGGCACGAGGCCCACAATGAAAAGGGCACTGCTGGTGCGCCAGCAAAACTATTTGGGCTCTCAGGAAGCAGCGAATCAGTGGAAACGCGGAAATTTCTGGCATAATCTTTCAGAGAATGCAGATGTCCTGCAACGATCGATTTGGCCATTGGGAAGCCAGTGCTTGCACTCATATTCCAAAAGCCGCCAGTAAGGGCAGCAGACTCTTGGGCAGCCCTTGCGTCGCACCTCTGCAAAGTTCTTGCCTGCAAGTTAGCAGCTCTAGCCAGCGCGGCAAAGCGCCTCCTCTCTGCACGAGGCTGCAAGCGCCACTGACGAGCCAAATCATCGGAAGGATTCAAACCATTTTCTCTGGCAAACATGTGCAACCCATTGCGACACCGTCCTTTGCGTACACCATGGGCCCAGTCAGGCCTACATCGGTGACTCTTGCCTTTGCGGATAACACCAAGCTTTCGAGCTTTGGCCCGCCAGTGATCTGTCAGGTGTCGAAAATGATACACAGCATTTTTTGCGGCAAGCGTGGACAGTTGAGGTTTCGGCCCCTTACGGTCACACCATCTGCTTAGTCTAGCAAAAGCCCGCTCAATGCAGGTGGACGTTGGCACCAACCGGTCAAAGACAGAGGCTAAAAACTTCAAAGTTTTGGCAGCCACCAGGCCACGAGGATCCTCCACCACTGTCTTGAGCTTTGCACTGAAGCCATCCAGGCAGCAGTCACGGACCCGAAAGAAATCTTGTGCAGCTTGAAACCTCATGGCCTCTTCCATCAGTGGCAATTCCACGAGCTTCCAGGGGTAACGTTTCCATGGTTCAAGCAACTTCCTGTACAGCTGGCCAACCTCCGTAAGCAAGCAGCGCCTGGTGCTTCGCAACCTCCTCTGCGGCCACGAGAGCAGAGGCCCATACAAACCAACCAAAGGAATCCAGGCGTCAACCTGGACAGAGTCCAACAGCGAAGCGATCTCAGAACTGGCTCGGGCAGCTGGACTGGCTGCTGGGTTGCTAAAAAAAAATGAAAGGTTTGCGTCTGTCTCATCTTCAACGCGCTCTGTGAGCCAAGTTCCCCGCTTGAACAAGGAGTAGTGAACGGTCATGACGCAGAACGTCACAATGCCCCAGAGCATTGTCAAGAAACGGGACTCTTGATCCTGCAAAAAGAAGGCGGCCTTCTGTTGCCTCTTTCTAGCTAGCTTCCTCCATTGTTTTGTCTGGTCTCTGGGAACCCCCAATGCAGCGTCTTCACCCCCAGAGTCGTCGCTGGACTCTTCTGCTTGGCCGCGTGCAAAACACCGACCAAAGGCCTGCGGGACGACGTCGTAGCACTGCTGCATCGCTGCGACCAAGGTCATAGACGGCGCTACGGTCGTCCACTTATTCAACGCCGGGATTGTCAGCGCATGTAGAAAAACTTCTTGAAAAAGGGCCGCCGCTCGATCCACGGACTCCAGTCTGCTAGCGCAGCACCCGGAGCAGATGTGGCAAGGCGGTCCTGACAGGGAAACAAAGAAGCAACCAGCACCATTCTTTGATGAAACTGAAAACTGCAGTTGTTGAACTTTCTACCTTTAAAAAAACACAACTGAAAAAAACCTCTGCATTCTCACTCATGCTTTTTTTTTCACGCTCGCAAGCGGAAGATCTGGCAATTTGCCAGAGGAAGTCGGCTGGACGCGGGACGCTCTGCAAAACCAGGCCACAAGGCTGCACAACACAAGTTTCAGATACACATGCTCTACTGATTTAAAATGTGCAAAACAATGCGACAATTCGCCAATAATACTCATATATGACCTAATATTGATTTGCTTGTGCTGCCCGCAAAACAGGCCTACGGGGCAAAGGCGTCTATGGTCTGAGAAAGCTGTGAGACCGTTCCCCGCATATCCAACCTGGCCAGAGGCCTGCTCACAAATCCCTGTCCCTGCTGTACCAGGGGTTCTTCTCCAACCACTGTGTGTTGGAATCCCGGCTGCGATACCCCGCACGTGGCGGGAGAAGAGGACGTGCGTTCCACTGGTTCTGCAGGTACATGGCCAAATCCACGTTGCACCGCAGTGCCAGATCAACCTGCAAATTTCAAACTGCTGCATCGACACCGTCAAAAAAAGAAACAACACAACCAAAACTAAAACAATATAACCCAATTAATAACCTTAACCCAGAAACGCAGCCAGCACCGCGACCATTTGGCGTGTTCAGCATGGAAGTAACCAGGCCGAAGGCCGCCAAGTCTGCCCTGTTTTTGTTGTACACAGCGTACAGGATCTGCTTGGTGGCGTTGAACATGCCTTTGCTCGTCGCCATGTGCAAGGCAGAAGTCCCATTGGCACCCCTGGCCTCGATGGTCGTCAAACTGGTCTCCTGTAGCAAACGCGCCAGCATGTACCTGAAGGTCTGTGGATCCCGCGCGTGCCCCGCATCGATCAAGATCATCAGGGGAGACCAGTGTGCAGGACGACCAACTGGCGACGTCATCTGGTCACAGAGCTGAGGATTAATCTGCAACATGCGGTCCATGACCTCCCAGCAGCCAAGGCGCGCAGAGAAGTGCAAGAGGCTCATGCCATTCTTGTCCCTGAGCAGCAGGGCCTGGCTGGCAGCCATATCATCAAGCATTGGCAACACCGCCAGAGGCGTAGGACCCATGAGCGCCGCAAAGATCCTTTCCTGATTCTCGCTGAATGAATCCTGCCTCGAGGACTTCGCCAAAAAGGCGTGGCTATGCAAGCGCTGTTCTTCGAGCAAGCGCAAGACCCGCTTCATCACTTCTTCGGATTGCTCACTTTCATCCGGTTTCAGAGGTGAGGGGGCTGGTTCTTCTGGCTCGGGGTCGTCTGGGTCGTAATCTGGCTCAAAGGGCTCCTCAGTGCCTCACAAAAATAGCAAGACATTCCAGTGAATTTTAAAAAAACTCTGCACATTTTCAACTATTATACAACAATTTGGACCTATACGCTTTAGCCTATAAGCCTAAAAGCTTACAACTTACAAGAATGTTCCCATATAGTAACACAAAACAATTGATGACTATAATTGACTATAATTATGATATATTATATTCTTGCTAATTACTCGTTTAAGACCCAGCTATCAGTTGAAAACCCCAAAAAACAAACAATAATGAATAAACTACAACCTAGAAACTGGATGCAGCCACAACCTTGGCCGGGGAAGCCGCACCCTCGTCGACATCCATCTTGTCCATCTTGTTCTCGGCTTTCACCTCATCCTTCTTCGCTTCCGAAGGCGGCTTTGGCATAGCCTTTTGCTGTGGCCTGGAGGTCTCTTTGGGGTGCAGGAGCTTCAGCATCGAGGCATTGAGGGTCTGCAGGTCGTCACACAATGAAGTCAACTTTGCCGCTCGCTTCTCTTTCGTATCCAAATCATCATCAACCACTTCAAACTCGGCAAAGTCGTCCTCTGCCTCAGACTCCTTTCTTTTGCCAGGTGAATGGGACTGCGCGGGTGGATCCTTTGGCTCAGGGACCTGGCCAGAGGCCACAGAAGACGAGGTCAAAGACCCACCTTCTGAACTCAAGGTGGTTCCACCTAGGACATCCTCTGCAACCAACTCAACCTCCTTGGCTGTTTCCTGGCCACTGGCACTGGCCGGATCCGTCAGAAGCTCAAAAGACGAGTAACCAGAATCTCGTCTGATAGCCTTGGCAGGCTTGGCCTTAGGCCTGGTCGAAATGGATTCGAAACCCAGGTCCAGCATTTTCTTGCGGTATGCCACAGGCGTGACAATGTCATTCACTGCAAGGCCGTAGTGTCCATCCAGGATCGTCTCCTGGTGCTTCTTGAGGAACTCGGACGGACGAACCGGATGCCTCCTGTGAGCAGACGGAGGCGCTACAGAATTTAGATCCACGCAGTTTCGAAGAGTGCAGATGTAATTTTCTGCTTGCTCATACGGCCACCCAGTGAGTCGCATGATCAGAACGCACGTCTCTGTCGCGCTGCGATGAGCTCCGTTTCTGCATGAACTTAAGACCCCGTGGCCTTTCTTCAGCAAGTCCACAACCTGGTCAGCGACCTTAAGGAACTTGGACAAGTCGTAGTCCTCATTCGCTAAGGCCGTCCCGTCAATGTAGTCAAGGACCACGTGGTTGAGGCTCTCAGCCGGGATAGGAGTGCGCGAAGCTGGCAACACGACAGAAATGCCGTTTTTCTCGAGCAGACCTACGTCTGTGCTGGCCTGCTCACCTCCAAGCCAAAGCCTGCCATTGCAACCAGGCACGGAGGCCGACATATCGACCATCACATGCATCGGGTGCCTGATTGGTAACTGCTCAATTCAAAAACAAAAAAAGGACAAGGTACACAAAACAAAACATTAACTGGAGACTAACTTAACCATTAGTGTTTAACAACAAACAGATGGCCTGGCATTGTAGGCATCTCGTGCCCATCGATAGGCTTCAACGCCACCATAGGTGTCAGCCACGAGGATGCCCTTGGACTTGTTCAAGGCGGTAGTCAGGCTCAAAGGGTTCTCGCGGAGATCAGAACTCGGCCAGAGGCCAGCCGCAGTCTGACATCGCAAGTCACCTGGGTGGAAAATGGCAGACAGACCATAATTCGCCACGACGTCGGTTTCTGTAGGCCTCCCTACCTTCTCCACCACCTTGACCACCATGAGACACAGAGTCGTGGAAGCTGGCTCGACCGCGAGGGAAATTTGAGCAAGCAAAAAAGGCTGCTCCAAAAGCACATCAACTTTGCAACATTTAAACACGCTGCACACTGCTCTCTGCATACGTCAGGTCAAATATGGTACAGAAAAACATAACATGAATAGAATATTAATACCATATATATATAATTATATTATATTTATATAATCATATGCATCATCTATTCTTTGACGCTTCTACCATCTTCTACCACCTATCAAACCTGGTTTGAAACCGCAGCACTAAAAAAACGCAACAACTGCTCCAGCGTCCGTTAATTCCCCAAAGTCACTGGCCCGAGCCCTCCCCAGCAGTCGGTCCTGTCCAAGGGCTTGCGAAGAAATCCAAAAATCTTTGGCAGGCGCCGCTGGCTTTGTCGTCGTCGCGCCCTTGCAGCACAAGCTTAAAGATAGCTTTGGCACACGCTTGCCCAGCGGCCCACTCTTCAACAACGCCTGGAGGAACCCGGTCAAAGACCTGAAGATTCTCTGCCAGCACGTCTCGAACGTGACCAGCTAGCCTTTTCACAACGCTGCCGGAACGTAATGTCTTGGCCACAGAAAAACTTCCGGTCAACACGCCCAACAGCTTAGTGACTCGCTCGATGACATTCCCCGTTCTGTGTTGGAGACACAAGAGCGGGAGAAGCAACGTCCTTTGGTCCAGGACACTCTGCAGGTGCGAGAGGAGCTTGATGTTCGCTGGAGCCGCGTCGCAGGTAACCAGCACCGCCCTGACCCTGGCTGCCACTGCGGACAAACCCGGCCAGAGGCCCCCCTCGCCTGCGCAGAGTGCGGGCCACATAGTGGTTGCCTGTTTGTTGGGAAGGGCCGCAGGTGCGCGGATAAAATCGAAATCATGCGTCTGGTCATTGACACAGAAAGTCATCTGAGCATGAGAAGCAAGGATCGACCAGGACCCGAGTCCAAAGGACTTCAGATTTATTTCCAGCTCCGTCTCATCAAAGATCATGTTGGTCAGCGCAAAATCAAACATCCCAACATCTTTCAGCGCCTCCTCGAGGAATTTGGACAAGCCATCCCTTTGTCCCCGCATGATCAATTCAGAGGCAAAAAACTTGCAATCGGCGGCATGACTGGCGCTGCCTCCATCCACTTGTTCGGCGACATGTCGTATCACCATATTCTCTTTGGCAAAAGCCGCTCTGAGAACCGCATCTGGGGTCCATTGCTTCCACTTGCCTTTTCCTCTTGGGGCCTGCCTTTTTGCACTTGAAGAATCTGGTATAACAAAATCTTTGGTGCGATTTCGGCCAGTGCTATTGGCGTGGGCAGCTTGCTTTCGGAATGCTGCGGATCGCAAGGTCTGACAGTTTTGCTTCGTTCCGAGCAATCGTAGCAAAGCGCCTTTGCTTCTACGGCGCAGAGGCAAACCCGGCCTGGGGCCAGCCTGGTCGTCAGGAACTGGCTGCACGCCAAAACCGGGCCTGAGGCCAGCTGCCTCTGGAGCTGGCAGGTTGCCCCCATATTGCCTGGCAATCTCAACTAAATGTTGATCATCCATGGCCTTCACTGCTTGTCTGAGCTCTTCTCCTTTTTCTCAAGCTTTTTTTTGCGACGGTTCGCCTTGGGCAAGGATGGGCTGCTTGGGGGAGAGAGCGGGACATGAATCGAATGCTCCCAATCACAACGACAATCTTTTGCAAGTGCCTTTGTTGGTGCCACATCAGGGTCATCGAGCCACGGAGTAAACAAGACGTCCATCAGACAGAGGTAACAGTAGCGAGTCGACATGATGGCGACAGCAATTTAGACACTTGAAAATCTTGAGCCCAAAACTGCATCTAGGAGATCAAGACCAGGTGACAACACCAGCGCGGCAACACGATCATGTCACAACGCACAACCAGGTCCAAGACCGTCAACATGATTTGAAAAAATCCATCAAATACAGCTTCAATGAAACGTGCAAAGCTCATGGTGCAGATGCAATTGCAAAAACCAGCTCTGATAGTAGATCACAACGATGCGAAATGGTGAATGATATAATATAAGAACAACAAAGTGAAACTGTTGAACATGTTTTGATTACAAAAAAACACATCAAACAAATGTACTGTATTGTGATGAAGGACAAGAAACCAATTCTCATACGCTTGTTCTAAAATAGTGTGTATTCAAGAAACAATGTTCACACATTGTTCATAAAGATTGCTTTCAAAGATCTTTGGTAAAAACAATGTTTAAACAATGTTCATAAAATTGTTTCAAAGATCTTTTTGATAAAAATAATGTTTAAACAATTTTCATAAAATTGTTTTCAAAGATTTTTTGACAAAAAACAATGTTTAAACAATTTTCGTAAAATTGTTCTGAACATATTTTGAATAAAAACAATGTTAAAACAATTTTCATAAAATTGTTTAGAAATATCTTTTTGATAAAAAACAATGTTCAAACAATTTTCATAAAATTGTTTAAAAAAAAAAAAAACAATTTTCAAACAATTTTCCAACAATTTCAAACAATTTTCAAAACAATGTAAGAATGTTTTGTCGGTTTTTGAAACTGTTTCTCTCACAGTGGGTCTTGCGAACATTCAATCTATAGGTATGTAGAGATATGTTATGATGTTATGTGACTTGCAAACACTTACAATATATATATATATATAATTATATATATATACAGTGTATATATATACAATGAACTGAATATCAAATGACTGTCCAATCAACAACTGTCCTTAGGGCCCCCACATCCTCCTCGGGCTCGCCGCGCAACTTTGCCAAAAAGGCCTGTGGATCCGCTGCCACCAATTCAGCCTTCAGGTTCAACCTGGCGCCACAACGCCAAATATCAAGCGACACCTTACGGCCTTACGTGTGGACCATGCAGTGGAAACCAGTTGGAACTGTGACTGCTTTCTATCATTTTCTATCTAGCAAAGCTGGTCTACTACCCTCTACGACCAGGAAGGGAGAGAATGGGACCGTTACGTGTAGCCGCTGTGCCAAATAGTTATGTTCAAAGACACACTATCAACTACGAAACGAATCAAGTGCGTTGCCTCCCCTCTCACACAGCAGGATTATGTGCGAACAGAACAACCCACACGCCTACGTGGAACAACCTCCATGGTGGCTCCATCTTCTATCTCTACCTGTCACATTGCTCAAAGCCCAACAATTGATTGCAACCCCAGACCAAGTTGGAGGCTGTCTTTTTAAAAGCGGGATGCAGCCAATGCAACACAACGCCATAACAAAAGTATGTTGACATATGTTGATTCACAGTGTCTCCTACTTTTGACAACCACAGCCGCTCAAGGCTCAAGCTGAGCCCTGCACGATGAGGCACATCAGGTGGCCGTTACTCAGCCCGGTCTTGCTCCATGTTCAACATATCTCCGAGCTAGCCCCATGAATCTGAAAGCTTTTTATGTATGTTCTATATATAGTGTATGCACAAGCCCTGTTTTTTTCCGAACCCAGCCTTCACCATAGAGTGAGGAACGTAGGCCTTGTCCTTCACATGGCAAGTCACTCGAGCAGCTCCCTCCTTCTCCACAACAACCTTCCAAGCAAGTTGAGAAGTCATGGCTATGAAGCCCTGGTAGCCTCGTAGACCTTTTAAAGACGAACGGAGAAGGCTATGTTGGTATATTCAGCGAAGACCCACAGCCCATTTTTAATTCAAAAGCCCAACAACCATCTTGGGATATCTTAGGCAATGCTTGCATTTTGCATCGTTTCGCCTACTTCACGTTAATAGACATAATTGCCGACTCTGACATTTTACGATTTTTACGTCTCGCCGCCTCGCCTCTGTGCCTTCAGCATCTTCAGTTTGAGAGACACGTGTGCCATCAGGTAAGATGCAAACGTTGGACCTTCAGTTTGTCGAAAATGAACACATCGCCAAAACCGCGATTCCATGGAAAGTCCGGCTGAAATTCCAGAGTATGTAAGACAACAATCCTTTATCACAAGCCTGAACTGCTCAGCTAAAAGGGTCTGTCCTGCGACAAACATGAAAAACCAAAGGCTGGAAGCGGCCAGAATTTGCCATTTCTAAGGGTCCTACTCTTCCTCTGGGTATGCCAGGATCAGCATTCCCTGCAGGATCACACTTTGGAGTTCCCATTGCGCAACATCTTTGATACGTACAAGACATCCCACTGCACCAATTACATTGCACTAGTGTCACTGCATGTCACCGCGTACCTCCTCATTGGACGTGCTGGTGATACCAGTGTGAGGATCGCGCTGAACTAGCATAGGCACCTAGCGGTCACTTCAAAGCATATCATAGTAGCAACATACTGGTAACGATGATGTGAATGATATGTTTCAAAGTCAACTGGGACACACTTTATCATACTTTACCTCCATTAAAAGCAAAGCGATTTCATGAGAGCTGACTTCACATCACATGCGACCCTTTGAAAAAGCATTTGGTTCAAGTTATCTATCTGAGGGGTTGACAGGGTCGAGTTCGTACTCAATGTTGCTGCCTTCATCCACCAACACGGCCTGCAAAAGCTCTCCGTTACCACATAGCAATGGGTGCTTGTCGAGTCCAGAAACAACCGCTGATTCGTGATTTAGAATATTTAGATGGTTGCCATATGTTGCCATATGTTGCCATATGTTGCCATGCAAGAACTACATAGAATTACATCATCTGCATGGGCTTCCAGTCCCATATCGTCCCGACCTCAAGAATGTCCTGAAGTGAAGGTGGTGGCTCTGGAGGCTCCGGTTCACTCTCCTGTGACACGTCGGACGTCGGACGTCGGACAGGTGTGTCCCTGCTTCCTGACCCCTTCTTGGACAAAATGAAGCGCTCTGCGCTCTCCAACATGTTTCTTGTCGATAAAGAACTCAATTGCGGGTGATACGACAATTCTGACAGTCCAGATCTTCGTCGTCTTCAGCTTCCGCCTCAGTGCTGTGTTTCGTCCCACAGTGACTCTGAAGGTCCAAATCTGTCCACAAATCCCACAAAGCTGCAAGCCTGAAAGAGATCAAAGCCACCAACATGAAATCACAATCTCTGAGGAGCTGGCTGGCACATCCTTGCTAGGTTCTTTGCTCGAAATATCTTTGGAAGGAATTTTGCTGCCCGGTCGGCTGCCTGTCCCATGGCTTGAAGGGACGTCCTTACTGACCCGATCTGCATCCGCTGATGGCCGTTGGCTGCCAGTCCGAGATCCAGTGGCAGTCCCAGGCTCCGCCTCAAGGGATGGGATAGACATGTCAAGGGGAGCTTCGAAAAAGAAAAGAGGGAGATCTCACTGGGAAGGAAGGACATCCTCAACAAGAAAAATGTCCTTGTATATCGTCTTTGATTCATTTTTGATAAAATAGATGAGAAAATTCCGCACCAGGAGGTTCCGCACCAGGATGACAAGCTGAGTGGCAACTTCCTCCACCTTCAGGGTGCGACCAAAGCGGCGCCCACTGCAGGTGGTCACCCGCCAATGGCCAGGCCTGAGCAGCTTAGCGAACGCATCTCGAAGTTCCCATCGGTTGCCAAGCACTACAGCGGTCACCACAGATCAATTGTACCCCGATGTATCTTGAACTTGCTTTACGTGTTACTTGGATCTTTCCTTGAACTTGTGAAATCTCCAAAGCCGAAACTCTGTTCGACCTCGAAAAAGTTCCAAAATATTGCTGATCCGTGGGTTCTGAGATGTTCTGAGGGTCTTTATTGGAAACACCCAAATGGGCGGGTACCAATCCCATAACATGTCACATCAATCATAAGTTGGTACGCTGAGGTTGGGACATACCAAAGTATTTGTTCTGTTCCGATGGATCCATGTCATCTTCTTCCCCCTGGTTGGCCTCAGGTTGCAATCGAAAAACCATTTGGGGCGAACCAAGATGAACCAAGTAATACTTGAGAAATGGGTGTGTCTGAAAATAGTGTACCCCTAAACCCAATGGTTAATGATCATTATCCCTATTAAATGGCTATGATTGGGAATACCCTATTTTCAGACAAACCCAAATGTTGAAACGACAAATGTTTTTGAACCAACATGGTTTTGAAACAGCTCTAAGAATCAGCTCGAAATGTCTATGATGCAGCACTTGTGGTTGGAGACACTGAGTGCACAGACCTCCCAAGCAGCACAAATTTCTGCCAGCCGTTCGGCACAGGCTCGCGCTGCTACCTACCACCACAGTAGCAGATGTGAATCCTGCAGAAGTTGTCAGAGCAGACTTACAAAATGGATCTAAACGGCTGGCATCCGAATTTGCATCCGAGAGACATCACATCCTTTCTTTTTGGCGAGCTCTTTAAAGTGTTCGCTTCTCTCCTGCAACTCCTGCACAGCTGACATGGCAAATTCCCTAAGATATTCTCTATCCATCTCTATCCCCTAACCTCCCCTGACCAATGCTGAAGCTACGGAACCTACCTCGATGGTTGGATTTCTCCACGCACGAGTCCCAGAAGGATGATGCACCTCAGGATGGCATAGATGGCATAGATGGCATAGATCTTTGATATGATATGATCCAATGCCCAGAAAAAATCGGAAAAAAAACGGGGAAAACGATGGAAGCAGTTTCCCAAATCTTCCCACACTCCCTTGGCCTCAGTTGGTGAGTTTTGTTTGATCACTAGGTGCCCTCGCATCTTTTCTCCCAGAGAGCCTCTCGATGACCAGGACGCCAAAGGGAGTCACCAGCCGCGCCAACTCGATGTCCTGGGGGAAAAACATAGTGACTTTCCTCACCTGATGAGAAACAACCATGAAATCCATGAAGCACCACTTAAATAAATATCAGTAGATATATCGTTAGATATCATTACCGAGATTTAGATATCACACTAGATATCATTAGATATCATTAGATAAGAGATGTCATATCAAATGTCCACAAATTACATGAAGAATTACATCAAATCATGAAGAAACACCTGACCTCATGCCACTGTCATGTTTTGCTACACCAGGAAGTCACCACCCTTCCCACACGGGCGTGCACCTGGGCTTGACCTGCAAGGCCAGCTTGGAAGAGCTTGGAAGTAGGTTCACGTGGTTAAGTATATGATGGATAACTATCCAAAACCAATGAATCACAATATAATATGATCATAATATGAATGAATATGACTATTCCCCCCTTTCCCTTCAGCCAGGCCTGGCAGCATCTCATCTGCTTCACGTCCAGCCGGTGGGAAAAGTCCTGAGGCAACCAACAAGGCCGTGGGATCCCAGCCACCGTAGTGGGGTCGTACCTGATATGGGAAAGCCCCATTCCACGGCGTCATTTTCCCTTTTTAAATTGGGTGCCCGCATTTAATTTCATCGTTTGTCATCATGTTCCCATTTATATTCAATTGAAATGACCAGAAAATGTCAAAACAATGATTATATAATTATACCCGCAAAACCGCTGTCTCGCCGTCGCCAAAATTGTCATTTGTCACGTTCGAATTTTGCTCCTCGTGCAGGCGAAACGCGGTTTTTTCTTTTTTTAAGTGCAAAAAAATGCATTTTGATCTGCGGCCACCAATGAATTTGAGCACGTCCATTTTGCGTGGCAGGCGCAGTGTTTTCTGATCTTAGAAAAAAGTCGTATGGCATTTTCGCTGGCAGGCGCGCGACTTTTTGCGTTTTTGGCACGTTCTGGATGGTTTTTTTTTTTGACCTGTTTGTGGCGCTGCTTCCTTTCTTTGGGGGGGGTGGAGGTGGGGGCATGATAATGTCCTTTCGTTCCCGTCCTCTCTTCGGTTTATGTTAACACGTCAGTGATGTTACGCGCTTGGCTTTCTTGGGTTTATGTTAACACGTCAGTGATGTTACGCTCTTGACTTTCTTCGTTGTTATGTTAACACGTCAGTGATGTGACGCTCTTGACTTTCTTCGTTGTTATGTTAACACGTGAGTGATGTTACGCTCTTGACTTTCTTCGGTTTTATGTTCAAGACGTCAGTGATGTTACGTCGCTTCCTTTCTTTGGGGGGGGTGGGGGTGGGGGGGCATGATAACGTCCTTTCGTTCCCGTCCTCTCTTCGGTTTATGTTAACGTGTCAGTGATGTTACGCTCTTGACTTTCTTCGTTGTTATGTTAACACGTCAGTGATGTGACGCTCTTGATTTTCTTCGTTGTTATGTTAACACGTGAGTGATGTTACGCTCTTGACTTTCTTCGGTTTTATGTTACGACATCAGTGATGTGGCGCTCTTGACTTTCTTCGTTGTTATGTTAACACGTCAGTGATGTGACGCTCTTGACTTGCTTCGTTGTTATGTTCACACGTGAGTGATGTTACGCTCTTGACTTTCTTCCGTTTTATGTTCAAGACGTCAGTGATGTTACGTTGCTTCCTTTCTTTGGGGAGAAACACTTCGAAAAAAAAAAACTGAAAAATATTCAGGTGCTTGCCGCCGCAAGCTTGCATCGGCAGCCAGGACGGAAAGCAATCCTGAACGCAATGACTGTCTATAGAAAAGATTGCTTGGCAGGGATAGTAAAACTATCTCCATCAGACGCCTTCAAGGTAGCAAAGCTACACTGGATGTCGTGAAACACAAGAAAAAAAAGTTGACGTGTGGTCAGATGGCGTTTCGCCACATTTTTCCATTGGAAATTTCCAGAAATCATGACAAAACCCCCAGTTTTAAGCAGTTTCAGCCGACGGCGAGACAGCGGTTTTGCGCGTAATTATATATAGTAGATTATACTAAAATTATTTATACATATTTATACTTTAATATAATCGTGCAAAAAAACAGCCAGTTTCTCCAGTGACTGAGGCATGGTCTTTGTGGAGGCCAGCTTTGGCGGATCGAAGCATCACTGAAGGCTTGAACCACAGCACCAGAAGGAGGTGTGTAGGTCACCTGCGACACGCTTTGAATCGATGGATTTATATGGATGGGAAAATGTGCAGGAAAGATCAGGAAAGCATAGGAAGGCAAGATTTTAGGCCATATTATTATTATATATATATTATATTATATTATATATATATCTGTAATTCTAGGATTTTATTATAGTAGATTATATTATATTTGATTATCTTATATGATAGTATAGTATATTATGTAATATTATAATATATAATATTATTTATAATATTATATATCATATATTATGTCATATTATATATCATATTATATATCATATTATATCATAATATATCATATCATATCATATCATATCATATTATATTATGTCATATTGTATTATAATATTATATTATATTATATTAATTATATCATATTCTCTATATATATATATATATGTGCATGGTTTTTCGTTGGATGTTCCCTTGAAGCAATTCTAGGAAGATTGTAAGATGTTGCAAGATTTGATGGGTCAGGCAATTGGCTGTGCTTCAGCAAGTGCCGGAGATTCAGGCAAAAATGATTACAGTAATGTCGAGACATCCAAAATTCTGATGCAGTTTGCTGCACCACAAGAGTTTTAATGTAGATGGCATAGATTGTGGCTGAAACAGTTTTTGGGGTCAGCCAACACTAGCATATGGATGTTTCCTGAAATTGGGGTACATCAAGTGGTTTCCCCATGCTGATCAACAACAATCCCCATTCATCACCCTTTTTTTGTGTGAAGTCCCCATTTCTGACCAGCCAGGCTCTGGACCTGCACCCCTGGCCGTGAAGAAGACACATCCCAGGAGGTATCCTGAGCTGCACGGCGGTATGAAAAGCCTGGCTACATCCAAGCACGGCATCCACTGCATCCAAGCAACGCCTGGCGTGTACCTGGCTCGATGTGATTGGTGAACGCAAAGATTACAGGAAACACGTAAACACTCCTGTTATTACCCATGATTGCGGTTCTAAACCTCCAAACCGTGATCTGCTTCTTTACTGTAAATCCCTTGAAGATCACAATCTCATGGAGCCAGTTCCCCCAAGTTGCTCACCACAATCTCTCGTGGTGCATTCGCACTGTGCATCTGGTTCCATCCTGTCAGGCCACCCCGTGGCATCAAAAAGCTCCAGAGATGCAACTTGGGTTTATCTGAAAATGGGCTATACCGGCTATACCCCAAGTTTCATTCTAATAGGGAAACTGATAAAGCATGTTGGGGCACCCTATTTTCAGTCAAGCCCACTTATTGGTGGCCCAACAGTTGGAGTAATGTCATACAATGTCGTAAAGGATCAAAGGAAGCCAAATTAAAACTGTCTTCTCAAGTGCAAGCGGCACATTGGGTGGTAGGCCAACTGAATGATCGGATGCAATGGTTTGAGACTTAAGAAATCCCCCCCTTCAACACTCAAGGGCCTTGAAGACAAGCCACAAGCATCCGAATCTGGATTCTTGCAAATACCTGCGCCCACTAAACATGGCCAATCTTAGATACCAAAACAACAAAAGAGCTGGTTAGCACATCTTAGTACAGCCTCTTCGTAGCAAGATTCAAGCTTCAAACTACTCAGGGTCTACCCAGCAAAGCAGTGCCGGCTACCCGCCTCTCTGTGACGTTGACGGCTTGTTCTCCTTCGTCTTCCTCATGAGGTGCCTTGCTGAGCTGGTTCAGAAGGTTCCCATCATGAGTTATAATAATCTCCAATAAACCAGGAAGGTCAATAACCCTGTACCAAGTCTGCCAATTGGTATGTTGCGTACTTCTCAGTTCTTTCGAGCCACTAAGCTTCATATCTATCTTGCCCTTCAAATGAGTACGGTTTTTTTGATCCTTGGCTTTCGATGACCAGCAACATATACCTATGCAACTGTCTACCCCGATCCTACGCCATTGCACGAGGTCGCCTGCGCTGGTTCTGGTTTTTAAGGGGTGCCTACGCGAGCATACGCAGTGTAGACTTTGCCTACTCGGCCATGGTTTCTTTTTGTTGTCGATTGTGGCATGAGGCTTTGGAACCACAAATCGCGAATATCAAAACTAACCAAGGCAAAATGAATGAGTTCTAACTGTTGCCAACGAGTCTACACAACTGCTATGCTGTGTAGGCTAAAACGAGCCTATGCCAATGCCTATGCCAATGCCTATGCCAATGCCTATGCCAATGCCTATGCCAATGCCTATGCCAATGCCTATGCCAATGCCTATGCCAATGCCTATGCCAATGCCTATGCCAATGCCTATGCCAATGCCTACGCAACCTACATCGTCTGCATGGGAGCCTACGCCTGGGTGATGAATGTGTCTTGTCAACTTTTGGAGTTCCCACTTTATCTATTTTTCTGCATCCAGAAAAAAATCGCTACTCAAATGACGTATGCTGAACAACGTCCCTGCCCCTCCTCTTCAGCAGGCTCTTCCGCCTCCGCCTGCTCGAAAAAGTCAGACGCTATCACAAACAAAAAACTGGAAGAGAGGGACAGACATGAAACAACTGGTCAATAGTCACTGTTGATAGTCTTTGAATGTCTTTGATCATCCATGCTAGTCTTCTGAGACCGTCTGCATCAAACAGGCGCACCTCTCCATCACCATCCGCAATGCCCTCAGCGAGTCAGTTCTGATGTCAAATGTCAAATGTAGATATTTGTAGCGATTTCATCAAAATCTCTTACTTGGGCTGGGGCATCGATTTGGGAACTTGGGAAACTGCAGACACTCTTTCAGTTGGGACGTTCTTGTGGTTTAGATTTTGATGGATGGTTGTGCCATCCCTGGTTCCTACCCTAGGTAGTTCTCATGTCACCTTCAACTCCATTCCCGGCCTGGGCGGCACGGAGGGCTTCTGCTCGTTTGGCATCCTCGTCCTCCTGACATAAAGAAACCTGATATCTCTTGACATCTCTTGGCATCTCTTGACCCGCCGCAGTTCAACTGCGAAATGTTCGCTCCCAAATTGCCGGATCCGTCCTCTGGTGGAGTCGGCTCCTCAACCGACACTCCTTGCCATGGGTCAAAACTGTTGGATCCCATGAAGCTATATGAAGCCTCATTATCAATCGATTCAATCCCCAAGGGGCAACAACATACAGGATGTTGGAAGACATGCTCAGTACGATTTGGGTGAGATAGCAGAAACATGTCTTGAAAAACATTGACTTGATAGATTTGTTTAAAACAAAAACTATACATAATGCATGAAGTCAGATAAATCAGGTTGGAAATTGACATATCAAGGGCTACGACATTCATACTTTTATACTGTCTCCACACCAAAGCTGCCAGCCGAGCAGCTTCCACGCATTGCCTCCACTGTATCTAGCCATGCCTTGGGCATCATCAGTGGAGACCAACCAAAAATAATCAAAGTAGAATCCCAGAACCACTGAGAAATGGGGCAACTGAGGTTTGTGCTGCATCTGAGACCATCCCAAAGGTCAAGTTGTCCTGTGGTTTGAGGGGAATGAAAAGGAAGTTTGACACTCCTTCCCAAAATCTTTACACTTCTTGCTAGGTTGATCTGTAGGGACTGTTCATCACCGTTTGACATGGAGTTTCGTCACCCTGGCTGTCCATGCCAATAGATTCAACAGAACCCTTTGATTTCAGCACCGGAGTCAGCACTGGCACCTTGATCACTCGCACCGAGTGGAGTTCCTTGCGCGGAAGAGGAACGAAGGGGTCGAAGTCATCCGCCTGGTCTTCGTCAAAAATCTGCAACTTCCCAGTGGGGCATACATATTTCCTACCCAGACCATCCCCAAAACTAACATTTTGACCCTGAAAATCACAGATGTTTAGAGGAAAGTAATCTTCCAACCCCCTACCTGGCAGAGTCTATGTTAGTTGGAGGGATGATGATTCAGAACTGTTAATTGGGTGTGTTCAACTGGTTACAACTGCTATGACCCCAGGGTAACTGGTTATCACTGGGAATTGCTGTAGGACCCATTGGGTAGCCATCACCAACAACGGCTCTTTTCTTCACGGCCTCCTCTTCAGCCGAATCATCACCATCGCCATCTTCATCATCAGCCACCTGAGACTGAAACATAGATTGGAAGGGTTGGACCTAGGTTGGAGCTAGCTGGAAATAATGGGATGTGTGTATATCTATAATATATATATATATACACATACATACATTACATTACATTAATTTACGTTGCGTTACGTTACGTTGAGTTGCGTTGCGTTGCATTGCATTACATTACATTGCATTGCATTGCATTACATTACATTACATAAATACAATTACATTGCATTGCATTGCATTACATTACATCACATTTCATTACATTACCATACATACTTACATTACATTACATTACATTACATTACATTGCATTGCATTGCATTGCATTGCATTGCATTACATTACATTACATTACATACATACAATTACATTACATTACGTTACGTTACGTTACGTTACGTTACGTTACGTTACGTTACATTACCATACATACTTACATTACATTACATTACATTACATTACATTACATTACATTACATTACATACATACATAGATATATACTAGTAGATACATACATTACATGACATGACATGACATGACATGACATAACATGACATGACATTACATTACCATACAATACATACTTGCATTGCATTGCATTGCATTACATTACATTACATTACATCGCATTACATCACATTACATTACATTACATTGCATTACATTACATTACATTACACTACACTACATACATTACATTACATTACATTACATTACATTACATCACATCACATCACATCACATCACATCACATTACCATACATACTTACATTACATTACATTACATTGCATTGCATTGCATTACATTACATTACACTACATTACATTACATTACATTACATTGCGTTATATTACATTACATTACCATACATACTTACATTACATTACATTACATTACATTGCATTGCATTGCATTGCATTACATTACTTTACATTACGTTACATTACATTACATTACATTATATATGATGCCATATCTGATTCTATGGGGAATATACATATCATGATACATCAGAGCATTGGATACGAATCCAGGGCGATGTTGGAGGGCGACTGTGCTGCAACTGAGCTGGACACTGGCTTCAACACCTTGCAAAAAACTTCAGGTGGGGTGGGTCAAAGTCATGGTACCCGAGTGAACATCCGATGAACTGAATGATCTATCTATCTGGATCTATTTGGAGTTGTTTACCTCTGCAGCTTTGCGTTTTAAGCCATGGTTTCCCTCTCTCATCAATTTTGGCACCTGCCCATCTCTGGATAATTCAGGCACGCAATTCTGAACACCACGCTGATAAGCCTTCAGTCCCAAGGATGAATCAACTTGTCCCGATCTCGACATGGAAGTCCAGTTTCTGTGAGTTCAAACGGAATGAATTCTCCGGAACAAACCGAGCTCCCAGCAGTGCGCAAAATGATTGATCTATCGGATGGGACCAAGATCTTTTCAATCGCCTTGCAGTAACCGACCTCGTGCAGGAATGAATGCCCAATCTCTGCAAAGAATATGTCAATATGTCCAATTGGGCAATCCCCAGCCTCACGTGCATCAAGATCCAGGACCTGCCGCCAGCTTTCTACAGAGCTTGACATCTAGCGTACAGTGAAATGGGTCTGTCTCACGAGGGTCAAGACATCTCCAACAATGTCTGCTTGATAAGGCTGATAGGGAAGCTTTGGAGACGTGACATGTGCAAACAAACTACAAACCTCCAAGTGACGATCGCTTTCAATGCTCTGGTTAGACACCATGGCCTGCTTTGGGCACTTTGGAGCTTTCAGCGGATCGTGAGCATGGGAACCTGCGAAGACCACTTGGTGACATGGGGTCTGCACACAGCAAAATGCCCCTTCAGTGATGAAACTGCCCAGCCTTTCGATTCCTTCCTCTTTTTGGCCTGGCACTGGTGATTAGTGATGCAATGCCACACAGCTTCCAAAACTTCTGACGGAGCGTGATTGAAAGAGTAGTTTCGACTAAAAATGACTATTTTCAGGGTCCATGTTCATTTCGGGGATAGTATCTAAGCCATTCTAAGCCATTCTCACGTATGCAGAAGTCAGCTGGTGACTGAGGCCTTTTTGCTCGAGGGAAGTGTCGTGAAGCCCTCTTCGGTTTCCTAATCACAGAACACGCAGGACAAACACCTGGAGTTAGGCAATTCTCCATGTGATGGCCACATAATTTGGCCACATAATTTGGCCACCAACTAAATATCATTGAGCATCATTGAGCCATCTTGAGGCTACTTGCCACACCTGAAATTAGGAAATGAGCTCTGCACTGCATAGACTGGAGGCGCTGGACTCGGTTGGCCTCCAAAACATTGATTCGTTTCCAGTAGCTGGGGGGGAAAGGATCATGGTCAATGATCAAGGCTTCTGGATCTCCAAAATCAAAGGGTTAAAGACTTAGAATTATCAGAATTATCACGGTTTCCCTTTCTTAAATTTGGCCCCGAGCCGGCCCCATACAACTCGTTCGGGATATGATCTTTATGATCTTCCTTCGTCCCTGTCTGTTTGACCCGCTCTTAAAGAAGTGCTCATTGATGCATACTAACTTGGGTAGACGTGCAGTTTTAGATATGTGTGATTTCGTCTGCTAAAACGTCGTGATGCCACTTCTTCTTGCTCTCAATTTCGGCTGCTCGCCTGAGACCAGCTGCCACCAATCGTTGAAGGTTGGTATCGGACAAAGTTTCAGCTCCTAAATGTCAGACCACGAAGCGCACAAGGATTCCACTCCAACTATAAAATGTATGATAATGTATGAAACTACTACACTCTTCAGGATACTACTACAAGCAGTAGTTGGAGTTGGAAAGTCAGTTTGTCTAACTGTTTGAAGCTTTGCCGACCTGACCTGACACTGCGCTGACCCAAAAAAAAGATGAGGATAGATTTGGCACTTCTGCATATGTTTGTTTTGGTTTTGGGAGCCTGCCTGCGTTTCCGAACCAGCCAGCGTCAGCAAGTCCCCTTCCCAGGAATGCCAAAGCACACGGCCTGAACAACGGGATCAAAGCACAGCAGAATTCAAGGCCTGGAAATACAGAATGGTAAGCTTCGGTTTTGCCATAGGAAAATCCGGTCTCAAAACTATCAAATGCAACCGCCACATCTATTGAATATGATATTATTGTTGAATATTGTTGATTGTGTATGCAAATACATACATAATTATGTATATTTACAGAATACAAATGACACCTTGGAGGGAATTGCCGTCTGCTTGTGACGCCAGGTATGGGATTTCCGCGAAAATCGCGCGTCTCCTTAAGAATAGATCATGTGGTGGCTCCTTCCAGGTGTTATCAGGATCTACTGGAGACAGACTACCCAGTACAAGCAGTCCAAGTTCTTTACTGGCGAACGAATGAACAGAAGTGGTTCACTCTGATACGGCAAACGGTGGCTGTGGGGCATTTTGGTGTACTGGAGAAACTATAGATCATTACAGATCCCTCACCCTGCATCCAGTGCCTGGTGATCACACGCGAATCAAATATAATATATGCTTCCCATAGGTCTTGTCTGGTTTAGTTGATCTTCAAGACATTCACTTCCGAGGAACAAACAGAAGCCTAGTCGGCACTTGTCCTGGGTTAAGGCTCCCTTTCCACTCGCCACTATCCAACATCATCCAACATCTAACATCCGCTGAACCTGGCAACGCTCGATGATGCATGGCAACCAACAGGCAGTCTTGGCCTCATACCGCGAACAGCAGCTTCACTCCGTAACATGATGATCTTAATGTACTTGTTTATCTAAACGAACGGAATGGACCATAACATTAATTACATAGTTGGCATAGTTGGCATAGCTGTGTCTGGGGCAAACGCAAGGTGGGTCATATCATGAACCATCCGGACAATGAGTCCCGTCCAAAGTTTCGCCATGGCACGCTCCATGTATTTCATGTCCACAAAGTAATCCCGGCAGCTCGCGTCCAGCAGGGTCTGACACAGCAAAGATGCCGGGATCTTCTCCTGGAAGATCCAATCCTGGAGAGGATAACCCTGGACCCAGAGGTTTCACAGGCAACCAAAATCCCAAGCGCAACCAGGCACAATCACTCGACCCTCGCCTGAAAATTGCACCACAAAAATCATCAGGCAAATCTTAAACACTCGCTGATTCACAACAACCATCTTGGGGTTTAGAATTCCATGCCAATGACCCGAAGATTTCCGACATGTTTATAGATTGTTGTGACCCAATGGCCGTGACAACGGCCCTGAAGAAGCCACCTTGAGGTTCCATTGGCGCTCAGGCTGTGCTTGGTGCAGAAGCTCTTGGAATTCGCGCATGAGGAGCAAACGCTCCAACTCCACCACTGGCATACCTTAGGCAGCTAGTCACATGGGTACGGGATGGCGATTAACACCAAAATGGGGCTGGTGGCTGTTCCCCGCAGGATTAAAGTGGATTATATAAAGGCTTGGACCCCCCAATATCATATTTGGGAGTGGAGGAGTGGAGGGCCTATTTTAGCCCAAAAGCGAGGAATGTCTTTATTGCAGTCCTCCTTGGTAGGCATTGTGCGCTGATGAATTTGCACGAGAGTAGAACTCTGACGTGGTATCCTCTGGGTATTGAGCCAAGAACATCTTGTTGACAGACCACAGCATGTCTCACTCAATCAACACTTTTGACAGACTGAGTCTCAACAACAGAATAATGCAGTGGGACCATCTGCATTCACCCGAATCAGGCCCAACAGGAAAAAGCCTTCTGCCGAAAGGAATGAAACAATGGTTCATCCTTTTTCCATGGTTGTCTTGATCGTCGAATAAATATAAATTACAGGAAAGAAAGTCCCAATTTTGGAAGTCTCTATCGCCAGGTCCATTTCACACAAGGCCCCAGCTTGGCATGTACTTGTAGATCCGATTTCCTTAGCAATGCGTGCGCCCAAAGAGGCTATGTCTTGTGAAACTGCAGTCTGAAGGAATACTCTGGGACTGTGCAACTAATGTACGTCTTGCAACAATGGAATTCTGGAAGAAAATCCCCCCAGGCTTGTCAGAGGACGAATTTTGAGGTGTGAGCTTGCATCGTGACACCATGTTCTAAAGTGACACATGTATGACGATGGCATAAAACCAGTCAAGCTTCTATGTGCAGATCTTTCTGCTGCAGTCATCGAAATCTTTCTGGGAAAGTTCTGTCGATCAATGCCTGGACATCGTGGCCGCATTCCAACATCCAAGGTCCTTCAGGTTTTCTCAACATCGGTTCCATGTCAACTTCATCATGAAAAAGTCCAGCAATTTCCACTATCTTCCTGTCTTTGACTTCTTCTTGAATCCAGTGGTGGAGATTAATAATCCACCAGAATCCAGATGATTGATTAATATTAATATATTACTATAATATTATATATATATTATATTATATACAATTAAATAGTGAACCAATATCTCCACCATTTCTTGGCCATCTTAGAAGCCACCAGAATCTGTCTCCGCAGTGCCTGGAGCATTCAAATGCGACAGGATTTCTTCGATCTCCAGCGCCACAGATTTGCCACCAGGAAGATGATGTCCCACATGCCTGGAATGATAGGGAACCCATCCACTCTTTGGGGAAATGATCGGTGGATGGTGAATGTTCCAGATGTTTCATATCCAGCTTAATTCACTGTCGGGTAGATGTTTTAGTTTGGGTCAAATCTTTCAAGTCCCTGCAAATACAGCTGGGCACTGAACGAAAAAACAACTCACGTGCTGGTTACAGCAGAACTCTCTTTGATTTGGCAATGTCTGTCAACTGCACCTGCAGCTCATTCGGTCGTGGTGAGGGATGACAATCTCCTTCATTCCAGTGTTTGACACCCAAGTCGCTCTCTCAGGTATGGTTTTGTGGTTTTGTATGACTTTTCTTCAAGACCAAGCATTTGTCATTGCTATATACCAGGCTCTAACAAAATTGGAGGTGCCAAGAATTACACCCAAGCTTCGAAAGCGAGCAAACTGATTTGCTTTGACTCTTCTTTCAAACAATAGTCATTCCCAATGGTTATTCAGTAGCTTTAAAAAAAAAACTTAGTTACTAAACAAATAGGTTTATATCATGTATATTATATATATATCATTTATGTATATATAATGTATATCTGGTGTTTTAACTTCAACAAACACGGCCGCCGATCTCCTCCAGGTCTTCTGGGGGGCTGGAGCCCAAGCCTGGCTCTGGAGCCATGCCCGGGACGTGCTGCGCCTCCTGAACGACCAAAAATATGGAATCTGTTAAAGTTCTATAAATACATATCTAATTTATATAATATACAGTTAAACATATATATATATACAGTATATATATACGTATATATATATACAAGGTTTCGGCTTAAGGTGGTTTTGGATTGCTTTAACGATCCCACTGGTAGCCATACCTTAGGGGGTTCTTCGCCACATACCCCCGGGCTTGCGCTTTTCTGCTGGCCTTTCTGCGCTGGAGCTTCTGGCACCTTCACTGCATCACTTGAGCTCTGTCGGTTTTGGGCTAGCCGACACCTCCTTTGCTGTTTGTGATTGTCTTGACCTTCCTCCTGGCGCTATTTCACGGCCTTTGACCCTTTTCCGGTGTATGATTTCGGCCTTTAAGGTCTTCATTCTCACCATTTTGATCGGGGAAAAGGTGAATCAGGCGGTTGAATCTTTGGCGGATTTCATCTTGGACAAGGACGACTACTCCCACTTTGCGGAGGGCGGAGCGACGGCAGAGGGCGAAGGCAAGGCTGAAGTGGTTTCTTCATCGCACTGGAGTGCTACGTCTGACTGTCTCGCAGCTCCTGCATTTGCACCATATTCTGCGGAAGCACCATTCGAAGGATCAACATTTTCTTCGAAGACTCCTTGCAGCAGCTCAAGAAGCCATGGCGCAAAAGCAGCCTTCCTGGCGCTGTGGGCGCTGCCATGTCATCATGAAGGGCTCTTTCCCGAGATGTTGGAAATGTGGCCAAGAATGGCAGGCATGCATGGATCAATCTTTTGTGCCCCCGGACCATTCTGGACAGGGACATCAGAATGCATACCATCCTCAAGCCGGGCAACCACCACCTTGGAATGGAGCCACATGGCAGGATTCAGGCAGCCGAAGTCCACGTACCAGATCCAGGCGGAACACTGGTCGGTCCAAGAAACAAGGCAAACAGAACCAGAACGATGCATGGCAGGCGGACACCCATTACTTTCCCAAGGGCTATGGCAAGGGCTACGAGCATACTACCCATGCGCAAGGGCCAATGATGCCGATGCCACCCATGATGCCTATGCCTCAGATGATGATGCAGTATCCACAACAACAGGTCATGGCAGCTCCATATCCTGCTCCACCTCCGGACAAGGGAAGTGGCAAGGGCGCAATGGCGCCTTCGACCATGACCATGCCTTCTCCACCACCGACAGCAATTACAGGGCCACCTGGGCAATGGGCGCCAACTATGCAGATGATGCCTGTGCCAGCTGTCCCAGCTGTTCCTACAGAGGAAGCTGCAGAGGAGATCAAGAAGGAGAACAAAGCACAAGCCAATCTGAATCGCCTTCTGAAGCAAATGAAGAAGGACGAGGAGCCTCTTACCTCCGACCTGCAGAAAATGGCGCGTACTATGCAAAAACAAGACGAAAGAGACAACACCAAGGAGCTTGGAGTTGCTGTGAAAGTTTTGGGACAAGCGAAGGAAGATCTGATCGAAGCAGAGGGTGCCAAGGCTCAACTTCTTTCGCAGTGGAAAACTTTCCTTCAACAGAGTGTAGTCAAGTGGAGGGAATTCTCTGCTCAATTTCAAGCCTCAGAGTCGGCACATCAAGCCAGCATCCAGGCCGCAAAGTTGAATGTGAGAAAAGCGCAAAGGCGCTTCGATCTCGCTTCCAAACGAGAGCAGGCCCAAGCTGGAGGCACCATTCCGATCTCCGACGAAGAAGAGGAGAGCGAGGAGATGGTGGATGCGACCACAGATCAGCAAGATCCTGGCGCACAACGCATCCACGAGGGCATGAACACGATTGTGAGCAGCCTCATGGAGCTCTCAGCGTCCGCGGACTTGCTCGAACAGAGGGTCAAGCGGCCGCGCATGGAAAAAGAAGATCATTCAGGCGATGGCGGAACAAGTGGAGCTGGTGGTCCTGGGGCCTCTTTTCATTAGGCCGGTACGACATGACTGCATTGTATGCGTACCAGTGGCCGGTGCCTTTGATGGATCCAGTGGCCCAACTTGACCCTTTGGCGGCAAGACTTCACTGGTCCCACTCCATCATCTCTGAAAGGGACTTCCTCTCCGAATGGCGGGCGATTGAGCTAGCGTCTGATGTAGCCACTGATTTGGGTTTTTCAGCTGCGCTACGCACGGACGCCTTCGCTCTACCCCTGCGGAAAAAGATGGTTCTCAACAAGGTTTCGTTTGATCCCACGGTGCAAGTTTTCCTTGGTCTGGACTCTGACATCGAATTCCCTGCGGTCAGAGTACATCATGAGACGCTTGCTTCATGGCCTGACAAACCTTGGCATCTTCATGCTTTTTGTGAAGAAGATGACTCGACCTCTCTCATGGCCAGACGTCCTGGGCCTCCTCGAGGGAGCATCGCAGCATCAACCACATCCTCCTCTATGACATCAAGTTCCTCTTTGAGTTTGCCTTCCTCTTCCTCTAGAGTTGTATGGCGACGCACAGTTTTGATTCTTCTGGACGGGCGAATGTTCCCAGCACGCCTTTCCCCTGAAGCTGAGGACACCATTGAACATCAAATTGCGCAAGCCATGGGGATCTCACCGGACGAAGTTCTGGCGTCCCACAATGTGCTAGCTCGCCCAGAGGACCTAGTGTCCCAAAATCTTCTATGTATTTTGCCTCAACTCCAGGATGAACGACGGCCTTCACCATTTCTTCGCCTTGTTCTCGTGGATTTGGAAATTTATGAACCCAATGAGATCTTGCCAGGAGCCTTTCGAAGATTTTCCAAATGGCTTCCGAGAACCATCAACAGACGCTCTGTTTTTCGCATGCTGGATTTGGAATCACTTCTGGACATCCACGGGGAGCACTGCCGACTTTGGTTCAACAACAATCTCATCGGGGACGACTTCATTGAACCTCTACATCTTGAAGATGGAAATTATCTACGCATCCTCATTGGGGATCAGGTCTCAGATTTTCAATGCAACGACAGCTCTGCGGAGTCCACTGATCACATGATTGGATTGCAACTTCCTTCGGATGTAGCCACTAGAGATTTTGAGCTGGCCATGCCCACTGATGCGGACCTGTACCTCTCCATGAAGATCTGTCCTGCCAACGAGTCTGCGATGCGTGCACTCCCATTTTCCATGAGTGTTGATGATGAAGCTGATATACCTCCTGGTGATGCACAAGGAAATGCTGGTCCCCAACAAGGGGCGTTTGACAGACCACCGGGCATCGATAGACCAGAATGGATCCATGAAACCTGGGATCTGTTAGTTGAGCAAGGAGCTGTGGAATTTGCTGAGGAAGGTCCCATCATGTATCTCCGCTCACACTACATCTCACATAGGCACCATCGTACCAACAGGGCGTCAAGGCCTCTGAGATTTGACACAGATTTTGAGACCTGGGAGGCGGATATCCGTTTCATGTGGGAAGACTTCATGGATGACACAGCCTTCGATTTGTTCTTTGTCGCTCCAGAACCGGTCTCGAGACCTACATCTGGTACTATTGCGACAGTTTTGGTTGTTCAACATCCACTACCTGGAAGGGCAGCTTGTTTGGTTTCTCATCCTCGGATTGGCGCTCATTCCTCCCACAATGAAATTGCCCTCTCTTTGGCCACCCCTTGCACCTCTGAGACATTGCTGCATTCATCAGGGCTATCTGCTCTTTGTTCACTGAGAGGGAATCGACATGCAATGAGGTGCGAAATTTTGGTTGGCAGCATTCTTCAAGCACAAGATCAACCTTTGCGACTACATGACGGTCTTGGTCTCCGAGTTCAACTTCGCAGCCGCTCAGAGACTGAATTGACCAACTTCGTCTCACGGCTTCGAGCAGAGGAGGACACGGATGACATCCAACTCTGGACACATCACTGGCATGTTCAGGTTCCTGCTACCAGTCCGAATCCTTTGCACTTGCAAGTTCATGAACTTGAGAGATGTTTGGTCACATCAGGGCGTCTTCTGGACGAGGATGGAACTACGCCTCCTTTGATTCCCCTTGCCACTCCGGATGATAACACGGAAGAAGCGCCTGCGATTGATCGTTTCCCTGATCACCAAGGTGATATTCTTGACTCATGGAGAATGGCCTCTACCTCTACACCTGCCATTGACACGATCGATGGTGAGCTCCATGTCAAATTCGTCACGTGGTTTCTGAATGGAGATCTCTGGCCGCGTTGTGATGCCTTTCGAATTGTTGCTCTTCCTGCTGATCCTGAAAGATGGGATGCAATTTTTCGACGGACATGGAGAGATCGCGCTGATCCATCCGCGCAACTTCAGACGGCTTTGGTTTATCCACCGGTCACGCCGGATCATCATGGAGGCCACCTGATCATTCACCAAAATTTGGGACCTACGGTGCGAGGAACCCTGCTCAGTGTCTTTTGGCATGGACAAGAGAGCGAATTAGGCAGCCGCTTTGCTCAGGTTGTTCCACATTGGCTCTCGTTTCAGAGGTTCTTGCAGTTTGCAGATCTTCTTGATGCGTGTCGACGACGCATTCTTCTATGTGTTGGCTTTTCTGGCAGTCATCCTATTGATGATGATCGGCCATTATTTCCTCGTCATGGCACTCACGTTGAGATTCATGCGGCAGAATGGCAGGTTATTGATGAGAACAGCTTGATGCAGCAGCCCGGAGTGCCACCACTGGCCCCTACCGGTGCGCATTTCGCTCCTCCTCAGGCTGCTGCCTGTGATGCCGCACAACTGAATGCAGATGCTCCCATTTTTGTTCCTGGAGTACCCTGGGAAATTGGCTCAATGTCGGAATTCACACAGGATCTACACGCACTCTGGCAAGATGCAGCCTTTTCATGGGAGGATGAATCACCTTCCTGTCCCATTCTGGTATGGTTTGTTGATCATCAATGGCATGCACCACATGGACGCACCGCGCGCATTGTGCACCTTCATGATGACTTTCACACCTGGGAAGACAGAATCAGGAGAACTTGGGCCGACCACATTGTGGAGGGTGCGGTGATTGAACTACATCTTGTCAGCCCACAGCCGCCCATCATTCATCCTGAAGCTGCTATACACGTTGTGCTTGTGCAGCATCCCAACGAGATATGGGTCACCAGTGTAGTCTCACTGATTGAACCAAGAGGAAGACGTCCTCCGATCAGACAGATGGCCGTCACTACGCATGAGCATATCCTCATCGACAACCTTTTGCGAGTATTTGGGGTATTTGAGAGTTGTCTTGGACCTCGCGCTCATCTTCAATGCACAGGACAATATCACTCAGTTGAACTATCTCCTGGCCGTCCTATTCCAGGTAGATCTGGCTACAGCATTGTCCTACAGTTGCGGCCTCGACCACATCCACGGCCAACTGAGACTGCTGTCAATCGTTCCAACCGAGCCCCAGTCCTGTTGCAACTCTCCCACCTACTTCATCACGATGTGCTGAGTCAGGAGGAGATCGTTGAGGATCCTGCACTGTCTTTGTCATCGACATCCATAAATGTGGCAATCAGACTTCGCTCTGGTAGTGATAACATCATTGTTCCTGAGTACATTGAATGCTCAGCACCTGGTGCTTCCCATGACATTGAAGCCGAACTCAAACACTGGGGCATTGAATGCAAAGCCATCAGATTTGGTCCCCGGCATGAAGCTCTTTGTCTTCCAGTACAGTGGACGGCACAAGCAGGGCAGTTTCATTATATGTTCTGCCATGATGATCCCAAGGACAATGAAGGCACTTTCCTTCACACGTCTGACACAGCCTTGGATGACTTGGGGCTCATGCAACTGCTCCACAAATTTGGATACTGCAGAGCGGCCATCCTGGAAACCAAGGAACCCATGCCACAGCTCTTCATGGTTCTATTCCTTGACGTTGTGCAACGACATGCGGTTGAGCCCTTGAAGCAGAAGTTTCCTGCACCTTGGCCCACACCGCTTGTGCGTGAACGTGAACACAGGCCCTTCTTCTCTGATCAGGATCCAACTGCGGGCGATGATGACTTTCTCATCAGGCTTGGCATCACCATGACTGACATCCAAGCCTTTTTCAGATCTGGAGATGATATGCTTTGCCGCGATCCCAATGGACTTGCAGTTCCTGAAACCACCATGAGGGTCTTGCGCATCAGTGACACCACGGATCTGGCAACCTTTGACCGCATTATCATCTATACTGATGGATCTTCTCTTCCTCTTCATCGTCACAGACCTGCTGCTTGGAATGAGGAGAACGGCATTGGTGACACGTGGGCTTTCGTTGTACTCGGTGAGCGCTATCTGGAGCAGCAACCGACCATCGAAATCATAGGTTGGCTTGCACATCCTGTGCGATATGACCCTTCGTGTCCTTCCTTTGTGGGAGCAAAATATGTTGGATCTCTTTGTGCAGAACGTGAAGCCATGACCTGGGCGGCCATCTGGCGACTTTCCCAGAACATCGACACACCAACCTTGTTTCGGTCGGATTCATGGACCACAGCAATGCAAGCCTTGGGTCAGATTGGCACTGCACATGTGGATACCTCATTTGCAAGTTTGAGAAGCTGCTTTCAAGCTCTGGATGCTGCTTTACGAGATCGAGTCAAAGTAGAGCACACTCCTGGGCACTGTGGCGATCCATACAACGATTTTGCTGACTGGCTGGCTAAGGAAGAGCGCATTCGCAGCTTTTACTATAAGCGTCAGGCTATCTCCATGGACTTGTGGCGACCTTTTCTGCCTTATATGTGGATGCTTTTCAGCCAAACGGATGGCCTTCCTGCATTGAGCGCCAAGGGATTACATGTTCCTCCTCCTCAGCTACCTTCTCTACATGCGACTTCAGCTCCCATAGAGAGCAAGCTGAGTTTGGAACAGTGTGCTCAGATCAACATCAGCTTGGCAAGTGCAAACATTGGGTCGATGTATAGTGGTGAGTGGGGACACGCAGGTAAACTTGATTATTTGCGAACTCAATTCAAGATGCTGCACCTCAACTTCTTGGGCATTCAGGAAGCTCGCACTCCTGAACTGTGCTCACGCACCCAGAAGATTCTTCGTTTTGCCAGTGGAGCACAAGGTGGATGCCATGGCATTGAACTCTGGGTCAATTTGGAGCAGGCCTACGCGACGACGAGGGATGGCCCTGTCTACTTTGATTCCCAACACTTTGTTGTCGTGCACAAGGACCCACGTTGCATGTTGGTTCACGTTGTCACTGAGTGGGTTGATTTTTGGCTTGTCGTTGGACATGCACCACAGAGTGGAGTTCCGCTGTCTGATCGGAGTGCTTGGTGGGAGCAGCTCACGAAGATCACCGCACTCTGTCCTCCTACAGCTCGCCTTTTTGCTCTTCTAGCTCTTCTAGATGCGAATGCAGGACCTGGGACAGCAGATTCCACATCTGTTTTCAACACCATTGGGTGCACTACCTCGGGTACGCCTTTGCTACGAGCCTTTTTGGATGATCGTGCACTTTGTCTTCCCTGTACTTCTGCATGTCATGAAGGTACTCACACGACGTGGGTTACCCCAGATGGCTTGTCTGAACACATGATCGACTACATCGCGATCCCAAGTACTTGCTTGCATGAGTGTCTCTTGAGCAAGGTCCTGGACGAGTTTGACTTGGGCAACAGTCATCATGATCATATGGCTATTGCTCTACAGCTCCAGTGGCAAGAAACCGGCATGCAGACTCCCGTTGGGCAGCGTCAAGCGAAAGCTCACATCGACTTCAGCATGCTTCAAAGCCACCATGTTATGCAAACCCTGAATGACTACGTCGTGCCAGCATGGAGTGAAAACATTGAGGACCAGGTTTCACATTTCAATGGTCATCTCCTTGAAGGCCTTCAACATCGTTGCCCAGCCACCAAGCATCGGCCGAAGAAGCCATGCCTCGATGATGCCACATGGGCTCTCCGTACCCAGAAACTCATTGCAAGACGGGGGCTTCGTCAGATTGCACGTCGCAACAGACAAGAATTCCTTCGTGCCTGCTTTCAGTCCTGGGCTTCGACACCAGATTTTGACTCGACCCGTCTCTGGCAGTATCATCGGTGGCTCTTATGTGCAAACATCAAATTGATGGCCAGGTTTCACACATCTGCGGCACATCTTAAGAAGACCCTTCGGGACAGGAAGACGACTTATCTCAAGCAAGCCTTTGAGAACTTGCCTCCCGATGCTCCGGCTTCTTCGATCTTGCAGGCACTTAAGAAGGTTGTTGGTTCAACCAACCTGAAGCAGATCAAACAACTGACCCTTCCTATGGTAAAGGATTCTTCTGGATCTCACTGCACCTCACCATCTCAGGCTTTGGACACTTGGATCCAGTTTTTCCAGAACATGGAAGGAGGAAAAAGAGTTGATCGGCTCGAACAACGTCATTTATGGGTCCAGAACCTCCAGAAGTTCCAAGCGACTTCGCTGGATTTGCAAATCACAGATGTTCCGACTTTGGTAGAGCTTGAAATGGCCTTCAGACATGTCAAGCCCAACAAGGCCACGGGCCCTGACTTGATTGATGCCAACATCTGTGCGAATTCTCCTGCCATCGTTGCGCGCAAGACTTATAGTCAGCTTCTGAAGCTCTACACCCACGGCCAAGAAAGCCTCTTGCACAAGGGCGGTCGGCTACAGCCGATCTGGAAGCAGAAAGGCCCTCGGGATGTTTGTTCGGCGTACCGCAGCGTGCTCATTTCATCGCACGTTGGCAAGTCTCTACATCGTTGCCTTCGCCTACACACTGCCAATGTCTTCGAGCACTATTTGCAGCTGCAACAAACTGGGGGCATGCGGGGGATTTCCGTCACCTTGGGAGTTCATCAGGCGAGATCATATCTTCGAACACGCCTTCGACAGCACAAGTGTGTGGGTTTTCTGTTCTTGGATTTGACCGAAGCGTTTTATCGCATAGTGCGTCAACTGGCTCTCGGAGGTCCCCCGGACGATGAAGCCATAGCTGCGGTTGGTGAGCGCCTGCACCTTGGGCCAGGTCTCCTCCATTCTCTACATCAACACCTTGAGGATCAGCCGGCAGTGGAGCAAGCAGGTCTCTCACCGCATCTTCAAAAGGTCTTACAAGCGCTGCACACCGACACACATTTTCATGTCGGCCAGCAGCTAGATGCATGCAGAACCTCTTTGGGGACGCGACCGGGCGATTGCTTTGCTGACATCGTGTTCTCATTCCTATGGGCTCGTCTTCTACATCGCCTTGAGCAGATTATGCAGGAGCATGGCATTTTAGATGGTTTTCCTGCGGAAGATGGGTTGCGGCTTCCATCAACTGATACGTCAGAATGTGGCACGCAGCCCTTCTTAGGACCCACTTGGATGGATGACACATGCATTGCCTTTGCCACGGAATCAGCCTCGGCCCTTGAACAAGCTGCTGGCCAAGTCGGCGGCTCTCTTCTGGGTCTTTGCTCAGAGTTCGCCATGAGTCCAAACTTGGCCAAGGGGAAGACGGAACTCATGATGGTTTTTCAAGGGAAGGGAGCCAATCAGGCCAAGCTCAAATACTTCGGGCCCAGCTCCCCCCAGACGTTTCCCATCATTCTAGAGGAAGGAGTTCAACATCTTAATGTTGTGAGCTCTTACACTCATTTGGGCAGCACCATCCACCATCGGGGTGATCTTCGTCGAGAAGTACGCCGCCGTATTGGCTTGGCTCATGCTGCGTTCAACCGCCACAGAAAACTCTTGTTCCAGAACCGCGGCCTTGACATCACTCGACGTCGTGAACTGTTTCGTACGCTGATCCTGAGCAAACTGCTCTATGGAGCGGAGTCCTGGACACTGCGAGATGGCAAGGACAAGCACTACTTGCATAGCGCTCTGATGCGGCTATATAACCGACTTCTTCCTGTCCAGCAACAGCCACCCAGAAGTGATGCAGCCATCCTTGCTGACACTGGACTCCCGGACCCGGCTGTTCTTCTTCGAACCTGCCGCCTTCGATATCTGGGCCAGTTGTATGGCATTGGCGACAGAACATCATGGGGGCTCTTCAATGATGATGCGGATTGGCAGGCTTTGATTTGGTGCGACTTGCAATGAATGTGGAGTCAGTTGAAAGACACTTCCAAACTCCCGGATCCTAGACAAGGATTTCAACAATGGGAGTATCTCATGAGACATCATCCAGGCTTTTGGAAAAGATTGGTTCGCCGAGCAGGAGATCATGATTGTGGCCAGCGACGCAATTTGCATATCGTGGCTGAATTTCATGGAGATTTTTTGAAGATCCTACATGACCATGGTCGACTTTGTCATGCCGCACCACGCATTGAAGTCCTTCCTGGGGAACAGATCCATGCATGCATGATGTGTGAGAAACGTTTTCTCAGCAAAGGAGGGTGTGGAGCTCATCTTTTTCGTGTCCACGGACAAGTCAACTCCGTGCGACATTTGTTCTCTACATCACAATGCGGGGCCTGCATGAAGGAATACCACACATTTGCCAAGCTGAAAACACATCTCCTGCAGGTGACAGCGTGTCGCCATGTCTTACAAGCCAATCGACATCGATGGCAGCCCATGCCCGGAGCTGGTTCTCAACTCAATGCGACAATGGAAGCTGCCCATGATGGACTCCTGCCACCATTGAAGGTGCAAGGCCCGCTCCTTGAACAACCTCATGGAAGAGCAGATGAGGACTTTGACCAGGATCTCTTGGAGAAGATCTTCCTGGACATTGTGGACGCCACGACCATTGCCGAGTGCGAGAGATTAATCAGGGCAGCGGCTAGAGCGAAGGCTTTGTCATGGTCGCTCTTTCAGGCGACCTTGGAAAGGTTTCTGGAGATTTTCACAGATGAAGATGCGGCAGTTTTACAGGTTCCAGGTGAGGAGATCAGACAGCTCCTTCGCACTTTGAAACTTCCTCAGGCATGGGATTTTCTGACATCAGAAGGACGCAGCAAAACCTCCCCGTGGCACCAAGAGATCGCCGCTTTGGAACAGCATTGTCTGCACGAGATCGAAGGCCAAGGGCGACAAGATTTTACTGCACACCCACCACGGGGATTTGCAAGAGAACGATACATTCTTCACCTTTTCGCGGGCAGACGGCGACAAGGTGATTTTCAGTTCTTTGTGGATGGCCTCACGGACCTTCATGGACCCTTCTTCATCCAGGTTATCTCGGTCGACATAGTGATTGACCCCCAGTGGGGAGACCTCTCCGATGCCAAGACTCGCAGATTTTGGATCTCTGCGCTCCTGGACCGGCAGATCATTGCCCTTCTAGGCGGACCGCCATGCGAAACGTGGTCCCGCGCAAGGGGGCGCCACATACCTTCCGGAGCTCATGATGACCATCGACGCAGCCTTGGTCCGCGCGTTGTGCGCACCTTGGAGGAGATATGGGGACTTTGCTCACTCTCCTTGCGCGAGCTCAGCCAGGTCACCATCGGGAATATCCTCATGGGTTTTCAATTGGTTGCTATGGCAGCTTTGGCGTGCACGGGAGGCATTGCAGCCGTTGAGCACCCGGCGGAGTCGCCCAACCCGGATGATGCTTCCATCTGGCGCACGCCGATCATGCAGCTACTGCTCTCGCTTCCTGAGTGCGAATCCATCACCCTGGCACAAGGACTATGGGGAGCGCAGTCGTCAAAGCCAACGACTTTAGGTGTGCTGAATGCCCCGCAGCTTAAGCAAGAGCTGCATAGTGGGCGCATCACCAGCGAGTTACCAAAAGGTAGCTCGATTGGAAAAGACGCCTCGGGCCAGTGGGCAACTGCCCGTCTCAAAGAGTATCCTCCCGGCTTGTGCTTAGCCCTGGCCAGGTTTCCTTAGAGCCTTAGGTGATCTTCCCATCGACCCTGATTTACAGGTCTCCCGGCGTCATCGTGACATCTTTGACCCATTAGTGTGTTCCACTTACGGACAAACCTATGGGCCGGACTTTGCCGGTTGAGTGCTTTTGGTTTTCTTATTTGCCCATTATTTTTTCTGCCGAGCACAGCCCTCGGCTGAATTTGAGTGTGACCTGCGATGGCCGCAGCGGAATCTTTCGCTTCTTGGAGTCAGTGCCAAAAAATATATATATACACATACAGTGTATATATTATATGTATATATATATATTATATGATTACAGCATGTCATACAAGTATCTTATTTTATTGTCACCACCATAGAAAACAGAAGTGTGACCCGGTGGGATGTTCTGGGATCCTGAAGAGTGAGGGACCTGTGTGCGATGGTCAGGACAAAAATGTGGGACGGCCGTCTCAGGGTACCAATCCAAAACAATACCAGATAGAGTCTGATAGAGTCGGTTGTAAGTTGCAGTCAGCTGCAATGAGTCAGCAGTTCCTATATGTTCCTATAAGACCGTACCAGGACATCAATGCCTTGACGTTTCAAAGGGTTGGCTTGAGGCAGTACTTTCATCTCTTGTTGAACCATTCTGGAGTTCTGGAGATGAAGAAACACATCCCTGCCAGGGAGCCTAGTTTCTAAGGCGACCAGCTGTGGCTCCTCTTTGGATCCATTCTCTGCTTCCTTCTCCTCCTGCTCCACCATTGCCATCAAACTTCCAACGACCTCAAAGTTCTTGTCCTTGCGAAACATCCGAAACAGCTGTTTCAAAAAAAACTTAAAGGCATGGAAACACAACTTCAAGGGATTTTCCACTGGCAAAACCCACCCCAACCCTTTGAGCGGAGAGCTTGCATGCCTCAGTCCAAGGAGAAAACCATCTGACCTGTCCAAACGAAAGCCCAATTTGGTGTCAAAAGGGCTAAAGGGGTTATACATGGTTATACCGTGTTATAACGCCCAAGTTACGAAACAAAACGCTGCGAATATCAGGCCAAGTGTCCTCAAATTCTCTAGGCGCATCCTGTCCAAACAACAAGATGTCGCTGGCATTATCCAGAAATTTCTCGATCATAGCCAGCTCCTTTTTCTGCAAAGTATTCCTTAGATGTGGCTTGCCTTTGGAATCTGAGGGACCTCCGCCCTGGTGCCATCGCAGCGCGATAAACTTTTGCTCGTGCTGGAGATGGGTTACATTTTGCGGCTACTCACCAATATCAATACTATGCACTAGAATGCAATATAATTGTATATAATGCCCTACAGATCATTTCAGTATATTTTAGAATATTTTAGTACTTGTCTGCAAACATCTACGAACTATCAGCGCTAAAGCAGGTAAGAGCGGGCTGAAGCATTGCCAGGCAACATCTGCTCCGCTGAAGGCTTTTTTCTTTGAGCCGGTACTTCCGCCACGTTGCCCTTGAGGGACTGGTTCACTTGCTCGCAAAGACAGTACAGCATGAGCGAAACATCGTGACGCGACGGATCTGTGGACTCTACCAGGCGTTCATACACGCTCGTGTCCAGACTGGTAGGCTCTGTTTCAAGGTCAGGGATTACTATTCTGTCCTCTGGCAAGGACTCAATCCATTCCTTGTAAGTGATCCGGTGCTGAGCTGCAGAGGCAAAAGCTGCAACGACCAGCTCACTGGGGTCCAGAACTTCGGTGGGTCGACCTGGGGCCCATTCGTGACAGTTGTACAGTTCAGTGACGATGGTTGTGGCATAGGGACTTCCGGCTTCGGATGTCACCACCTTCTCTCTCAAGGCTGTCAATGCACCAGGAGCACCAATGACACGAGTAATTCGTTTCGTGCCCCCAATGTCGTCCGGTTCATCTATGCAAGTTTCACCACTGAGATGTAAGGAAACCCAAGCATCCGCCACTTCAAAGAGCCCTGCAGCTTCCACCTCAGCTAGTTCCTCAGGTGTTGAAGGATATCCAGAAACAATCAAGGTGAAGTCGTCTCTTCCATCTCCATCCACCTTAGCCGCTTTGCCAGACTCAGCTTCGGCCTCAGCGGCTTCTCCCAGTTCTTCCAGGGCCCTCTGCCGGGCCTCGTTCACCTTCTTCCGCTTGCGACATGCCGCTTCGGCCTCGGCCTTTCTGCGGAGGCCGGCTGCTAAGGTGCCGCCCTCGGCGAAAGCTTCCAGCTCATCACGTTGCAGGAGCAAAATGCTGGAGGTATTCAGGGTCTCTCCACCTGCCATTGAGTCAACACACTTCAACTCTCTGAAACAAGAGTGCTAAGAAGCTAAGAAGTGTTAAGAAAGGGAACTTTCAACAAGTCGTGTTTTCAATATGATCTCATCTTTCTCCCAAAACCCCTCCACCTTCGTGAAATTTGGACAGTGAATCCAGAGGGTCAAAGTCCTGCAGGGCCGCATCATCTGCATCTGCAGCTTCCAAAGGAGGCTCCACACAGAAGACATGACTCACCAGGTGTCCCAGGACAAAGGTAAAGGATGGATCTGGAACTTCAAGGTGCTCTGGCAATTCGACCAAAGGGTCCTCCGAGCGGACTGGCATGGCATCATGGTTAACTGTTCATTGGCTTGGTTGCAGCAGAGGGCTTTGTTTGTTTGTGTGTGGGTGTTTGTTCGCTTGGAGTGAGTTCCTTACTCGGAAACAGAAAGACTGAAAGACCAAGGCAAGTTGATAGATTGAGTGCAAGCTCAGCTCTCAAAACATAACACATGCCATCACATGCCCATGCCTCCACTGGCAAAGCAACTGCAGGCGTCTTTGCTTTGGGTGCCATCTTCGTGCAAATTAAATGAAGTCAAAGAACAAAGGAACTATCTACCAGAGGCCCTTTTAGCCTCGGCCACCGCCGTGAGCGATGGCCTTGTGTCAGAAGTCTCCCAGCAACATTTCTGCTGAGGGCTCCCTCTGGGCTTGAGCCATGGATTGTGCCCACCAAATCCCGCCATGAAGTCACAAGGGTGATCAGCATATGATCAGTATCCATCATATCCATCATATCCATCATATCCATCATATCCATGTTTGCCAGGCCGCTCCATTTTTGCTGCCAACAACTCTCACAGGCTTCATGCTCCACTACGGGTTCGACAAAAATCGAAGGCAAATCAAGCTTGAAGGATGCAAGGACTGGACACGACGATGAGATTGCAAGCAAATCAAGCGAAAATCGAAGTGGCCTATCCCGGGCTGGGAAGTGCCAACGAGGGAGGGCCCTCAAAAGCTGCAGCAACAACCGCAGACTGAAAAACATGCAAGTCATGTTTGCCAGGCCGCTCCATTTTTGCTGCCAATAACTCTCACAGGCTTCATGCTCCACTACGGGTTCGACAAAAATCGAAGGCAAATCAAGCTTGAAGGATGCAAGGACTGGACACGACGATGAGATTGCAAGCAAATCAAGCGAAAATCGAAGTGGCCTATCCAACTCTGCTCCACGTGTCGCATGATCATTGCTGGTCATAAGACTCACGCAAAAGAGACGATGAAGCGGCAGCAAGTTCCAAGACAAGTTTTCGTTTGTGATGGGACAAGTCCGAAAGGAGGACCTGGCCCATGACATCCTGCAGGTAGTGTTCCAAGGTCCGGCGCGCTTGCCAGCGCCCGCGCCATAACACTCGGTCCAAGTCTTCAGTTATATGGAAAAACCAACTAGCGCCAGAGCCACGAAGGCTCTTCGGCGTGATGCCGTGGGACTTTTCGGACGTGCTAAAACCAAGGTAGTTAAATACTTTATTCCAGCGATGTCTAAAAACATGCGAACTGCAACCAAAAAGCAAATCTGCTGGAGGCAAGGCACCGAAGACGTGATCCAAGAAAATTACTGTCATATGGTCACTAATACGTGCATGCTGACGCAACATAAATCGGCTTGTCTTTGAATGCAGTATGCGAATGTAACAGAGTTTCTCATGGGACAACAAGTCACGAGGCAAAATCAGGTCAGCTCGCTGCAAAGGAAGAAATTCGCTTGGGCGGAGGAGGCCGTGGAAACCTATCAAAAGAGCGGCAGCCATGCGCGGCCAGCTCCATAACAAGCTTAGAGAAATGGCGGCTTGCAGAACACTGGCGGGCATAACCATGCTCCTGCTGACAGGCTCTACCTCTTCCCATCGGGACAGTGTGGTCCATGGTGCTGCTAGTTGCCCCCTCAGATGTGGCAATTGGTCTACCACGGCATTGATGGTTTCTGAAAACATGTATTTTGGCTCACCTGCATAGAATAACCATTTACCAAAACCAATGAGCGCTGCATTCAATTCTGCTGTGTCCAGTTCGGGAAGGGCAAGGGGTCGCTCAAGTTCCCTGCCCAGCCAAATCAGAAAACGTTCCAAACACTGCACTCGTCTTTTGCTGGTTTGTGGGTGTCTGCCGCTCGAAGGGTCCAAAGAAATGCCAGACCTGGCATCTATGGTAGCTCTTTTAACCCGAGGCATGGCACTTCCCTGGATTGCCCTGCAGACAGATCAACAATCGAGTGAACCTGGCCCAACCATTCATTGGCCACTGCAACTTGTCAGCTTCGACTACTTGATCAAAAAGTTCAGGGCTACCTTTGAGCAACAAATCTAACCACCAAGGCTTTTGAGAGCTGCACCGCAAACTGACAAAACGGGAAACATCATCGGAAGGGTTTTCCTTAGAAGCAATATGAATCAGATAGGGGTACAAATCTCTTCCAATCAAATATGGGAGAGTGGTGCCTAAATAAAAATTAAGTTGCTTACTGGAAGATCTCCCTTTAGCAGTACTACCAATCACTACCCGAGAATCCAACAAAGCAACGAAACGACTAGAAGGCTCACTCTTGGCCACATGTTTGATCAGGCTTCTGAAAGCAAGGGATTCATTTACGTTTATATGGTTCAATTTCCTGAAGCGAAACTGCAGCAACTTCTTCCACTCCAGACTTCGTCCAAGTTCCGAAACCCAAAGCGGGGACCTAGAGCTTGAGCGAAACTTTGGGGAGCACTCATCCTGCTTGAGCTCAGTCATGTGAAGCAAATTTCTTTGGGCAATGGCAACGCAAAGGGGCAAAGGGTACCCCGCACTGAAACTTGCAACGTGCTCTCCTAAGTTCGGCCCCCGGCCAAAAACTGCCAAAAGGTTTGGACGGCATCGCTGTGCAAAATCGGGCATGTTGAGTTTGGTGAACACGCCCTTCACTCTGAAATGCCGGCCTCTGTACCCGCATGAGCAGTCGCTATTTAGGTCTTGTAACTTAGGGTTATTGCTTACCCACCAACTATTTTTCTGGAAAGGAGTGCCCCACCTACAGAATGGAAACTTAATGCTGTAAAAACCGGCGTTTAGCAGTCGTTGATAGATATCCAAGTAAAACATTACCGAACCCGCAGGCTGTTCTCCGGAACCTAAGATGTTGTAATGCAAACACAGGAAAAGCAAAAACGCTGCTCGAACGGCAAAATGGTTCCCGTCGGCGGTGTCTTCCTCCAAAACAATCGAAGCCGAACGGAAATTTTTTGGACCTGACCCGAGGCCGCCGCAAGGTTCCGAATGTATTGCAGATTGGGGCCACATGAACAGCTCTTACAACACGCCGGGCTATCAGACCGGCAGCTGCTAAGAAAGTTGATTCATTCATGATATCTCCGTGGGGACCATCTTTAATTTCGAACCCGGGATGAACTTTAAGACCTAAATCTTGATGGGCTTTACTAAGGTGACCAGAACCCCTGAAAACTTCAACGAAATCCCAAAGGAACCCTTCTTGAAGTGATTTGGGCACTGACAGTTCGGCAGCAATGTGCTCACCTTGCAATGCGAGATGCTGGCCTAAGGTTGAAGTATCAACTCTAGTATAAAAACCCTTCTGTTCTGCCAATCGGGCAAGGTCCATGGTGGCTTCACGAGAAATTGGCGCCTGACAGACACCAGCCCCTTCTAGAGAGGCGTCGGAGCAAAACAAGCGCTCAGCAGGCTGGGCTCTGAGATTTGTATACATGTGCGGGGCCCATATGCACAGAAGCAAAAGTTCATGTTTTGTCCCAGTGTTCAATGGGAAAACTTCGTGAGGTCCTTTCTGATCACCGGCGTGAAAAACTTCGCTGAGTAGGGCTAATAGGGGCCGACGGAACAACAATACAAAAATCCAACAACCCAGTAAGCTTTGAATAAGGTGCTTGGTTCCCCATCCTAGATTGACCAAAGCCAGGGTAAGCTTACATAGCACATGTATCCTCAGCTTGGGCGCTGAGATCGTCCCCTTCACCCCATCAATTTCCCCCCCAAGAACAACTGCCTTTTTCGCATTTTTGACTGTTTTCGACTTAGATGACCTAAGGCCTGCGGACAAATAGGCATCTTGAGCGCTGTTTAGTAGCTTAAGGTCTTGGCGGATTATTTTGTGGGAATTTAGGGGGAGCCCTCGGGGAATCTGCTGAAGCACTGCGTAATCGTCTATACACAAAAGCTGGTAGACTTCCCCTCTAGGAAATGGGTGTCTATATTTCACTTGCTGGGAATCTAGGAGGCATCCGGCTCGTTTTAGAAGGTTGGAGTGGGTGTGTTGCGCGATTTCTACAGCATAGTTAGTCCCCATGGCTAAGGTTGCGAAGCACCCCACTACAAGTTTCCCAGCAAGCGTTGGGTCCCAACAGTTCCAATCTTTGAAGGTTTCTGCTGGGAAGACACCATGGATGTGATTTCTGGCAGCGTGCGCTTTGCTGACAACAAAAGCATGATAATAGTCTTCAAGATCAGTTGCTGCAATGACCAGATCTTGAGCAGGATCAAGGACTAGGTTGCACAACAACGTTCCATGCGCAAGATTGTGAGTGCTTTCCGCGATGCCAAAAGTCCTTCCATTTTCTGGGATGGGATTCAGAATCTGTGTCTTTTTCAGCATTTTTATATACTGCGAATAAACCACACCTATATTTGAACTCAGAAGCATTTGCATCTAAAAGTTGCAAGGAATGGACATCGTCCCAACGCTTAAACAGTTGCAGCAATTTTTCGCGGGAACACATCACTCTAGCAGGCTTTGCAGACGGCCATGTCTCCTTAGGCAACCTCAAGTGTTTGGGGTTCAGAAATCCTGCTTTCAGAAGAGGGTCGGAGATAAATTTGCTAGCTTTAAAACTAGGGCTATGTGAAAACTTTAAGCGACTAGGTTCAAGCTCAACTGCGCTGAAACTGCTTGGAGGTTTGCATGTGACCTTCAAATCACCATGCGCATGCTGCCCGCCTTCATCTGGCGGTTCTGTGCATTTCCGAGGTCTGCTGTACGGGTCAAAATTCGTTTGAAGAGACCTACAAGCGGAACTTAACTCGGCTAAGGCTTCGTGCAAGGAAGTGAATTTCTGCTCAGACCGCTGAAGGTCGCTGCAGAGACCGGAGCTCTGGCGATACCAAACTCTCAGACTGTGCTCCAGATGTTCCAGCATACAACTTTGGCATGTTGAAAAAGGCTGCCTGGTCCAGGTCTCAGCAGTGGCTTTCTTTGGGCGGCCCAAAACAAGCCAGTTAGCCGAGGCGACAAAAACTCGCAAGTGCTCCCTAACGATCACCCTAAGTTTGTG